AAATGCAGGTCATGTGATCATGAAGACGCTGCGATGTTCATAAGTGTGAGGAATGGTCGTAAGTGCCGTTGTAACTTCACCAAGTGAACTGTTGTAAGGTGAGGACTAACTATATATGCAACCCTGCTGGGTTTTCTCTGCCAGCTAAAAGCTGAGGTGGGCGCTAGGCCAATAAAATAGTCCTTTTTTTTTTCATGCTATGGAATGTTCCTTTTTTATCGTCAGCCTGGGCCATCTTGTCCTTGGCTGGCAATTTCATGGTAAGCTGGGTCCTGCTCTTTATCTGATTATAATAACAATAAAAACCCAAGCTAGGGGGAAAAGATTACTTCCTCCACATTTTTTTTAAAAAAATGTGGGAGATAATCTGTGCGGTTAGAATACCTGGGTTGAAAGGCCTGGCTCTGAAGCACACCTTTGTGGTCCAGCCAAGGAAGTGGGGTGCAGGGAGACGAGAAAACCCCTGAAAGAGACATAGACATGCCCCAAACGTTGCATAAACTAGCTTCAAAAGGGAATTCATATTTATATATTTATATAAATATATAATATTTATATATTTGAGAGACGAAATTAGCTGAAATGAAGCAGTTTTGCTGGATCTGGAATTCAGTGGCCAGCTAGACAAATCTACAATTTTAAGCCAATGCAGGTAGTACTTTGGTTTATCTTTCAAATTTAAAGACCTCCCATCTCACTGTGACTGTTATTTCAATTGTCACAATCTGTTGACAGAGATCTAATGGGCCTCGGTCGGAGATCAAGCTTTGGATCTGGTGGGCTATTTTCTTTTTAACTGATCACTACATTAAGATTTAGTGTGGGTCCAGCTTCACATTAGACCCAAACTCTGATCTAAGCAAAGACACCTTACTGACTTTGCGTGCTCCTTTGTTTAATGCAAGAAACTTCTTAAATCCCACTTACACTTTGTAGAGAGTAGGGAAGATGGCCTTGACAGAAAAAAAAAATGCAAGAACTGTTCCATTAGCAAAGAGGGTTGAAATGTTTTATTTTTCAGTCCAGAGCAATGAAATATAATTCAGAAGTAGCTCCGTTCATTGGTTCACTGGAGTATAAGGAGGAGGAACAGCACAAATTAGATTTGAAAGATTCTGCTGTTATACCCAATATCGATAAAGAAGTTTTTTGAATTTCCCATGGAGTTCATTTCCTGGTTTGATCTACCTAGGGCGCCGACACGCCAAACAATATAGATTCACTAGATTCGGTTGCTTATGTGAATGTAGTCATCAGAGAGAATAGAAAAGACGTACAAGATAATTAATAGAGATTTGCATTGCTTTGGATTTTGTTCCAAATTACTGTTTGAAAATATACAGGAGCAAGAATGCAGCACCTGCCAGTGACTCATTAAAGCAGCTGCATCTGTTTTCAGAACTTCGCCATACCTAGAGACAGATGCAACTGCTTTAAATGAGTTGTAACAGTTGCTCCGCTCGTACTCCCACACACGTTGAAATCCAAAGCATTGCCCAGCTTGAGTAATTTTATGGATTCTGACTAGTGCCATGATGATGCTAATTTAGCATTTGTGTGTGTGTTTTAATAGTCTTCCAAACTGCCTACTACACTTAGATTTGACTTTGCAACAACTTCTGTAAAGTTCATTAATATTATTGTCCTCGTGTGGTACCTGTATCAAAGAAACAATGGTCTCACGGAAATAAGGTCTGAAGCAGTCACTTCCTGATTTATTGTTCTGTTCCTTGGCCATTCCGAATTAAAAATCCAATAAATAAACCTTTTTTGTTGGTTTGTTTAAAGTGGCTTTGATACAAAGTGCAAGAGAAAATGTTCTTTTTTAAAAATAAAATAAAATCTGCTTGGACCTGTGATGTACTTATTCTTAAAAGTAGACAATGGACACCCTGGGAGAATGCAAGCCTTTGTGTTTGCGTGTAGAATTTAGTTTTGCCTGACGTGTGCGTGTGTGTGCATGTGTGTGTATCTCAATAGGCATGCACAATACAGATATAATGAAAGAAAAGCAGCTCCCTGTTGTGTGAACGATTTGATGTGTTCTTGTAAATACACAGGAATAAATCCTATAATGGAGAAAGTCACTTTAATGCCATAAGAAATAAATATCACTAAAGGCTGAAGTATCTCTGCTTTTGAAGTCATCATATATTTGCCAGATTTTTTGCAGTTCAGGTAACACTCCATGTTTGCGAGCTATGAAACAAAACAGCAAAATAAAATGTGCTCTCTTTCTCCCTCTTTCTTCTTTCGATTGTGACTTTAGCTACAACATTGCAAGATCACGAACTAGCCCTAAAGCTAGGTGGATCCTTAAGTATCTTTAAGGATCAAGCATTCCGGAAGTGATGCAGAAATGATTAAATAGTATAGCTAAGTCTCATTGTTTATATTTAAAATAATAGAATGATGGATGACTTAAGACCAAGGTAATTTCCAACTGCTAAGAAACTAGATCAGTTCCTGCATCTATTCTGTTCTGTTCTTTTCTGTTCCACTCTGTTCCATGTTTTCTAGACTAGTCTAATTTAGTCTAGTCTAGACTAGTGTAATCTATTCTATTCTATTCTATTCTATTCCATATTTTCTACTATATTTCATTCCATTCCATATTTCTATTCTAATTTCTAATTTTTTAAAAAAATTTATTGAAGGCTGTTCAACTCCACCATGACTTTGGGTATGTATACGTCCATCTTCAGTAAAAGCAATCATGTAATACATAAACCTAACCTTAACGCCTTTAACCCAAGCCCTGGAGAACAGCCAAGATGGGGACCAGATGGATTTTAGATTTCTTTCGGGGGGGATGTCTGCCCAAAGAGATAACAGTTCAGATTTTTTTTTTCTTGGACTGCTGAAGCAAATGCCTTGGTAGATTCTGTACCCTATTTCTGTATGTGTTGCTCTCTAAAGTGGGGAATAATTATTATTTTAAGGAGTTTCATTTCCTTTTCCTTTGTGTGTGTGTTTTTAAATGATTTGTGTACTATTACGACATTTCAATTGTCTGCCACTGGGCTGAGTCCTTTCCCTGCATTGTATTGATGTCCCACATATAACCTTTAGAAAATAATCTCTGCATTAAGGAGAAATGGAGCAATCAGAAGGGTAAATGGGTGAGACCTCTTTATTTGCCCCAAATATAGTTTAAAGCCTGAGGATCCAATCTAGAGAAGATTACTTTAGCCTCCTTAGAGCCAAACAGCTAAACGTCCTGGTTCCAACAGATGAAACTCTTCAAAAGAACTTCGAGGCATAGTTTACCTTAAAGAATCTTTATTTTGAGTAGCATAATATCGGCACTGCATAATCGAAGCCCAAAAACTGAATTCCCCTCCCCTGAGCACATAGTATCAAAGCACAATTCCCTCCTCCAATTAATAATCATAAATCACATTCCCCAATTAGCTTGAAGCTCAGGCTTCCTCTCCCGTTCTCCAGCCCGCCAATTCCTTATCAACTCTGGTTACAATAACCTTGTTTCTCATGCTAGTTTAGTGTTATGTCTAGCTGGACTCTCATTCACATCCCCTCTCCCAGCATCATCTAACTCTAAAAGCAAAAGGAAAAAGAAATGGAGGGACAGAGAAAAATCTTCAAATCTCTGGCTTCGGTATCATAAATATGAGTCCGTTGCCATGCGTCTGAGTTTTGATCACGTGACCACCGAGACGCCGTAACGGTCCTAAGTTACTTCTTTCCAGTGCCGTTCAGTAACTTTGAACAGTTATTAAACGAGCTGTGGTTAAGCTGAGGAATACCTGCATCAGGTTTGCACGTTTGGTTTGCAGCTCTCTCACAAATATGGAAGGTGAGCAGGCTGAACGTTAGAAGAATTCTCCTTCGTTGGGGCAGAAACGTCTGTGTTTTTTGCATGGAATTCTGCTAGTAGAACAGGTAGGCAGCGTGTGGCTGTGGATTCAGCCATCGACCCATCCTGGTTTGTTTAAAAATACTTTTTTTTCCTATTTTTTTTTTAACAAACTAGGAATCTGACCGCTGTCGAGCTAAGCTGTAGCTCTTCCGTTGTATCTATTTGCAGGAATGCCACGAGATCCAATTAGAGTAGCACAAGGCATTTGAAGGGACTCGTTAGAACAGTTGCTAGAATTGGGTATGTCTAGTTTAACGAAGAGAAGGACAAGGGGGGACATGGTAGCAGTATTCCAATATCTCAGGGGCTGCCATAAAGAAGAGGGAATTAAGCTATTTTCCAAAGCACCTGAAGGCAAGACAAGAAGCAACGGGTGGAAACTAATCAAGGAGAGAAGCAACCTAGAACTAAGGAGAAACTTCCTGACAGTGAGAACAATCAATCAGTGGAACAGCTTGCCTCCAGAAGCAGTAAATGCTCCAACACTGGAAGTTTTTAAGAAGAGACTGGACAGCCATTTGTCCGAAATGGTGTAGGGTTTCCTGCCCGAGCAGGGGGTTGGACTAGATGACCTCCAAGGTCCCTTCCAACTTTACTACTATTATTATTATTATTGCTGGATTTTATTGTAGCTGGGCTCTTCGCACCTGTGTGACACCAGAGTGTCAGGTTTCTCCTTGGCACGCTGGACTGAAACTCATTAAATAACCCAGAAAAATCCAGGAATGGCCAGGAATCAATCAACTTTTGATCAGAAACGTATTGTAGAAAAGTTTGAGGCTCTGTTAGGGAATTTCGAATATCCAGTGCAAGTTCAGTTTATAACTATCCATCGTCTGGGTTTTTTTTTTTCTCCTTTTTGCTCTCCACAACGGGCCAGAAATAATTCTATTTTGGGCAGGAAGTAGAGTTTCCGTTGTTCCTTTGTGTAGCCAGGGACTAACTCTTGGTTGTGTGAGAACTTGTGTTCAAAAGCAGATGGAAAAGCTTGCCTGTATTTGCAGCAGGCAAATGCTCTCCCTGCTCCAGGAATGCACAGTTCATCTCAGAACCTGGTTTGAGCCCAGTTATCATTTGATCTCACGACTCATGGGTTGATGTGTGCTTTCCCTTTCACCAGTTTATGGGAAGCCGGCCGGAAGTCGCCAAGGACATTTCCAACGCAGCTGGAGAGCGACCGAGTCGTCAATGATCAGTGGGGGGCATCTAAAACAAGCTCCATGCCAAGCAACATGTCTTCAGACAAGGACCAGGCAGGTGGCAACAAGGTAGGCGATAAGGTGACTCTCTGGCAATGATGTCCAGTTGAGATAGGGTGCAATTTTACAGTTTTCTGAGGAATCAGGGTAGCAGGTAAATGGCCGCTTTTGAATCCTCAAAAATAAAAACTCAATGTGTCTCTTGCCACTGAATTGTCAATGGCGCTGTCAGCAATTGGTGGATAATATGGCCGAATAGCCCAGAAGTTAAACAGATCGACAAAAAGGCCAAATCCTAACTGCGTCTCCTTCCTTCCTTCCTTCCTTCCTTCCCTCCCTCCCTTCCTCCCTTTCCCTTAAAATCAACTTTCCTTCCTTTCTTCCTTCCTTCCTTCCCTCCCTCTTAAAATCAACCTTCCGTCCTTCCTTCCTTCCCGCCTTCCCTCCCTCCCTCTCTCCCTTTCCCTTAAAATCAACTTTCCTTCCTTCCTTCCTTCCTTCCTTCCTTCCTTCCTTCCTTCCTTCCTTCCTTCCCCTCCCTCTTAAAATCAACCTTCCTTCCTTCCTTCCCTCCTTCCCTCCCTCCCTCTCTCCCTTTCCCTTAAAATCAACTTTCCTTCCTTCCTTCCTTTCTTCCTTCCCTCCCTCTTAAAATCAACTTCCTTCCTTCCTTCCTTTCTTCTTTCCTTCCCTCCCTTTTAAAATCAACCTTCCTTCCTTTCTTCTTTCCTTCCCTCCCTTTTAAAATCAACCTTCCTTCCTTCCTTTCTTTATTTCTTCCTTCCTTCCTTCCCTCCCTCTTAAAATCAACCTTTCTTCCCTCTTTCCTTCCTTCCTTCCCTCCCTTTTAAAATCAACCTTCCTTCCTTCCTTCCTTTTTTTTAATTTGCTAGTTAATTCTCAACTTCCCCAGCTGAGGAAATGCCTGATGGTGATGGATTAATTCTATTGCGCTCATTATCATCTCTCGTGGCCCTCCCAAGAAAAGGACCTCTGTCTGAATCTCACTTTCAGCAAAGTTTGGGGGAGTTTGTCTAAATGGTTGAGAGCTTTCTGAATTTGAAATCTGCCAGACTAGATCTGGCTTATTTCTTAAAGAAATGGTTTGCTTGTCACTCTTCAGAACTACCCATCCACCTCAGCATTCTGGATAAGGTATATATTTTAAAATATTTTAAAAGACAGTGTAGAAGCAATAGTTGTCAAGCATCCGAATGTAAACCACGGGGATGCTCCAACGGTCGTAAGTGTGAAAAATGGTCATAAGTCACTTTTTCTGGTGACTTTCAACTTTGAACGCTTACTAAATGACCTGTTGTAAGTCAGCAACAGTCTGTACTGGTTTCCAGTTCTAGTTTCTCCCATTTCCAGCTTTAAGGTTACCCATTTCTACACGCCCAAATCTATTAGCTGAAGAATAAACTTGGAATACTGTAGAGCATTTCTTGGGGGGGGGGGAATTATAAGAACCACAAACAATCGGAAAAGCTTTTAATTGCTTCACCTTGAAGCAACTTCCTTTTAAGACTGCATGAATGACCTTAAAGGTTAAAACACTTGCTGTTCCCGAAAACAAAGGGAGACAAACAAACAAACCACTTACGATGTTCATAATGAGTTTTAGAATTAGAGTGCAATTTGAAACTTACACCTACTGGAGACCTGATATCAGGAAATTAAAAAAAAAAAACCAGGCTAAATTTTGTTCCTTCTGTACGGTCTCTCCAGGTCTCCTGGTCACGGCGTTGTTCGTTAGTGTGTTTTAAAAAGGGGGGAAGACATTTAACTACTCGCTTCTCATACCTGTATTAGTAACACTGAGCCAAAGTTTGCTTATTCAGCCAGTTTCTCCAAAGGATTTGTGTAATGCGTCTTAATTCTGCTTCTTGGTATGTTACCTGTGCCATGTTTTCCATTAAAGACTATAGGGAGTGCATGGAAGGAGGAACATTGTGTTCAAAAATAAATTTTTCCCCAGAGAGAAGAGTTTCCTGTAAGAGGTCATTTCTTCCCCGTTGCTCCTTAAATAAGTTTTCTACCTTTTGACCCCAATCTATTTTTTTTTTCCCTTCTCTAGAGGCTGCCATGTTTTCTTGAAACATTTCCCGGGGTTTCTGCAGCGTTCACCTTGGTAAAGGCAGTTCTCAGTTTATCAACATTTATAAAAGGAGAGAAAATCTGTAGCCTTATCTGAAACTGAACAAGAAATATTCAGAGATTCTTAAACAAGCAGAGTTTGGCAAGCAGGCCAACATTCAGTATGGGAGGAATCCCTTGGCAGAATTCACATTCTGCTCTTACGGAAACACTGGATGTAGAAAATTGGGGTTCCTCTATCAGTCTGTTTGCTCATCTTCCTTCCCCAATATTTTGCTATTTGGAACAAGGATGCCCATCAGCCTGCCTAGTGGTTTGGGAGGGTGGGAGCTGTGGCCCAAAACATTGGGAAGGCATGATATCGGAGAAAGAAGATCTATGCCAACTGACACAAAAGGAATGGAACGGTATGTGAGAATAACCTTGGGAAACAGGAGGAAGAGCTGCAGAGTAAGCAACAATCAGATATGATGAGGCTGAACTCACAAAAACATCTTAGATCTCTAGTGTCTTGGACAGTAAAAGCAAAGTGGGGGCAAAATGTACTTTCAGAGTTGCAAGATTCTGTTACTACACGCTTACAATACAAACAGAGCTACAAATAGTGTGTTTCTTGCCTGGACTACTTTGCAAGGCTGACAAGGACTGAGCAGAACCTGTACAATCTAGGCTAGGAAGTTAAATAGGCTTTATTCTAGCTAGAACTAGAGAAGGTTTCTAGTATTAACTAGAAAAAGAGTGGATTTCTTACACCCCAGAAGAAAGCAAGAGTCAACTACCTCTGAACAGTGGCAAAGAAAATTACATGGATTAGTTCTTGAAATCCCCAGCTTGACTTGAAGGAAATTTTACCTTTATGGGGAAACAATTGGGGATCGTGTGCAATTGTGAAGCATGCACTCTGCTTCTGATTGACAGTCCACCGCCTTGGCAGTTCTTTCCTCTCTGCCTTTTTCAGCAGGTACTTCCACCCACACTTGCAAAGTCTTAATCTCCATAACCCTCAGGATGACAGACACCGCAGCCCTCCTGAACAGCTCGTTTGGAAGAGCAAAGAGGGTGATTTGAAGCATGAGAAGAAACCCCGAATTTATTTCCAGCATCATAGTATAGCTGGGTCCCTTTGTGAGAGAGATGGGTGGTTTCTAAATATGATAGCTAGATAAATAGCTAGATCGCCAGCTTATCTCTCGATAGATAGATAGATAGATAGATAGATAGATAGATAGATAGATAGATAGATAGATAGATAGATAGATAGACAGACACAGACAGACACAGACAGACACACAGACAGACAGACAGACAGACAAGAAGGATAGACAGATGATAGATAGATAGATATAGAGATAGATAGATAGATAGATAGATAGATAGATAGACACAGACAGACAGACAGACAAGAAGGATAGACAGATGATAGATAGATAGATAGATAGATAGATAGATAGATAGATAGATAGATAGATAGATAGATAGATATAGAGATAGATAGATAGATAGATAGACAGACAGACACAGACAGACAGACAGACAAGAAGGATAGACAGATGATTGAGAGAGAGAGAGAGAGAGAGAGAGAGAGAGAGAGAGATAGAACTCCAGCTTCTCATGATCCTTCTTCCTGATGTTGCTATCACTTGTCCACATCTATCAGCACCACTCTCTTCTGATCCTACCACGGTGCGCACACACACACACACACACACACACAAACATATCAATTTGCAGGAATGTTTTGGAGTTCCATGAAGATCCTACTAGGATGGTGAGGAACTAGTTGGTCTTTTACGAAATGAGGGTTCGGCAGTTGGTCGGGGCCTCCATTTTGTGAGTGGATCCACCACCCGCTTCCAAATTTGCACACGTACCATCAGCGCCCAAGGAACTTGCCTCTCTGCTCTATGTCCCCAACCCTGAGACCATCAGCCTCTTTCTGAGTGCCTGGGCTGGACCAAACAATCTCATAGACCATTATTCTCTTTCTACTCTATTTACTCAGGTCCCTTCTGGCCAGTGGTCACCTACCAAAAAAGTGGTGAACGAAAGCCCTTCCAAATGCCCCCGTTTTACCAAAGTGAGGAACTGGGAAACTGGCTGTGTGCTCAACGATACTTTGCATTTGAAGTACTCCATGGTAAGTGAGATGCCCACCTGCTTGAGTATTCTTCCAAACGTTTGGGGTCCACTTCCAAGGAAACCTCCTTGAAACATGCTTTTCTCAAGGGCCGGCTCTACCATGAGTGGAGTGAAGCAGCCAATCCAGGCAACTAGGCTTCATTCTCAAAGGTTGTGACTAACCTTAGGGAGGAGGAACCTTGACTGGAAAAGATGGGGGAGGTGCTTCAGGTAGTCCTCAAATGGAGCCTGCAGTGGTTAGAATGCAGTATTGCAGGCAAACTCTGCCCACAGTCTGGAGTTCGATCCTGACGGGGATGAAGGCTGACTCAGCCTTCCATCCTTCTGAGGTGGGTAAAATGAGGACCCAGCTTGTTGGGGGCCATAGGCTGACTCTGTAAACTGCTTAGAGAGGGTTGTAAAGCACTGTGAAGCGATATAGAAGTCTAAGTGCTATTGCTATAACCACAATTGAAGTTCAGAGAAGGCCTGGAGACCAAAACATGTGAAGAACACCTGCAGGACTTGGGTTTGGCTAGTCTAAAGAAAAGAAGAAATAGGGGAGACATGATAGCAGCGTTCCAGTATCTGAGGGGCTGCCACAAAGAAGAGGGGGTCAGGTTGCTCACCAGAGCACCAGAGGGAAGGACGAGAAACAATGGTTGGAAACTGACCAAAGAGAGAAGCAACCTGGAATTAAGGAGAAACTTCCTAACAGTGAAAACAATTAACCAGTGGAACAGCTTGACACCAGAAATCGTGGGTGCTCCATCACTGGTGATTTTTAAGAAGGGACAGTCACTTGTCTGAAGTGGTAGAGCTTCTCCTGCTGGAGCAGGGGGCTGGACTAGAAGACCTCCAAGGTCCCTTCCAACTCTGTTATTTTTCTCCTCTCTGGATAGTGCAGTCCTGCAGTGGAGCTGCAAATGGGAATAAATACTGTACTTCTTTGATCATTCCATTCGTGTGTTTCATTTCCTCCCTTTTGCATTCAAGCCTTCTTCATCAAATGACTGAATCTTTAATTCTGGAATTTGCAAGAGTGACTAATTTGTGCTCCGATTCAGTTCTTCAGCTAAGTCTCCCTCTCCCCGCTCCCTGTCTCCCTGTTTGTCGTATTTCTTCCCTTCGCCTCCTGTGCGTAGATAAGCCACCGCAGAGTGCCATTTACCGCACCATTCATATCAGGGTTCTTTCTGATAGTGCCACATGAAAGAATGCCAGCCACAAAGGATGTTGATGCTGCGATGTGCCGGTTTGTTAGCTGAAGAATGCTCCTTTGCCGTTCAATCAATGCGCCTGAGCGCACGTGCGCGACATATTAGCAAAACACCAGTAACAAAATCGGGAGCGAAAAGGAAACATGAATAAATGAGAGAACGTAGAACCTAGGGTACATTTTTGGGGGGGGGGAGTTAAGGTTTTTTAAGATGCAAATAAGAAGGTCTCAGAGGATAGCACCATTTAAAAACATCCATCCAGGGTGCAGCAGCTGCGAAGCGGGCAAATTCCACACAGGGCGGATCATTAAGGGGAAAAAAAGGGTACAAATGCCTCCGTTTCATATTGCTTTCATAGAAATGTATACAGCGCGGAAGGCTTTTTAGAATTGCGTTTCTTGCTTTTCAAGAAAAAGGGACTGGGGCAAGGAAAGAAAGCCGTCACCAGAACAACTGGAAGAAAAGTTACAAAAGGAGCTTTGATTTGCCCATCTGATTATTTTTCTTTTTTAAAAAAAAATCAAATAGGGGAAGGAGTAGAATAGAAATTCTGATATAATATATATATTCCTCCTTCTTTCATAATATTCATGCGAGAGAGAAAGACATTTGCCCAAAGCTGCTGTTTTTCAGGTGTGTGGTTCTCGCAAATGCAGGCCGTTTGTATTTTGTAAGCAGCCAAAATGATGTGTTAAACTCTTAAGAGCATTAAGATTCAGAGCAGAGTCCCACAATGGTGAGATCAGCGGCGTATAAATTTAATAAATAAATAAGTAAATATCTCTGATATTCCATCATCCCTGGAGCATCCTTGGCACGTCCTCTGTGTTCTTCAAACTCCTTCAACGGGTGAACAGAATCTTCACTAGGTGGCTTTCTCCTTCTCCTTCTCCTTCTCCTTCTTCTTCTCCATCGTCTCCTTCTCCTTTCTAGTTCCTATCTCTTATCTTTCAGGTGACCCCTTGCAGTGATCAGGTCTGCATGGGGTCCATCATGATCCCTCCTCAGCATGTCCGCAAACCGGAAGAAGTCCGGACGAAGGATCAGCTCCTCCTCCTCGCCAAAGAATTCATTGATCAGTACTACTCCTCCATCAAGAGGTAAGTTGGAGGCCTCTGCAATCCCTGGCCCCAGTAACTGTCATGATTTCTGCAAGGTATTTGACCATGGGCAACCCTGCACCAACTTGTCCCACTGGCTACGATCAGGGTAGCCTGCTTGCAAATTAAGGATGGGTCTTTAAAATAAGTGGACAGTAGAGTCTTCCTGGTTAATTATATAAAATCTGGCACGAATCTGCCCTTAATTTGTTAAAACATGCTCTCCCCTCTGCAATGCTCCATCACTGGAGGTTTTTAAGAAATGACTGGACAGCTCTTTGTCTGGAATGGTATAGGATCTCCTGCTAGAGCAGAAGGTTGGACTAGAAGACCTCCAAAGTCCCTTCCAATTCTATTATTCCATATTCTGAATCTCCTTGTGCTCCTTGTGATTACGAGGATGGCCAACTTTGGCACAATGCCTGTTCCCTTTTGGAGAACAGAACTTTTGCTTGGGGCAGGATTGCCTTGCGCAACTCAACTGTGCCCACCACAGTGGCATGAATGAGGGCCAACCTCTTTCCTTCTCTGGCCTGGCAGGTCTGGCTCAAAAGCTCACATGGAAAGGCTGGTGGAAGTCACCAAAGAGATAGAAACCACGGACACTTACCAGTTGCACGATACGGAGCTGATCTATGGAGCCAAGCACGCCTGGCGTAATGCGTCTCGTTGCGTGGGGAGAATCCAGTGGTCCAAGCTGCAGGTGAGGAACTCAGGGACTTGGACACGGCCTGCAGGCCACCTGCCTACGTGCTTATACTTTGGCAAGTGCAAGTTCTTCTTAGCAGGTGTGAATATTCTTGGCAAGCCGGCATGGCAGTAAAGAGGCCTGCAAGAAGGCTGAAAGCTCTGGTGAAGCCAGAGGATTTGGGGAATCTGATGTAAAACAAGCCCTCCAAATATTTTAAGTTCAGGATTTTGCAAGCACCTACGCCCGGCCCACGCAGGGTTTCTTTTCATTAAACCAAAAAGAAGAAAAATCTTTATCAATTGGAGGCATGTGGGAGGGGCAAACAACCTTTCTGTGCAAATATTAATCCTCAATTTCAGAGATTTGCATGCGAAAATAGAGTCTCTCCCCATACCTGAACAACTGAATTCATGTTAAGCCTGCTTAAGAGTTTATGCGGGTTTATTTGCTGAGCCAGCCCCAGATGTAAGGTGGAAGGACTGTCAAATTCTTTCCTTCTTTTACATGGTTTTTTCTAGTTGGCGCTTCAGGATCTTAAAAGCTTCGGGTCTAAGCCTGCCTTCCGTGTCTGCAGAAATTAAATCTTTCTGCTACTGTACATGGCAGCCGTTCAGCATTTAAAATGTACGATTATATGCATGAACTTACACATCAGTACTGCCTTCTCTTCTTCAAGACCAAAACTGGGCCTTCATTCTCTTTGTAGTGGATCATAACTCCGACTCTTCTGTTGCTCCCCTCTGGGAGGAGGTTTCGAAGTATTTATAGCTGAACGACTAGATTTGTAACAGCTTTGTTCCTTATGCCATCCGTCTTGTAAATTTGCAGGATTCTTTTTTTTCTCCACCATGTATATGTATACATTTGACCTAGACTGTGATGTCATATATGTGTATGAGGTTGGTGCATAATGGTGTTTTTTTCAGAGCTGAATGGAACAAAATTTCATTTTAATGTCATGCTGATTAGTGTACATTTAATGTGACAATAAAGATTCTCTATTCTATTCTATTCTATTCTATTCTATTCTATTCTATTCTATTTCTGTTATTCTATTCTATTCTATTCTATTCTATTCTATTCTATTTCTGTTATTCTATTCTATTCTATTCTATTCTATTCTATTCTATTCTATTCTATTCTATTCTATTCTATTCTATTCTATTCTATTCTATTCTATTCTTCCAGGTTTTTGATGCCCGGGACTGTACCACAGCCCATGGGATGTTCAACTATATTTGCAACCACATCAAATATGCAACGAACAAAGGGAACCTCAGGTACGTGTGTGTGTGTGTGTGTGTGTGTGTGTGTGTGTGTGTGTGTGTGTGTGTGTTGATGCCCAAATGGCATGATGGCATTGGACCAAGACTCGTTTTGTTATCTTTGCTTGGGAAGCTTAGAAAAAAACAGAGCAACCCAAAGTTAGAATCTCCCATAGCCAGTTTAGTCTAGTGCAGGGGTCTTCAAACTTGGCCCTTTTATGACTTGTGGACTTCAACTCCCAGAATTCCTCAGCCAGCGTGCCTGGCTGAGGAATACTGGGAGTTGAAGTCCACAAGTCATAAAAGGGCCAAGTTTGAAGACCCCTGGTCTAGTGGTTAAGGCACCACGCTAGAATGCAGGAGAGCATGAGTTCAAGTCCCGCCTTAACCGTGAAAGCCAGCTCAGTGACTTTGGGCTGATCACCTGGAGACTCCGAGTTCTAGTCCTGCCTTAGCCATGAAAGCCAGGTGAGTGAGTTTGGGCCAGTCCCTCTCTCTCAGCCTTGTGGAGAAAATAGGAGGAAGCAGGTTACTTGTAAAAATAATAAAGGCGGGGTGCAAACTGGTAAAGTAAAATGAAAAATAACATAAAATGAACGTTCTAGTCTAAAATGGGATGGATTTTCCACTTAAATTGATGGTATACAAAGGATTCCAGAGGAGCTACTGGTGCCTATAGAACATGGGGTGGCAACTTAGAGACCTATGGCTCCCCGTGGCTTGCATACCCCCTTCTTTACCGCCCTCTCCTAAAGCATCTCCGGCAGTGTTCCTGAATTGCTATAATTGCTGTAAATTGGAGGCTGGCCTTCCTTTTCATTTCAAGATGGAAAAATAGTATGGTGAAAGCTAAAATGAGCTTAACGCTATTTACAAAGGAAACCAAGGCAAGAGAGCTCCACTTCCAAGCAAACCAAGCCATTCCAGGGATACAGCTCCAATTATTTTGCAGAATCAAACAAGACCGCCTAAAACAGAGGTGTCCCACCTTGGCCACTTTAAGACCTGTGGGCTTTAATTCCTAGAATGTTAAAACTGTGCCCCTTTTTCTCTTGCCCTCCTAGGTCCGCCATCACCATCTTCCCCCAGAGGACGGATGGCAAACACGACTTCCGGGTCTGGAACTCCCAGATCATCCGTTATGCTGGTTATAAACAACTGGACGGTACCATCGTGGGTGACCCAGCTAATGTGGAGCTGACTGAGGTTGGTGCATGACATGGAGGGACATACAGAATCCTATCAGGGTAGCATACCTGTGGTGGAAAAAATCCATCAAATTATTGTCATGGTCTGTGAGAATGATCTTGGGAGACAGGAAGGAGGAGACTGGCATATAAAAGATGTCTCAGATCACAGATAAGGAAAAGGGATGTGGGAAGTGTTTCAGAAGGGACTGTCCCACTTTTCTGGAGAGGGAGAGGAAGAAGAGAGAAGAGAGGGAGAGGAGGGAGGGGAGAGGGAGGGGAGAGGGGAGAGGAGGGGAGAGGAGGAGGGGAGTGGGAGAGCAGAGGAGGGGAGAGGGAGGGGAGAGAGGGAGGGGAGAGGAGGGGAGAGGGGATGGGATGGGAGAGGAGGAGGGGAGTGGGAGAGCAGAGGAGGGGAGAGGGAGGGGAGAGGAGGGGAGAGGGAGAGGAGAGAGAGGAGAGGGAATGGGAGGAGGAGGAGGGGAGTGGGAGAGCAGAGGAGGGGAGAGGGAGAGGGGAGAGGGAAGGGGAGGAGGAGGGGAGAAGGAGAGGAGAGAGGGAGAGGGAGGGGAGAGGAGGGGAGAAGGAGAGGAGAGAGTGGAGAGGGGATGGGATGGGAGAGGAGGAGGGGAGTGGGAGAGCAGAGGAGGGGAGAGGGAGAGGGGAGAGGGAGGGGAGAGGAGGGGAGAAGGAGAGGAGAGAGGGGAGAGGGAGGGGAGAGGAGGGGAGAAGGAGAGGAGAGAGTGGAGAGGGGATGGGATGGGAGAGGAGGAGGGGAGTGGGAGAGCAGAGGAGGGGAGAGGGAGAGGGGAGAGGGAGGGGAGAGGAGGGGAGAAGGAGAGGAGAGAGGGGAGAGGGAGGGGAGAGGAGGGGAGAAGGAGAGGAGAGAGTGGAGAGGGGATGGGATGGGAGAGGAGGAGGGGAGTGGGAGAGCAGAGGAGGGGAGAGGGAGAGGGGAGAGGGAGGGGAGAGGAGGGGAGAAGGAGAGGAGAGAGTGGAGAGGGGATGGGATGGGAGAGGAGGAGGGGAGTGGGAGAGCAGAGGAGGGGAGAGGGAGAGGGGAGAGGGAGGGGAGAGGAGGGGAGAAGGAGAGGAGAGAGGGGAGAGGGAGGGGAGAGGAGGGGAGAAGGAGAGGAGAGAGTGGAGAGGGGATGGGATGGGAGAGGAGGAGGGGAGTGGGAGAGCAGAGGAGGGGAGAGGGAGAGGGGAGAGGGAGGGGAGAGGAGGAGGGGAGGGAGAGGGCAGAGGAGAGGAGAGGAGAGAGTTAATGTGAAGTTAATGTAACTTTACAATAAGCACTCCTAGTTGTAAACTAATAATTAGAACTCCTAGTTGTGCTTCTTGTCTGGAATACTTCGAAGGGCTAAAAAAATTTAACTGCATGTTTTTAAAAAACGCTTCTGAATCCACGTCTGCTTGTCCTTAATTGTTATCTTTTAGTTTTGATTGTCGCCAGCATCTTACAAACTTGGTTCTGCAGCCAGCATTAGCTGCTTTTTAAATAGCAGCTTTGACACCAATTAACATGATCCTTCATGCTTATTCCAAAGCATCTTTTAGAAACCGAACACTTTATAAATGATGAGTATTTGAAGCTTACTCAGGGGAAACTGTGCAAAATTTGAAACAGAAGTGCCCTGTGATAACATCACTGCTCACTACTAAACATTAAATATATATATATAGCTTGGTTAGTTTGCTTTCCTACTGATTTAGATTCCGCCAAGCCTTACGAGAACAACATTGGACTGTCTGCTGTAAATTGATCATAGAGTCCTGGCAGTAGTTTTGAAAAAGGCCAGTTTGGTCTAGCGGTTCTGACATCAGGCTAGATCATGAGTTCAAGTCCCACTGTCCCCAACATCCCAGATCCAGGGAACTCTCTGGATCAATAAACAGATGTTGGTAGATGTCACGTTTTACACCTGTGTTTTGTTGCATGGATATCCACAACCCTACCTTGTTTCTTTGGGTACAGATTTGCATACAGCAAGGGTGGAAAGCCCCCCATGGCCGATTTGATGTCCTGCCACTCCTTCTCCAGGCCAATGGAAATGACCCTGAGCTTTTGGAGATCCCACCTGAGCTGGTGCTGGAAGTCCCCATGAGACATCCCAAGTAAGTCCAGATGTGTTCTTGGCTCCCGTTAAGTTGACGCCAAGCGGTTGTGAGTTTCCCAACTTAATGATGTTGTGGGACATTCAGGATAGCGCTCCATTAACCCATGTGTAGACGACCCTTCTCATTTCCCCGAGTAAGTTCTACCCAACGTAATGGTGGTTGCCTTCCTTTCTGTTTTCTTTATTTTATTATTATTATTATTTTTAATTTTGCTTTGTATTTTAGTCCTGTGCTGGGATGATGTGCTTTATGGATCAACCCTTAGGCATGGAATTTGCTGTGAGCCTCAACACATGATCGACTGATCATTGATTGAGTCATAAATGTCCTTCCAAAACTGGACCATCTTCTTCTTCAGAATTGGACCAGAGGCTCTTCAAGTAGATTTAAGCTTTTGCAGCTTCTCTGGAGGCAGTTGTCCTAGTTCAGGGGTCTTCAAACTTGGCCCTTTGATGACTTGTGGACTTCAGCTCCCAGAATTCCTCAGCCAGGCACGCACGCCTGGCTGAGGAATTCTGGGAGTTGAAGTCCACAAGTCATCAAAGGGCCAGGTTTGAAGACCCCTGTCCTTGTTGTTCCTTCTTTTTATGTTTTTCCCTTTAACAGATTCGAGTGGTTTAAAGAACTCGGGCTCCAGTGGTATGCCTTACCAGCTGTTTCCAACATGCTGCTTGAGATTGGAGGCCTGGAGTTCACTGCCTGCCCTTTCAGTGGCTGGTACATGGGGACCGAAATCGGAGTGCGGGATTACTGCGACAGCTCTCGCTACAACGTCCTAGAGGTAGCTCTCCTCTCTCAAATCATACTTCTGAATCCTTGAAACCCTTCCAGGAGATTGCAATAGAAAGTGACTGCCTCTGAGGGTATGTGAGAAAGGCCTTGGGACAAGGAAGGGAGGCGGCGGCAGCTGCTGCTGCTGTTGCTACTGCCGCCTTGGGACTGATCCGATAAGAGAGGGAGTAGCCTACAGCTGCATAACAGGCAGAGAAAGAGAACTTCCCTAACTTCACACGCTGGAAAAGAGACAGCAGCAAAAACTTGCAAGATTGATTTTACTTTTCCTAGGTAGACCAGACAGAAAACACAATCAAATGAGCTAATTCCACTTTATTGTAAGACTACATTTGCAGGATCTCGCAGGTCTGATTTCTTTCTCTCTCTCTCTCTCTCTCTCTCTCTCTCTCTCTCTCTCTCTCTCTCTCTCTCCCTCTCTCTCTCTCTCTCTCTCTTTCTTTTATTTCTATAGCTGCCCATCTCAGTAAATGACTATGATTGTTTTAGACATTTAAAAACAACAGCAACAACATTTGCTGCAGCAGATAAACAAAGCTACCCCACGTTACACCTTAGGTGTAACTTTAGGAATTCTGAAGTTGGGTATCTAAATTTTGGATGTCCAAATTCTTTGAAGAAAGACATAAGCAAATACAGATACAAAAATGTTTATGTGTGTGTGTGTGTGTGTTGTTGTAGCTGTTAAAATGATTTTCTAACAGCCTAGCTCAAATCAGATTGAGGAGTAGCATATTGCTTAGAATCAATAACCAGAACCAGGTTCACAATGGATAAACTTTTGGGGTCTCTTTCGAAACTTACTGCATTGACAAGGCTGTTCTGTTTTCTAAAAATTTCTCATCCGGCCCTGCCATTTGATCAAGCGTCATTTCACGTCTAATTGTGATGAGCCTGTGTTGTTCGTACATTGCAGGAAGTTGCCAAAAAGATGAATTTAGACATGCGGAAAACATCCTCCCTCTGGAAAGACCAGGCACTTGTGGAAATCAACATTGCAGTCCTGTACAGTTTCCAGGTACTGGCAGATTATTACATAAAACAATAGCCATTTGTTAGAAATACACAATCTTCGGAAAGCTGTAAGAGTAGTCCTCATTTACTGACCGTAATTGGGACTGGCAACTTGGTCACTAAGAGAAACTGCATCTATGATTGTAATAACCAAGACTTCAAATTCTCCCAAAGGTTCTTATTCAAATAGCAACTGGACTTCGTTTTTTTCTTATTTCACTTCTTATCCAAGACGCTTCTTCAGCTCTGACTGAAGGATTTATATCCTCCACCATTCGGTCAGAACTGAAGAAGCTTTTTGGATGAGAAGCGAAATGTCTTCCAGGAAAAACAAAGTCCAGTTCTCTTTTGAAAAAACATCTTTGGGACAAATATGACCTAGATGACTGAGAATCTCCATAAACACCTTGAATTGGACCCAGACGTTCATATTGCGTGAATTAAGCCCTAAAATGTTGCATTTGTTTAGGTGTAGTTTGTACCTTCTCTCTACAGAGCGACAAGGTGACGATTGTGGATCACCACTCGGCCACCGAGTCCTTCATCAAGCACATGGAGAATGAATACCATTGCCGGGGAGGCTGTCCAGCTGACTGGGTGTGGATTGTCCCACCCATGTCTGGAAGCATCACCCCTGTCTTCCACCAGGAAATGCTCAACTACAGACTTACACCCTCCTTTGAGTATCAGGTACCGTTTCCTCACCTGCTCTTCAGTTCAGATTCCAGGTGACGTTTAGGGATGGAGAACTAGAACATAGAACATAGAATTACAGAGTTGGAAGAGACCGTGGAAGTCCAACTCCTTGCTCAAGCAGGAGACCCTATAGCAGTGGTTCTCAACCTTTTTAATGCCCCGACCCCCAACCGGTCGTAAGTCAAGGACTACTCAACCGGTCGTAAGTCGAGGACTACTCAACTGGTGCAGCACCGTTTGCAGAATGGGGCTTTTGGCGGGCTCAGCAGGGCAGAGACAGCCTGGACACTTCCTATTGGCTTTTGAAAGCCAATAGAATTGGACTCTGTTCAAGAGAGTCTATTCTATTGGCTTTCCAAAGCCAATAGAATAAAAGGGAGTAGCACAGCTAAGGAAAAGGGGGAAAAAATGGCGGACTGCGTTGTTTGGCGACCCCCGTGAAATGGTCATTTGACCCGAAATGGGGTCCCGACCCACAGGTGGAGAACCACTGCCCTATACCATTCAGACAGCTGGCTGTCTGGCACCCCAGAACTTCTGGATGATGAATTGTTCTCACTCTAAAGAAATTTCTTCTTAGTTCTGGAATCTCTTTAGATCTCTCCTCCAATCGATCAGAATAGAGCTGGAAGGGAACTTGGAGGTCTTCTAGTCCAACCCTCTGCCCAAACATTCCAGACCTATACCATTCCAGACAAGTGGCTGTCCAGCCTCTTCTTAAAAGCCTCCAGTTTGGTCTTTTTTAACTGAGATTCTTTCTCTCTCTCTTTCCAGCCTGACCCGTGGCACACTCACGTCTGGAAAGGTGGCAATGGTACCCCAACTAAGAAGAGAACAATTGGCTTTAAAAAATTAGCTAAGTAAGTATGCAGCCACGCCATTCCATCTCCCTGTGTATAACACATTTTTAGACGTGCCATTAAAACTTTAAGCAGCATGCCAGCAGTGCCCATCTCAACCATGACACCCAAACGCTGAAAAGCCTGGTTGAGTATCTTGAGTTTGTTCGGAAAACATATTAACTAAAAAATTATCCCTTCAAATGATTCTATGCATCAAATTGGGCGCACGATTCTCAGTTCTGTCTACGCAATGCTTCAATACACTTGATCTCTAATAAAATTATATCTCATCAAATGGAGCCAAGGATCCTTTCTATCTAGACATTCAAAGTTGTGGGCAGTCTGTTAGCAGTATTCCAAGCCTGGCGGTATAAAGTGGTATAATGCTCAGGAGATCTTTCCACAATAATGAATTTATCTTCTTTTCATCTCTCACACAGAGCTGTCAAGTTCTCTGCGAAGCTGATGGGACAAGCGATGGCGAAGAGGGTCAAAGCAACCATCCTGTATGCCACGGAAACAGGGAAATCCCAGGTCTATGCAAAAACACTCTGTGAAATCTTCAAGCATGCCTTTGATGCCAAGGTAAGCACCTAAGCTTGCTTGGGCACCCACAGGAGACCACAGGAGTGAATGGCCCAACAAACTGTGCCACATTCCCGAGAAGTTGAGAGCTCTCCCAATTTCACTGAGGCTGAAATACAAAATTCTCCTAGATTACCCTTGAAAAATCCCCATTCTTTCAGGATCGTTTGGAGGGTGGCATGTGAGCTTTGAGGCAGAGATCAATTAATAGCATCTGCAACGTTAACAACTCCATCTCAATGCCTCGCGATTCCCAGAGCAGGCTTGCAACTCCTCCAAAGTGACGTTTCCTACTTGTTGTTTCTACTTGGCGATGTAGGAGATGAGCAGGCCTGAGACTGAGGGAGGGGTCAAACGCGTCATCAGTCATGAGTCCCTTCACGTGAAATCCAGCTCATTGTGAATGCTTTTTTATCTCCCGCTCGTTTCCCTTGACTGTTAGCGGTTCAGATTCTTGTCGAGAGCTTAAGCTTGCAATAAGTCTTAATACTCCTTGGAACTGCTTGAATCTCCTGATTCTGACAGGCAAAAGGAAACGTTGCAGATGCAAGTGGAGTTTTTTAAAAAAAGGCCATTTGAATCATAAGAAAAAGGGAAGGGACGGAGGGCAGACAGCTAATTTATAAATAGCATGCAATCTGGCAGCCCTTTCTCTGTGGTTTTGCCTTTTGTCTCTGGAGCTTTTAGAGTCTGGGAAGAAAAAGGCAATTGTCCAACTGTTGCACACAAATGTCCACATTGGTGCATATTTTCAGTTATGGAATACCATAATTGGAAGGGACCGTGGAGGTCATCTCATCCAACCCCCTACTCAAGCAGGGGACCTTATACCACTCTGAACAAATGGCTGTCCAGTATCTTCTAGGAAGCCTCCAATGATGGATCACCCACAACTTCTGTTCAGTTACAGTTGGTGGCTTTCAACAGTTGGTGTTCTTCTGAAGCTACCAGTTTTATCCTTTCAGGTGATGTCGATGGATGAGTATGATACCGTTCACCTGGAACATGAAACCCTGGTTCTGGTGGTCACAAGCACCTTCGGCAACGGAGACCCTCCTGAGAATGGAGAGGTAGGAAGGGAGGTGGCAACCACTAGTAATACATGTAGCAACCCAACTGGGTCTATTCTATTTAACAGAATAACAGAGTTGGAAGGGGCGTTAGAGGTCTTCTAGTCAAACCCACTGCTCAAGCAGGAAACCCTATACCATTTCTACCAATAGATTCTGCATAATCCATGCTGAAATCATCTTAAACAGTTAGACCAGGGGTCTTCAAACTTGGCAACTTTAAGACTTGTGGACTTCAACTCCCAGAATTCCTCAGCCAGCCCAGGGCTAGCTGAAGAATTCTGGGAGTTGAAGTCCACAAGTCTTAAACTTGCCAAGTTTGAAGACCCTTGAGTTAGACCAGTGGTGGGATTCAGCTACTTCGCACCAGTTCAGCAGAACCGGTAGCTAATTTTGTGTTGCCCAGGCCCAGAATGGACTTCCGGAAGCAGCATCCACACAGAGAACCGGTTGTTCACCTATTTGAATCCCACCACTGAGTTAGACCATTCCCAAAATCCTCCAGCCAGGACAATTCTGAAAGTTGGACTCCATGTATCTTAAAACTGCCAAGGTTGAGAAACATTGATATAAACTAAGAAACATTGGACAATCACAAAGCTGGTCTCTTCAATATTTATAAAAGAACCTGTCATCTTTCAGACCTGGAAAAAAAAAATCTTGCAGCTGCTCTAAGAGTTGTATTCATTCTGATTAAATTGTTTCTTAAAACTGCCCCTTTTTAGACAGCTCTGAATGCTGGAGAAATGACAGGAAGTTTTAATTAATGACAGGAGGACCACAACGGCATGAATCCTGTGGCATATTTTCTAAATTGTTTTTGGGCTGTCCGTAACCCTAATCATGGGGTATATCTGTTGGGTTTCTCTTTGTTCCTCAGAAATTTGGGTGTGCCTTGATGGAGGTGAGAAATCCTAACTCCAGCTTAGAAGAGAGCAGGTAAATTTAATTTAACGAGATTGCTTAATAGAATTCCTTTGCAACATGGAAGCATTTCCTGAATTTCTTGTAGTTCCTTCTTATGTGCTGGTCTATGGTGGGGTTATAAGAATTTCAGTCAACTCCCATAAATTTGCAGAGTTCCTGGGTGGGCAGAAGTGTTAGGTACGTCTCTTTTGTTGGCAGGTAAAAATCTTAAAATAACTTTTGCTAAGTTTGTAATTGCAGCTTGCAAACTCTGTACTTTGCTAATAGTATAGGAGTTTAAACAAATCGCACTCCTTTTCATTACATGCATTAGAGCAGCAATTTGCAAAATAATAAAGTCGCCGTTACAGAAGCAACAGAAATTACTGTACGATTTCTTTCCTTATCATGATAGGTGAGCACTAACCACACTGGGATTTCGCAACTGGAAATTCCAATTTTCCCCTCCTTGGAAAAAAAACAAAACCCTACTTTCCTGATTTCAGGAAAACAGACACATCTCTTCCTAATCCAGATCTAAGATCCATTTAATTAGTGGAAATTGTTGCTGTTAATGATGTAATTGTGTGGACAGCAGTAGGGGGGGAAAAAGAGCTAATTGACTCAGCAGCAGTCCAATTTCAGCAGAAAATAAGCATTACATTTGTCCTGCAGAACACCACATTTCTCTCTATCGCTGCCTCCAGATAATCTTTTCCCCAATTAACAAATTAATCAGTTTTCTGAGATTTGCCAATGACATTGAACCATCAGTTCACAGGGCTTTTTGCAACCTGCAAAATGCAGAGAAATGTCCCTAGCTTATGCTGTATTTGGAGAGTAGTTAAATAATGTGTAAACTTAGCCTATGAATTTTTTTAAAAGTATAGTAATTACATCGACCTGCCACTAGATGTCAGGGTTTTATCACATTTCTTTGACTAATTTCTTGAGCCAATTCCTTTTAAAGCAAGATTCCCCCCACACAAACACACTTTTCAATGTTTTTTCTATTTTGCTGCATTTTCTTTATTTTTAAAAAAATCCTAATATATCATAGATAGTTTGCGATTATTCTGTCTTTGGTTGTTTTCGTGGGCCTGGTGCCCTTAGAATGTGAAGAGAATAGAACTGTTTTAAAGAAATATTAAAACATTCTTGCACGTACCAACTCAGAAGCAAGGGCCACTGAGTGCAAGAATGAAGGCTTGCCTCCAAATAAGCAGACATTTGCAAGCCCCAGGGACTTCCAATTTGTAATATTTACTGCGGCAGACGGGAAAAATTATCCAAACCGTGACCAGAGAGTAAATAACCTGAACCGAATGTGGTTTTGGTTGAAATCTCCACAGATGGATCAAATTTAGTTTTGTCCCAGTTAACTTTCTATTTTATGGCAAGGCAGGTACCAGTGTCTTCTGCAAAGGTGAGTTTTGCACCCCACAGATACAGGACAGTGAAATCAGATTTATTTCACTCTTGTCTCGCTTTAGAGCCGGTTGCAAATGCTTTTCAAAAAAAAAAAATAATGATTCTTTTTTTAATTTTTAAGTGAGGAGATTTGATCATAGGCCTTTATACATTTTTGGGCCTCAACAGGGAAATAACTACCTGGAATGCACTCACAAAGAGTAGCATAAGGTTGACTTTCTCTCTCTGCCTGATTGCTTTAACTCTCCGTCCTGGTTTGCAGAAGCTACAAAGTGCGCTTCAACAGTGTTTCCTCATATTCGGATGCTCGGAAATCCTCTATTGATGGACCTGAAGCCAGGGATAACTTTGAGAGTGCTGGTCCTCTAGCCAACGTCAGGTAAGCAGAGAAGCTGAGAGCAGCTGGAGAAATCCAGCCTCTTCAGCCATTTTGGGGTGAAGGAGAATGGGCCCATTCAGAAGTTCGTCCAACTTTTTCCCCATGTGATTTGTCTTGGATCAGCCCTTTTCTATCTCCTTATAATTTCCGTAGCAATATATTACCCATTGCAAGTTTGCTAGGCATGTTGCCACTTCACCAGAGCCCCTATAGACAGGCTGTTTGAGGGTGGCCCAAGATGGCCTTCCTGGCTGCCGTAGCCATCCTGTGGCACAAGGTCACTCCATACTTCGCCCAATCTTAGCAATCCCTTAATAGAATAACAGAGTTGGAAGGGACCTTGGAGATCTTCTAGTCCAACCCCCTGCTCAGGCAGGAAGCCCTTTACCATTTCAGACAAATGGTTGTCCAGTCTCTTCTTAAAAGCCTCCAATGTTGGAGCATTCACAACTTCTGGAGGCAAACTGCTCCACTGGTTAATTGTTCTCGCTGTCAGGAAGTTTCTCCTTAGTTCTAGGTTGCTTCTCTCCTTGATTAGTTCCCATCCATTGTTTTCTTGTCCTGCCTTCAGGGGCTTTGGAGAAGAGCTTGACTCCCTCTTCTTTGGGGCAACCCCTGAGATACTGGAAGACTGCTATCATGTCCCCCCTAGTCCTTCTCTTCATTAAACTAGATATACCCAACTCCAGCAACCGTTCTTTATATGTTGTAGCCTCCAGTCCCCTGATCCTCTTTGTTGCTCTTCTCTGTACTCTTTCTGGAGTCTCAACATCTTTTTTTTACATCTTACTTTGTCCTGTTACCACTTCTCATGACGTGGATGTGGGATTGGACTCTGAGAGTCTTTGCCAGAAGTGCAAGAATCAACACTTTGTACCTCTCTTGACACCCAAAGCGGGGGGGGAGGAGGAGGAGGAGGAGGAGATAGAGTTGGAGAAGGAGAAGACATAGATAACATGACTTTCACTGTAGAAGCAAACTGCATCCTTCTTGCCTCCATGCTGGCTCTGCTTGGGAGCCAGAAGTTTGTGGTCATTTGTGCCTTGCCTTACTTCCTTGCAGGTTCTCTGTCTTTGGATTGGGCTCCCGAGCTTATCCTCATTTCTGCGCCTTCGCCCGTGCTGTGGACACACTCCTGGAAGAGCTGGGAGGGGAACGCATCCTAAGGATGGGCGAGGGGGATGAACTGTGTGGTCAGGAGGAATCCTTCAGAACCTGGGCCAAGAAAGTCTTCAAGGTAAGCTACATTGAACGGATGCTTCTTGGTATCTAGGAGGGGAGTTGGTTGTTGAAGAGGGCCTATCGGTCCCTACACAACAATGATCGGGGCAGATTTCACACACCCCTGCCCATAAAAGCCTAACCTCTGCAGGACCCCAAATGAAAACATTCCCTACAGTGGAGACTTTAACCTTTGCTTTAAGATTGCATTAGTGCAGTGGTTCTCAACCTGTGGGTCGGGACCCCATTTGGGGTCGAACAACCATTTCATGGGGGTTGCCAAACAACGCAGTCCGCCATTTTTCCCCCCTTTTCCTTAGCTGTGCTACTCCCTTTTATTCTATTGGCTTTGGAAAGCCAATAGAATAGACTCTCTTGAATAGAGAGCCTTTCAAAAGCCAGTAGGAATTGTCCAGGCTGTCTCTGCCCTGCTGAGCCTGCCAAAAGTCCCATTCTGCAAATGGTGCTGCATCAGTTGAGTAGTCCTCAACTTACAACCAGTTGAGTAGTCCTCGACTTGCGACCGGTTGGGGGTCACAGCATTAAAAATGTTGAGAACCACTGCATTAGTTGAAGCCAACATCTCCGCAGAATTGGCTCTCTTATCAAGCGGTGGGGACATTTTATTGAGTCAGAATCAGCCTTTGACTCCTTTCTTATTTCATGTCCAGCACGCTGGAAAGATAGCAAAGAGGTCTTGATCTTCTATAGAACCGCCTTTCCATTACCTGAAAAACAGAGTGAATAATTTCCCATAGTCTCCTACCTTCAATTTTAACTGTTCCTGATTCCTGCTGATAGGATAACGAGCAAGCAAGAACCTTAGAATTAGAACAACTCACCAAACCCCAGCCTGGTTAACACAGTTCAATTCATGCATCTGCACAGTCACTTAGATAGTGGAGGTGGGCAGCGTATTAATCTGAGGAGTAAATAAATCGGAGGCTACTAATTGCCTAACCCTTCCCCACACTCATCTAGGGAAGGGGGAGTCCCGTGTGTTTCACTGTTGAACTGCACTTGGAGGAGAAGATTTGGCAGAACCTGGGGGGGTGGAGTCAAAGGAGAACCAGCCTCGAATCCTTACATCACCACAAGCAAACTAAGTCCTCTTGAATTCCATGGATGCTTATCTAACCCCAAGCAGGTGTTCACCAATAGCTGAGAAGATTTTTTATTTTTTTTTTGGCGTGGACATGATTAGCAATACATTAATTGGTTTAATTGATAAGTTTAACTGGACCTTCACATTTGGACCTGGTCTTTCTTGGACCTGATAGTTCTTGTCATTAGACCCAGAATGATAACCTTCATCGGGAACCCGTTTTCCTGAATTTTAAGTCCATCTCTTGTTAATGGGGGGAAAAAAAACCCAACCCAACAAAACAGATTGATGGGGGAACCCCTCTGAAAGGGACTACCAAAGAGCCTACATGATTGGTTGCTTAGTGATAGTCCAAGGATGGATCACCTCGGGGTTACTTACAACCCACTTGTAAGTTATTTACAATCCATGGTCACATGATCGCAACTCATGATGTTTTTGCCAAGACTGGTGTATACTTCTAGTTTTCAGCAAGAACACCCCACAGCAAACAATGGGCTTGCTGAACTGTTGCAATGTTTGCTTTACGACCGCACTGACACCCCCCCCAAAATGGTCATAAAATCAGATCTGGTCTTGTGATGATCCTCTTTCCATAACCATCACAACTAATGGTGAGGCTCCACTGCGGTCGTTGGTTAAGGACTACCTTAGTCTTCAACTCTGCTTGTGCTGTGTGGGTAGCTCCTTAAATCTCACCTCTCTACTCTGTTTGAGAAGAGGAGGATCTTGGTAAGACCCTTCTCCTTCCCCCCCTCCCCTCACCTTTCCTGGCCTTTCCTTGAGTGCTTGTTGTGTCCTGCAGGCAGCGTGTGATGTCTTCTGTGTGGGGGATGACGTCAACATCGAAAAAGCCAACAACTCTCTCATCAGCAACGACCGCAGCTGGAAGAGAAGCAAGTTCCGGCTGACCTACGTGGCTGAGGCTCCAGAGCTGACCCAAGGTATTATTCTGGGCTTCCTAAAGATGCTTTTCTTCCAGATGCCATCTGGGTGCCTTGGAGGTCTTCTAGTCCAGCCCCCTGCTCAAATAGGTTAAGAAGTTAAGAGCAAGTGCTCCATGCATGTCTCCTTATGCTCTGAAGCACCTCTGTTGGAAGCCTGAGCGAGGCAGGTGTCAGTGATTGCTAGATAGGAGAGCACTGGAGGCAAGCAACACCTGGCCATTTGCTGACCTCCTCCTTGTATCAAACTGGGGTATCTTCACCTCTGGGAGCCTTATACTCTGCTCTCGTTGCTTATGGATTGCTTTTTCCTTCCCAGGTTTATACAGCATCCACAAAAAACGAGTCTACGCCGCTCGGCTGCTGGCCCGTCAGAATCTCCAAAGCCTCAAATCCAGGTAGTTACTGTAGGAAGGGATTTACTCCAAAATGGGCTTATAAAGAGCTTTGCAAGGACTCCTGCACTGTGGGATTTTTTTTTCAAGAGTGGCACATTGGAGCCTCACCAGTGGGACTCAAAACCATGGCCCGTGTCATTATTGTTCCACCGAATGAATATTCAGTAATGCCCTTACACCTGAACAGGAAGATAATGTTTAGCCATCATTAGACGTAAGCCTGGCTCAAGCAAAAGATGGACTGTTACAGACCAGAGATAGAGTAGGCCAAATATTTTTTTGAAAATATGTTCATAAAGGAGAGTATGATAACTCCTTAAACTCCGGCACAGGCTGTGTGTGAACACAGAAATGTTTGTCTGTGTGGTGGAATGCAGTCTGGATTCCCAGGTGGGAGGGGCCGCATTCCAGAAGACCAAGAGACAGCACAGTTAAGAAGGCTCCTCCTTAGCAATTCTCAGGATATATCTTCAATAATACAAGTAGTTGCTTTAGTTTTTCGAGATTTCTGTCCATAGGTGAGGAATTATAAAGAGAATTGTTTTGAAGTGATTCAGTCTGTCTTTCCTGCTTTTGAAGACTGACAGTGTGAAACTTGAAACTTCTCTTTTTTTAGCCGTTCCACCATTTTCTTGCGGCTTCACACGAACGGGCAGCAGGGGTTGTGTTACCTGCCCGGAGATCACCTGGGAGTGTTTCCGGGAAACCATGAAGATTTGGTCAACACTTTGATTGAAAGGCTGGAGGATGCACCTCCCACCAACCAGCTAGTAAAAGTGGAACTTCTGGAAGAGAGAACTACAGCTTTAGGTGAGAGGCCCTCATTTCATTCTTTTGCCTTTGTTTAGCAAATAAAAAACAAACACAATTAAAGAATACTTTAAAAAAAGCAGTTCAAAAATAAATAACAACCAATCTGGAAGATTTGCTCCAGGTTTTGCTAACATTAAAATTAATTCATCTGACATTTTATAACATCTACTGCTCCAAAAGGAGAAATTTAAGGATGATTAAAATTTAAGTAATGATATTGCCCAATTATTACAGAATGGGAGTTTGTCGTGTAATTTCACATATAGAAATGATCACTTATGCCTCATTATTTTAATTTTAAAAAAAGTCCACGAGTCATAAAAGAGCCAAGGTTGCCTACCCCTGCTCTAGCACATGTGAGGTCTTCAAAGCCAGTCCTAACTTGAACTCGTGACATGGGGTTTGAATCTTCAGGTACCATCAGCAACTGGACCGATGAGGACCGCATTCCTGCTTGTACCATATTCCAGGCGTTCAAATATTACCTGGACATCACCACCCCTCCCACACCGATTCTGCTGCAGCAATTTGCCTTACTGGCCACTGACGAGAAGGAGAAGAAACGCTTACAAGTTCTTAGCATGGTAAGAAGGTGGTGAAGAGGGATGATGGGGAATCTTAGTTAGCTCCCTCTCTTCCACAATGTCCAGAGCATCCATGTGATAATTTATCATAGGGGTATCCAACCTTGGTCATTAAGACTTGTGGACTTCAACTCCCAGATTTCCCTAGCAAGCATTCTGACAGTTGAAGTTCCCAAGCCTTCAAGTGGTCAACTTTGGACATTCCTGACTTAGCATGTCTAGACCCACCTTAGGCTACATTCAGACAGGTGGACTTCAAGGCTGGCTGGGGAATTCTGGGAGCTGATGTCCACACACCTGCAAGTGGCCAAGGTTGAGAAAAACTCTGTTCTAGAACTCTGTTCTAGATCTGATACATGGTTCAAAAGCTGAACTGCGAGGATGAAATTGAAGAAAGTTATATAAATGTAATGGCCTGGAGTTGTACTTGCATATTTTCTTCATCAGAACATGAATCTTGCTGATCCCATTGGGAAGGTCTTGTTGGACTAGAGATAATCTGTCCGTCTGCTTGGCTGTAATGATTCTACTCAGCGTGTCAATCTCCACTTTTTGCCTGGAGCTAAACTCCCTGCCTTCTTTCTTCCACACAAGGGTCTTCAGGATTATGAGGAATGGAAGTGGTCGAAAAACCCCACCATGGTAGAAGTGCTGCAAGAATTCCCATCCGTGCAGATGCCTTCCACCCTCCTCCTCACCCAGCTCCCTCTGCTTCAACCTCGTTACTATTCCATTAGTTCCTCCCCAGACATGTATCCAAACGAAGTGCACCTCACAGTGGCTGTGGTGTCCTATCGCACCAGAGGTAAACCACACTCTCCGTGGCCTGGAAATCAGGATCAAACCCAAACAAAGCAGGCCACGTCCCAAATGAACAATACTGCCTTGGCCTAATAGTATAAGGCTACTTGGGAGAGCTGAATTTAGCAAAGCACTAAGCTGGACTGATTTGCAAAACAAATAGCTGGCTATGTCTTTTTGGAAACATACGGTAAAGAAACTAAGACAGGGGTCCTCAACCCCTGGGCTCCGGCCTGTTCAAAACTGGGCCACGGGAGAAATAGGCAAGAGCGCACATGCGTGAAGCTCAATTTGTGTGAGTGGAGGGTGCTTGCACTCACATGTGAAACTCCATTTGCACGAACAGAGCTTCGCGGATGAGGGCAAGCATCCTCCGCTCGCACAAGTGGAGCTTCGCGTGTGAGCATAAACACTTGCCCCTCACACGAGTGGAGCTTCATGCGCAAGTGCAAGGACCCTCCGCTCACATCACGAAGCTCCATTTATACGCATGGAGGGCGCGCACGCACCACTCGCACAAATGGAGCTGTCAATTCAAGCAAATCAGCACCGTGGAGAGCTCCACTTGGACAGATCAGTTTCTCCTGCTAACTAGGTTCCATTGCTCTGATCTTTGTGATGAGAGACCTTTGGGGAAAAGATCTCCGATGTTCACTGAGCCTTGGTGTTCTTCTCATCAACGTTCTTTGCGCCTTAGCCTTTGTCTCCAAGCCCAAAGTCACCACAGTAGTCCAGGATAATGGCATAATTTTGCCAAGCACAACGTCCTCCGTGGAGATTAGTCTTTCGTTTCAAATGTAAAGATAAAAGCATATTACAAGCAAAGTTCTGAGGAGAGCCACTGGCCCCACATTTGAGGGACTACAGAATGTGCTACATCTGGACCACAGGTAGTGGCCTGCTTTAGCGAAGGTGCTGGTTTTGAAGCTTGTGGTGAACATCAACCAGGAGACAAAGGAAGACGCCTGGCCTGGACAGATCTACTTTTCAGGTCCAAGTAACTCATACTGCTGTCACGATGATTGTTTGTTTCAATGCATTTGGGTTGTGCATTGCTTCATATTTGAGTCCAAAAGGGTGAGGTAAATACCATAAATATTGTATTCATAAAAAATACTATAAATATAGTATCTATACACTTTACAAGCCTGTTTATGATGCCCATTGTATCATTGTCTAGAGCAATGGTAGACAACCTTGGCTCTTTTATGACTTGTGGACTACAACTCCCAGAATTCCTGAGTCAGCATAGCTCATTCAGGAATTCTGGGTATTGAAGTCCATGAGTCACAAAAGAGCCAAGGTTGCCTACCCCTGTTCTAGAGTATTTATAGATTACTTCCCTACGGCCACTTTGAACAACTTAATATATATATATATGTATGTATGTATGTATGTATGTATGTATGTATGTATGTATGTATGTATGTATGTATATGTATATGTATATGTATATTATATGCATTGGAATCTTACTAAATATTATCCAACACCTTCTGCATCTTTTCCTAGATGGGGAAGGTCCAATACACCACGGAGTATGTTCTTCCTGGTTCAACCAGATACAGGAGGATGAGGTGGTGCCATGCTTTGTTAGAGGGTAAGAAAGGATAAAGTGAAGATTCAAAAATGAAACTAGAACATTTGGGTGCCAAACTGTTGTTAATCTTGTTGAAGTTTTCAAACACAAGTTCCAGTTTCTACTCTATGTTGATCTCAATGTTGGGAGTCAATCCGCCCTTGATTTAACTTTGGCTGAAGACTCCCAAATGTGTCTTGCTCAAAGCAGAAATTGCATTACAGAGGGTCCTCGACTTAAGCGATTCAACTAATGATGCTTCAAAGTTACAACAGCCTTGGAAAAAGTGACTTTATGTTCCTAAGTTATAACGGGAGATTCTGGTTGTTACAAAACTTCAACAGTAGAATCAGTTCCCTAGGGATACTGGAAGCATTCTTTCTCTGGGTATATTCATGCAATAGTCGGATGGCTATCAGATGTTTTACTTCAGATTAAAATAGTATAGCCTCTTTCACCGTCAGAGCTCTCTAAGCCTAAGGCAGCTGGCTGGGGAATTCTGGGAGTTGCAGTTGCATCTTAAAGTGTCCAAGGTTGAGAAGCATTGCTCTAAAGCAGGGGTCTTCAAACTTGGCCCTTTTATGACTTGTGGACTTCAACTCCCAGAATTCCTCAGCCAGGCACGCTGGCTGAGGAATTCTGGGAGTTGAAGTCCACAAGTCATTAAAGGCCAAGTTTGAAGACCCCTGCTCTAAAGCCTATAAGGCTGGATTGATTTAAGGTTGCGATCTTATGCTGCATTGAGGGACGTGAAATTCAACTGCACGCTGATAAGGCAACACCTAGACGTTCAGTCACTCTGTGGATCGGGATTTTGTGATTTTCCTTTTGCAACTAGATTCCACAAGAGAGCCAGTTTGGAGATCAAGAATTCTACTCCTTAGAAAGCAGTTGGGTGACTTTGGGCCAGTCCCTCTCTCTCAGCCCTAGGAAAGAGGGAATGGCAAGCCACTTTCAAAAACATTGCCAAAAAAGCTTTAGGGACCTGTCCAGGTAGTTGCCATGAGTCAACCCTGACTTGAAGGCACCAAAAATATAAAAAGATCCCACAGACTGGAGCATGGATTTCCTCTAACCTTCTCAACAGTGGCTGGTAGAAGCATTCTACTAGTCTACTTTTCATGACTTCCTGATGGAAGCCAACTTGTGTGATGACAGTGAGACTCCCGTTTTGTTTCTCCAGAGCACCTGGATTTCACTTGCCACAAGATCCCCAGATTCCCTGCATTCTGGTTGGCCCTGGGACTGGAATTGCACCTTTTCGGAGCTTCTGGCAACAGCGGCTCTTTGATCTCAAACATAAAGGTTGGTTAATTTGGGGAACGCGGATGGATAGGCATGCAATAGTAGCAAATGAGCTGATTTTAGGAAGAGCATATATTTTGGCACACATGAGTAACGAGCTAAAAGATGTCCCAAAAGATGCTTTTTCAGGAGGCCACTGGACTTCCTTGTTTTTCTTTGAAGATGTTTCGCTTCTCATCCAAGAAGCTTCTTCAGCTCTGACTGGATGGTGGGGAAGGGAAGGATTTATCCTTCTGCAGACAGCTGTTCATCTGCCTTCTTTTAGCGAGCCGTTCACGCTACCTGGAGGCTTATCTATGTCTTCAGGGTCACCTGAGTGGTGCAAATGGGTGTAGAGCCTTCTTGGAGCTGTTGAAAGGACTGTGTTGTAGACTGGAGATAGATGGTGTCATATCCCCCCCTCTGTTGAGATAGGGCTGTTCAATTTTGACCTAGATGGCCTCTTTGAGTCATCTTTCAAACCAGCGGTCCTCTCTGTCCAAAATGTGGACTTTGCTGCCTTCGAAAGAGCGAGAACAATTAATCAGTGAAGCAGCTTGCCTCCAGAAGTTGTGGGTCCTCCATCACTGAAGGTTTTTAAGAAGAGACTGGACAGCCATTTGTCCAGAATGGTGTATAGGGTCTCCTGCTCAAGTGGGGGGGGGGGTTGGACTAGGTCCCTTCCAATCCTATTGTTCAATGTTCTGTCTTCTAAATATGGACACGGGTCTTATGTATGCTACTAGGATGACTGGTAAGGGGAAAAAAAAAACCTTTTTCTTCTCCCAATCTTCTCACTAGGGCTGAAACCATGCCCCATGACACTAGTCTTCGGTTGCCGACAATCCAAGATTGATCACATTTACAAAGAAGAGACTTTGCTGGCCAAGAGCAGTGGGGTCTTCAAAGAGCTGTTCACAGCCTATTCTCGTGAACCAGAAAAACCAAAGGTAAGTCACCTCCCCTGATCCACAGCCCACCCTGAGCAGATTCTCCTGATCATTGCCTAAAAGTCTGTCCCTAAGACAAATTGGCCATCAGCAAGCACACAGAGATAAATAACGCCTACACCCCATTCCAAAGAGACAGTCAAAAAGCAGCGTCAATAGGGGGAGCTGGATTTGCTGAACGACTGCATGATTCGCTTCACAACAAAAGGTGGTAAAATCTGATGTGATTCCTTTCACAACTGCCCTGTTTAGCAATGGGGATTCTGGCCCCAGAATTGGTCATTGGTCAAGGACTCTCTGCCGGTGTGCTATAAAGCTTTTGTCTTTTTTCCTTTTTATAGAAATATGTGCAGGACATCCTGCAGGAGCAATTGGCAAGCTCGGTCTACAGAGCTCTGAAGGAGAAGGGTGGTCACGTCTACGTGTGCGGTGATGTCACCATGGCTGGAGATGTGCTCAAGACCATCCAAAATATTGTTCGGGAACAGGGGAAGCTGTCAGCCGAGGAAGGCGCAGCATTCATTAGCAAGCTGAGGGTAAGCCAACATTCCCATGGTGTGTTTCAACCTTCCCTGTACAGAGCCCTGGTGGCACAGTGGTTAAAGGGCAGTATTGCAGGCAAACTCTGCCCACAACTGGAGTTTGATCCTGATTTCTGTGTTCCTTCTGTCTCTCTCTATTGCTTTCTCTGTCCTCTGTTTCTCTCCCTCTCTTTTTCTTTCTCTTTCCCTCTCATTTCTCTTCTCTCTCTCTTTCTTTTTCTCTCCTTTGTTTCTCTCCTTCTCTTTTTCTTTCTCTTTCCCTCTTATTTCTCTTCTCTCTCTCTCTCTCTTTTTCTTTTTCTCTCCTCTGTTTCTCTTCCCTTTTTCTTTCTCTTTCCTTCTATCTTTCTCTCGCTTCTCTTCTCTCTCTCTTTCTTTTTCTTTCTCTCTCCTCTGTTTCTCTCCTTCTCTTTTTCTCTCTTTCCTTCTATCTCTCTCTCTCTTGTTTCTCTTCTCTCTCTCTCTCTCTCTCTTTCTTTCTCTCTCCTCTCTCTCCTCTTTTTCTTTCTCTTTCCTTCTCTTTCTTGCTTGTTTCTCTTTTTTCTCTCTCTCTTTCCCTTCCCCTCTTTCTCTATTTCTCTCCCCTTCCTTCCTTCCTTCCTTTCTTCCTTTCTCTTTCCTTCCATCTCTCTTTCTCTCTCTCTCTCTCTCTCTCTCTTTCTGTTTTCTCTCTCTCTTTCTCTCTCTCTCTCTCTTCTGATTCTCTTTCTCTCGACCCCATAAACATACCATTTTGCAGGATGACAACCGATACCACGAAGATATCTTTGGAGTCACTCTGCGCACGTACGAAGTGACCAACCGCCTCCGATCTGAGTCCATTGCACAGATCGAGGAGAGCAAAAAAGACACAGATGAGTGAGTGCCTTTTTCAGCTTTTGTGAAGTGTTCCTTCTAAAAACCTGGGCTTCTGGGTTCTCAAAACCTGTGAGGTGGGGGAAAAAATAGACACTTTTAATACCTGGGAGGGCTCAGTGGTGAAATGGCTCAACTTTCATAGCGAATGTAGGTGGGCGGATGGTTTGGAAAATGTTCTGTGTTTCTTCTACCAGATCTCACATACTTTGACAAACAGAGTTTCGCTTCAGAAATTATTCCAAAGCAGAAGAGAATGTTGCAGACATTCTCTTGAGTGTGGTCTTTTTGCTCTTACTTTGTGAGGAGATGACCAATGAATGTGTGTGAATGTCCTGTTTTACGTTGCCCGGTCTTCTCCCAGCCTTCCCACACCCCTTGGCATCTCAAGGGATGAAATCTGGAAGGAATTACTTCCTTCGGGAAGGAGCTTGAAACCCCTGGAGAATTCTCTTCCTCCAAGAGTCCTCCTGGTTGAGGAGTCCTCTGCCCACAGATCTGATGGAGAAATTCAGTTGTGTCCCACCTGTACTTTGAACATTCCTAGCACGGCAGAATATATGGGCCAATTTGATCTAGCGCAGTGGTTCTCAACCTTTTTAATGCCGTGACCCCCCCAACCGGTCGTAAGTCGAGGACTGCTCAACCGGTCGTAAGTCGAGGACTACTCAACTGGTGCAGCACCGTTTGCAGATTGGGGCTTTTGGCGGGCTCAGCAGGGCAGAGACAGCCTGGATAATTCCTATTGGCTTTTGAAAGCCAATAGAATTAGACTCTATTCAAGAGAGTCTATTCTATTGGCTTTCAAAAGCCAATAGAAGAAAAGGGAGTAGCACAGCTAAGGAAAAGGGGGAAAAATGGCGGACTGCGTTGTTTGGCGACCCCCATGAAATGGTCGTTCGACCCCAAATGGGGTTCCGACCCACAGGTTGAGAACCACTGGTCTAGCAGTTAAGGCACCAGGCTAGAAAATTGGAGTTGGTGAGTTCTAGTCCTGCCGTAGCCATGAAAGCCAGCTGGGTGACTTTGGGCCAATCACCAGGAGACTGTAAGTTCTAGTTCCACCTTAGGTACAAAAGTCAGCTGATGACCTTGGAGCAATCACAAGGAGACGGTGAGTTCCAGTTCCACGTTAGGCCTGAAACCCAGCTGAGTAACTTTGGACTAATCACCAGGAGGCTGGGAGTTGTAGTCCCACCTTAGGCATGGAACCCAGCTGGGTGACTTTGAGCCACTCCACCCTTCTCAGCCCAACTAGCCTCACAGGGTTGTTGTGGGGGAAACAAGAGGAAGAAAGTGTGTTGGATCTGTTTGCTCTTTTGAGTTATTTGTGAAAACAAGAAAGGCGGGATATAAACAAACCAACCAACAAATCTGGCCGGATCCAGATCCTCTTTATATACAGTTTGTCAAAATGCGAGATTAAGAAGCAGTCCGACGTTGCAAGCTCTCGATGCAAAGGGTAAGCTTTGAGCAGTAAACATAGACTTACGATAGCCCCTCACTGAAGTGGAAGGTAAAAAGAAAGGATCCTATTGTGCCTTCTCTGGGGGTTTTTTGGGGGGGGAAGGGGGTCTCCTCTATCTATCTTATAGCTCTGGGATTTCCAAGGGTTAAACAAGCCTGGCCCCCACTCAGCCTTTGGAGACCAGCCGATGCTAAGAGGAAGTCTTATGCCAGTCCTAACTGCCAGCTTTCTTGCAGGGTGTTTTGTTCCTAATATGGACAGTGGGGCCCGAGGTGGGATGCCAGGCCAGGCCGGTCACAGCAGCTCTTGCTGCACGGTTCCAGGCTGAGGGGAGCTGGACCCTGTAACTGACCGCTCGGCATCCATTCCATTTCTCCAGGGATTTGACCGTCCACGACCTTTGCTCTTCTGTGTCTCGTCCGGTTATTGTATCCTGAAGGAAGCGTTGCTACCGATGCACTGATGGGTGATAAAGAAATGGACCATGGAGTTGTTTCTCTTTCTCCTCCACCCCCCCTAACCCCTTCCCACCCTGTGGTCGCTTTCTTTTCTCGCCCTGTGCCCTCCTCTCTGGAGCTCCCCTGCTGAAGCGCAATGGCTGTTAACAACCTTGCCGTGGCTTTTTTCCGCCAAAAAAAAAAAAAGCACAGCCACACTCTTTCATCCTCTCTCTTGCTGCGGACAAGGCCGTTTCCCAGGGCTGCATGAAATCCCCTCTTCTTTAGCAATCCATCCTCTGCAAGTTTGGGGCTTCGGGGTTGGGAGGCCAGGCTTTTCTCCGGCTGGTGGCGGCAGCGTGCCCGATGCAGAAAGTTGGGGCTCTGCCCAAATCTCTGCCCGTCCACTCAGCACGATTTGCTTCAAAAATCATTGGCTCGCTTTCTTTTTCCTTTTTGTCCCATTGTCTTTTGCAAATGGGGGGGGGGGCGGTGAGGGAGAAAGGGAGAGGGCCGATGCCTGCTTTTTCTGTATCTCTGCTCGTGCGCAGCCTCTCCGGCTGCTGTTTCACACAGGGGTCCTCTCCCCTGTGAAGGCAGCCACCCACTCCCCCCTCTCAGCATGCCGTGTTCCCTTCGGACTGTCTTTATGTAGCTGTGTTCTATAGGGCTCTCCTCCTTCTGTCCCGTCCCTCGCAAGTTTACAAAACCCAGTGGCCACCAAGCCGAAAAGGATTTGACCGAGAAGCAATGGTACCCCAGCTCTGCCTTCTTGGGATTTAACGAGATGATGAATGGACAGCAGATCCTCCCAATAACTCTGAAATTGTTTTGCCTTCATACTGGGAAGCAGAGAGAACAAGGACGCTGCCCAAAGACCAACTCTGTGGAAACATAGATACAAGCCAGAGACGCTCCCACAATCTTCGCAAAAAGCTTCGAAGTGTGTGTGTGTGTGTGTGTGTGTGTGTGTGTGTGGTGTGTGGAGGAGGTCCTTTTCAGCCTCTTTGCCAAATGACCCCTAAATCAATGGCTGGATTAATCAGTTTCAGGGAAATTGGTTAAACCAAGGTTGGAATCGAGGTTGGAAATGGGGAAGATAATTGACAATGCTGTCATCACTGGGGTTGGTTCCCTCCCTTTATTTCATCTCTCCCTCCCTCTAACTTTCGGATTTGAGCCCGGTCAAATATCCAAAACAAGTCGTGCGTATTTGGCAGTTTGCATCCAGGGAGGTGGTGGAGATGGGGAGGGGGGGAGGGTTAGGATATGCGAAAGGGCTCATGGCAAAACCCATCACTTTTTTGGTGCGTTATTTTTCCATAGCAGTTTACAGCAATTTTAACTCTCATTGGGGAGAAACTACCAAATGGGGTGGATGTTGGAGACGGAGGACAAGCTAATACTTGGAGTAATCCAGTATTTGAACTGATATTGAACTTGTAGTAGTTGGGTTGGGAAATTAACTGGCCACTTTGGATGTGAGGTTTAAACACATCTTAGTCAGCCATTCTTAAATTTGCACATCCTGATAGATGACACTCCATTCTGAATCCGTGGTTTGTTTGGAAAATGACCTGGCTACTTTTGCCTCTGTGAACTTAAGACCTATTTTTTATTTCTGTGCGCTGTCATCTACATTTTAAGAAGACATTTTAATCCCTCGTACATTACCATTCTAGTTCGGTCCTCATTCATGCCTTCCTATCTCTTGATTGTACCATGCCTTTGTGATCAAAGAAGAAATATAGCTTGTTGCCTTCAAAATATATATTAAAAAGAAAAAGAAACTGAAAAAGAAGAGAAAAAAAATCAAACCACCACACTGTGATAGGATCAGATCTTGTCTTGCACTGTGTTAGGGTATCAGCGTTTCCCCAGACAGACAATCAACTGCATAGATGTTGCCTTTTAAAGCAGCCACACCACTGGATGTCTGGAGCGCAAACCGGTTAATTGTGAGTTTACATAAAGCTGTTCCTGTATGTATGTTCACCTTACTTGTATTCCTCTATGGATTATCAGTCTGTTCTGTGGTTGAAAAAAATAAATAAAAATGAGCAGAAATAAAATGAGGGAAGCGCGCTAGAAGAAAAGAGCATTGCTAACACCATCAATGAGGATCAGCCAATCCACCAAGGAATTTAGCATTTGCACAACTCACTAAGCCGACAACTTGCCAGGCCTGAAATGTCAAGCTATGCTCTAACCAAGGTCAGTCATAGTTTACTGATTTTAAACCTGGTTCTTTGAATCATTTGGACCTGGACAGAAAGAGTCCTATGAAGTTATGGATCCCTCCTAGCCTTCCAACCAAACAGTTGGAAGGCTAGAGTGGCTAAAAAATTGAGTCCATTCTAGCTGCAACTCTTGTTCTCCTATTTCTATTTTCCCCCCTTCCCCTATATAATATATCATCCAAGGGGAGTGGGGAGGAAAATAGCTTCTCCTATCCCATCTATTGGTGGTTCTGATCCGAGTTGGGCCACTGTTGTGTTTAGTTTTAGTTTTGCAGTTAGAACTTTAAAAAACCAAAAAAAAATCAACAATGAAATGTTTTTTCATCGCTATGGCCAACTCGCCAAGTAAAATTTCTAGAATCACAGCAAAAACACCTCAGGCTTTTTGTGGAATCTCTTCCAGGACAAATATACAAAGTTAAATTAATTTTGATGGAACCGTGGCCAATAATAATAAAGTAAAGTCAATCCAGAAGCAACCAGAGTTAACAATAGTTTTGACGAAAACGTGGTCACCGATAATAAAAGTAACTAAATGAAATGATTAATTGATGCAGCGTTGAATTGTCCTGCAGCATCTTCTCCCATGATGAGCTGGCCATGGCGAATTGTCCTGAAAAAGTGGTTGAGCTACTGGCCACTCTTTGCTGCTAACAGGAAACTGAGCTGGCTTCAGTTTTGCTGTATCATCTACGTATATATTTTATCCAGTGCTTTTTTTGTTAAAAAAAAAAAAGGTGCCAGAACTCACACAGGTCATACAACCTGTCTTGCCTATCCTACAAGGTTTACCTTTGTAGTTGAAAAAAAAAAAAACCTTCAATTTTTAGTGTATTTAAAAGACTAGGATTTTGTTCAAGGTAAGTTAATACTATTAATGTTACCATGCACAAATCCGTTGAAAAAAGGTACTCCATAGAACTCCATTCCAGTGCGTTCTATGACAAAAAAAAAAAAAAGCCCTGATTTTATCCATGGCTCTGGCTGGACTCCGCTTAGTCCGTTGTACAAATCTTTGTTCCTCGAATGCTCCTGAAAAAAAAAGATGATCAAAAAGTTGGGAAAACGCTAGGAGGGACCTCATCCATTTTGCCTGTTGTGTCCTTTTTCTCTTGGCTGAAACCTAAGGAACCAAATGATGTTTACAGTCTTTTCATTTTCCTCGTGCGGCTCTGATTTATTTTTTTTCCCTTCTCCTTGTGTGCTGCCACCACCACGACAAAAGCGAAGAATCCTTTCACAGTAGAGGTTTTTCTCTCTCCTCTCCCCCACCTTCCTGTTCCAGCATGTTAAAGACCCATTGGTGTCATGAACAACCTTGCTTCGTTTTGGCACTGTGGAGGGCTGTGTCTACCTCCACGGAGCAAAACCGTGAGTCAGTTCCGACACAAGGGCAGGATTCTCAAGTTTGCGCAGATGGTGCCCGACGGAAGAGAAACGAGCAGCCTAATCCAGGTTGATCCGATGCAAAAACAGCTGGGCGGACTGGGCAAACTGGATTCTGTCTGGCTAGTTTCAACAGTTTAGAGTGCCCTAAGGGGGTTGAGGGCTGAAGGAAGACCTCGTTTTGGGCTGGAAACGGCAACTTTATAACACAGGCCGTGCTGAAATGTTTTCCCGGCAAATTCATATCCCTCTTTCTCCTGTCCTCTTTTACCTTGTCTCCCCGTTGTGCCTTCACTTTATCAGTGATGATGATCAAATCCCGGTTGCATCTCCAAAACGCAGGTGGGCAGAGCAATTGATAACAGAAGAAGAGAGTTGGAAGGGACCGTGGAGGTCCACTAGTCCAACCCCCTGCTCCAGCAGGAGACTCTGTGTGACTTCATAGCCTCTGGGGGAAACAAGCATCCCAGCCCAGCCCACCCCTGCACCACCAGAAAACCCTTTCTTGTGAAGGAGGAAAGGAAGGAAGGAGCTGTGTTCTATCATCACAATGCTTCAAGCGGCCGCCCCCCCCCCTCTTTTTTTTTTCTCCTTCGAATGCCCTGAGCTCTGGATGCTGCGAAATCTCCATTTGTATAACGTGCTCAGCACCTCTCTCATGGACTGATTCCTGCTCATGTTTGCAAGATATCCACACTGTTCTACAAGCATGCACCTTTATGTATAGTTTCGATCTGATTTTATGGAACTAAAACAAAATCAAAAAAAAGGAAAAAAAATACTTATGCCTGTTCGCATTGCAATCAATTAAAAATAATAATAATAATAACAATAATAAATTCCATGCCTTGTGCTTGTCCGGCCTTGTGTTTTTGAAACTGCTTTAGAATTCGTTTGTTAGAATGGTGTTTTAGCACTGCTGGGGCTTGGATGGCAAGCCCCCCCCCCGCCCTCCATAGGTCCCCTTCATAGGGTTGATGTGCGTTTGGTTTAACCTGGAAGAGGGGAGGGCAAGGAATTGAGCCCCTGCGGTTTGTGCACTCTGATCAGGACTTAGCATCCTATGCAGACACTGCCAGTGGTGGGATAGCTAACAAACTATGGTTAAAGCTATGATGGCTTAGTGTACATCAGTGGTTCTCAACCTTTCTAATGCCGCGACCCCATAATACAGTTCCCCATGTTGTGATGACCCCCAACCACTTATACATCACCGGGTACCAAGGGCGTGGCCAAAGAAAAGGGGGAAAAAATGGCGGACAGCCATGTTTGGCGACCCCCGTAAAATGGTCATTCGACCCCAAATGGGGTCCCGACCCACAGGTTGAGGACCACTGGTGTACATGGTAGTGTAGGAACACATTCTGTAAGGGGTATCTCAAAATGGAGAGTTTACAAGTACAGGTATGACAATACAATACAGGATTGAAATGTGGGGTCCTGGGTGCTCTCTGAGGTTGGTGGTTTCCTTGCAGACGTTTCATGAACCAACTAGATAACATCATCAGTGCTAGAAGGGAGTGGGGTTTGTGGAGAGGAGGAGGAGGATGATTGTGGGGCCTTGGTGCTCTCTGAGCTTGGTTGTTTTCTTGCAGACGTTTAGGACCCAACTAGCTAGCATCATCAGTGGTGGAAAGGATTGGGATTGGAGGAGCAGGAGCAGGAGGACTGTGGGATCCTTGATGTTGTCTGAGCTTGGTGGTTTTCTGGCAGAGGAGATGGGGGAGAAGGAGGACTCTGACATTCTTGATGCTCTCTGAGCTTTGCTCATTTCTTGCAGACATTTCATTAACCACTAGCTAACATCATTAGTTATCTATCAGCAAACCCCACACTCACTAGCACTGATGATGTTACCTAGTTTGGTAATCAAACATCTGCCGAGAACACAACCAAGAGAGCACCAAGAGTAGAGAGAGTAAAATCCAATTCTGGTTGCTTGCAGATTGTTAAGCTCTATTCAAGAGACTGGCAGCTATTTCTAGGAGATTGATTTTTAAGGAGTTTAAGGACAGCCTCTCATCCTTAGATTATGAAAAGCAACGCAGTCACACCGATTCTTGGCTACTGAATCACAAGCAAATGCTGGACCCCCACATTCTTCCCACCATTAACATCCCTCCTTCCCACCCACCCACCCGGCCCAAATAACTGAGAAGGCATATCTTTCCCCCATTGTTTGTTTATTTATTTTAATGAGAAGCTCCAAGGTGTGCAGATGGAATGGCAAATAAATAAATAGAGCCTTGGCCCTGCCGAGGTTGTTAAGGGGGGGGGGGCTGGATGAGATTTCAGCATGAACAATGGATCCCCCCCAAAAAAGGCAAGATCCTAAAGGGATCAGGTGATTGCACATCCGCAAGAAAGCCTGTGGCTCTTCTGATTCTGTTGTTTTGGCCAGGGGGGTCAAGAAACGTCCCCGCAAATGTGAATAAAACTTTCCCACGCTATATTGCAGGAAATCCGAGGGGCCGTTGAAAAACCCTACTTCGCCTTTATGTTCTAAGCTAACATTTCTCAAACTGGACCTTTCAAGAGGGCTGGACTTCAACTCCCCGAATTCCCCAGCCAGGCTTATGGCTTAGGTCCCTGCCAAGAGCAACAAACCAGGGCTTACTTAACCATGAATCAACCAGGATCGCATCATGCCCAGTAAACATCTAACTACAAAGATGTCAACCCCCTTTGGCATTAGCGCAAACTGATAAAAAGAGTCATCACTGAGAATTGGGCAACATATAAAGTATCAGTATAAAATCAACGGTTCTCCATCTCAGTGTAGGACAGTGTTTTCCAAACTTGACAATTTTAAGGCATGTGGACTTCAACTCCCAGAATTCCACAGCCAGCGTTGCTGGCTGTGGAATTCTGGGAGTTGAAGTCCTCATGCCTTAAAATTGTCAAGTTTGGGAAACACTGGTGTAGGAGATGAGTAGGTTGAACCCAAGGGGTGGGGCTTCCACTCCCAGAGCGCACAGGGCATTCTGGGAGTTGGAGTCCACCCCGCTGAAAGGCAGCCGAGGTTGAGAAACGCCGATGCAAATCGAAGAAGAGCCAATAAAAGCGAATAAGAACCAATAAAAATTCATCCTCGGCTCCATCCCGTCGAGCGGGATCAGGAAGCCCCAGCGAAGAGGGAAAGCCACGTGCGCTTCCCCGCCGCGCAGGCGCGTTGCAGTCGTCCCCGGGATTTTTACCCCCTCCCGCTGCGCATGCGCCGCACCGGCCTCTTGAGAGACGCAAGATGGCGGCGGCCGAGAGGGAGGCCTGTGAGGCGGCGGCCAAAGAGGCCGAGGAGCAGCGCGAGGGCCCCGGCCCGACCCCGGCCCCGCTCGGCCTGACGGAGCTGCCCGGCGAGCTGCTGGAGCTCATCTTGTGCTGCGGCTCGTTGGGCGCCGCCGACCTGGCCCGCCTGGCCCGCACCTGCCGCCACCTGAGGGAGGCCTGCCAGCCCTGCGGGAAGGTCTGGCGGGAGCAGCTGCGGCGCAGGTGGGTGGGCAGGGCGTCTCTGGGCGTGGGCAGAGCGCGGGGGAAGGACAGGCCGGCCGGGGGTGGGAGCTTCCGGGTTTCGCCGCAGGGTGTCTGGGCATGTGCAGAGCGCGAGGGTAACTCCCAATCAGGAGGGACTTCCGGGTTTTGCACCGACCCAGGGTGTCTGGGCATGTGCAGAGCGCAAGGGTAACTCCCAATCAGGAGGGACTTCCGGGTTTTGCACCGACCCAGGGTGTCTGGGCATGTGCAGAGCGCAGGTGTACAGGACGGGGTTACTCCCAGCCAGGAGGAACTTTCGGGTTTTGCACCACTTGTGCACCAGGGTGTCTGGGCATGTGCAGAGCGCAGAGGTAGAGGACGGGGTTACTTGGAAACAGGAACTTCCGGGTTTCCGGGCATGGCCAGGAACAGAGCAAGGAGGCTTCTGAGCATGGGCAGAGGGCTGGGGGCAAGGAGGACGGATGAATCCCAGCTAGGAAGAGCTGGGTTTGCAGCACACGAGGCATCTGGGTGTCAGGTTGTGAAGGGAAGCCTCTGGGCATGTGCAAAGAGCCTGGAGCAAGGACGAGGCATCTGAACGAATTGTCATAACTTGAGGACCTGCCCAGACAAATCAAAATTCTGTTCCTAAACAAAAGGACGTGTGGGGCAGGGCCTTCCCCTCACTCTTACCTGCTGTGGTTGTGATTGTACAATCCTGGGCTGCATTCAGGAGGGACATTCGGACTTTGGAACCCCCCTCCCCAGGATAGATGCCCCCCCACCTGCCCCCAGCCACTTTTAAAAAATCTTTTGCATGCTTCATTGTTTTAGTTATTCAGAGATTAGAATGGCTCAATCCTGTTGGCTTTTTTCAAGGCTTTAAAAACTTGGCTGTGTATTCACGCCTGGAGCTAAAAATGTGTTATTTGGCTTGACTGTTAGTTGATTAATCATCATGGCTGCTGTTTGTGGATGTTTTTACTGTTTTAATGTCTTTTTAAAATTGTTTTATAATTTTAGAATTGTAAGCCGCCCAGAATCACTTGTTGAGTTGGGCAGCTATAGAAATTGAATGAATGAATGGATGGATGAATCATACATATATACATACATACATACATACATACATAATTGCTATGCTGGGTTATTTATCTAGCTGTGACTTCAAAAAATCCTAGTTAAAAATTTAGAATGCTTTTATCTATCCTCTTTCATAAGCATCTGGTTGTCCTTGCTTATGTTGAAACTTTTTTTATTGTTATTATTTTACTATCTGGAGTTGTCAAAAGGTAGCATTTGTGAGGTATGCTTCCAATAACTGACCTTGCCATTCCCAAAGTTTCTATTGTTTTTTTTTGTTGTTGTTGTTGTTTTTGTATCTGCTTGCTTTCATCTCTGCCTTATGCAGTTCCTTTTCAATGACAGATGAATTTAGTGACATGGCAGTGCCAAATGACTCTTTGCCTGGAATATGGTCCGGCTACATTATTATTGCAACTGTTTATTTTAGGCCAGCGGCTAGGGAATAATTCCTCCAACTGAATTTGCAGGAGAGGATTTAAAGCTTGTAATTACTTAAAATGGAGCCTGGCCCAAAGGAACAGGGTCAACAACTGTTTGCTTGCCAGAAAGTCTCACGTTCAAAGAAATGGCTGCTTTTGGAAGACAGGCCTCTATTATCGCCAGCCCACATGGTTGGATCTGAATCTTTGGATGGTCCAATTTGGCTGCTGGCACTCTGAAGCCGATCCCTGAATCGCGGACGCAGCTTGGAAGCAAACTCAAAGTTTTAGCTTGCTGAACTCACTGATGGTTCGGCCTCTTCTGCAGGTGCAGACGAAATATCTGCTTCCTTTGAACTGTTCAGTCGGAGTTTTACAAGCCAACTGGCAGTTGGAAAAAGGGGAGGGAAAAAAAAGCTTGTCTTCCCCTGCCAAGACGTGAATAAAGCGGGCAAACTTCGTCTTCTCCCTGGAAGAGAAAATTTGCACATATCTCTTTCCAGCTCTCTTGTCATTATTGACTCTGCAGAGTGTGAATGCAAATGCTTGCAAGTTGTACTTTGCTCTCCAGCAGGGGAAGAAAGAGAGATCAGTAAAAATCCTGAGCAAAAAAACAATACGCTGTGTGGCATCATTGCAAATTTCTGTAGTTTATTTGTGTATGGAGATTCTCAGTCATCCAGGTCATGGTTGTCCCAAAGGTCCTTTTTCAAGACGTTTCGCTTCTCATCCAAGAAGCTTCTTCAGTTCTGACTAGCTTTATTTGAGATGCGTCCTTTTATTTATGAAAAAACGCTTATGTGGCCATCCAAATTGAATCATGCATCATTAGCTCGAGGACCTGAGTCATAAATAAGTTAAACGGAATTTGCTGCATTGGATTACTTTAATCCAATGATTTCTTTTAGAACATTCACATAGTATGGCAAATAAATTCGATAACATTCATTCAGTCACATCTGTATATATGGCCTTTCTTCCTCTTTGACTTAGCCATTACAGTGGTTTTGAGGCACCAGTGCACTTTTGAATGAACGGCATCCCTAGTTGAAGGAGCAGAATAATGTCATTAAGCTATTTATTTTTATGTAATTAGGAGGTTCTGTCATTGAGGAGGATATGGTGGGTCTGTTGTGGATAGGGATTCCCAAAATAACAGCTCTGCAGAGCTGAGCAGAAGATGGTTGTTTCCATACTAAGCCATTTGTTCAGGATCAGCAGCCAAGTTTGAAAAATTCCCCATCTTTTTCCCCCTTCCTGCTCACCCAAATTCAGTGGACATTCTGCTGCAGTGTTTCTCAATCTTGGCGACTTTAAGATATGTGGACTTCAAACTCCCAGAATTCCCTAGCCAGCATGGGAGTTGAAGTCCACGCAACTTAAAGCTGTCGTGGTTGAGAAACACCGCTCTATTACATTTCTTTTGGTAGATGGGCAACTACTTGTTTAATTTTTATTTAAATGTCTCTACAGCACAAATCTAAAATAAATGGGTAAAAGACATGTTCCCCCTTAATCTGCTAACAAAGCACAAGCTTGGTTTGGTCTGCCCAGACGCTAGCATTTGGTTCAGATTTTTTAACTGCCTTGTGGCGACTGGAGATGAATTTCCATACAGTTTGTCTTCCTCTGACGCAGGTGGCCCTCTTTAATGAAATACTATAATCAGGCAGACAGTGTGAATTGGCTGGAGGAATACAAAGAACGGCATAAAGCGGGATTGAAAGCCCAAACGATCGTCGCCTCGTTTTCCAAAAGGTTCTTTTCAGAGCACGTAAGAGTTTTCTGGTTGATCTTGCAAATAAAGTCAATGTGTTGCTGTTATTTGTTGGTACAGCATGCTGGCTGGGCCATCTTAAAATTGCCAAGATTGAAAAAACCCTGGTCTAAGCAGTGGTTCTTCCTCCTGTCTTTCCAAGGCTTACAGATCTTACATCTGGAGATAAAATGGAAGTTGTTCCCTGGAGCTCCTGGGTATCAAATCTAAGAATAAACACATGCCAAGAATGCAGGTTGTCCTCAACTTACGACCATTTGTTCAACAACCAAGGGCCTCCTCCCCCTCCCCCCCAGGGAACCCCTTGCTCCACATAATGACCGCAGCGGGGAGATGCAGGACTGTGTGGTCACCTTGCTTAATGACCACAATAGCTTATGATCATAATTCTGGGTTCAACTGTGGTTGTAAGTCAAGGACCACCTGTACATTTAAAAAAAAAATGGGCATACACCCCATGAATCAAAGTAAAGGTTTGCCCCCCCAAACATGAAAACACTGCCCCCCCCCTCCACAATAATTTAAGCAGCTTTGCTTCAAACTCTCAACAGGCTTCATTGGGCCTTGGAGAAGTCAAATCTGCTATAGTGGTTGCATCTGGCTTTTTTAAAAAACAACCAGTCAAACAGCTACAGATGAAACTGTGTCTGATTCTTCTTGAGGTTGTTACAGAAAGCTTCTTTAGCAGTGAGATCATTGCCCTGTTTTTCCATTTAGGTGCCCTGTGATGGCTTCACTGATATTGAGACCCTTGATTGCCCCAGCCATTTCTTTGAGGATGAGCTGATGTCCATTCTTAATGCAGCAGGCAGGTGAGGCTGACTCTAAGGAAAGAACATTTGGCTGTTTCCTCAGGGTGCATAGCATAGACATCGGCTTTATGTTTTACTTTTAAATTACACTTGTGTCCTGCCTGTTCCCCAAGGAGCTCAAGACCTGCCCACCTATGTTTCTAACAAACCTTTGAGGTAGATTCAGCTGAAAAATCACCTTACAAGTATTAAGAATTCATCTAGATCAGGGGTCTTCAAACTTGGCACCCAATAAGGTGACTCACCACAGTGGTTTCCTTTACTCTGCAGGAAAGGGCTGACCTGGAAGTACTATGCAAAGAAAATTCTTTACTTCCTGCGGCAACAGAACATTTTAAAGAAACTGAAGACTTATCTGGAGTATCCAGCAGATGAGCAATCCTTTTTAGAAGGTTAGTAATGTCCCAGAAAGTTTGACATGGACACAGTGTAATATTTCTAAGACTGTAAGACACATATGTAGGAAACAACCTAATATTTAAAGAATTGTAACACACAAAAAAATAAGACAGGAGAGTTATTTAAAGGAATGGGAGATTAGCCTAGATGATTCTGAAACAGAAGAGGAAAGAAATCCCAGAGAAGAGCAGTGAAAAAGACAAGTCCTTCAGTAAAAAATGACCCTGTTAAAAGTTAAAAATTTTAAATGTTAAAATATATCCATTTGAAGTCCATTTTCACACTGAGGTTGGGCAGCCAATTCTGATTTGGTGTTTCTCAAACACAGCCAGTTTAAGATATTGGGATGCTGGCTGGAGAATTCTGGGAGTTGAAGTCTACACATCATAAACTGGTTGAGGGGACCTTCACCTAAATGTATGATTCTATCATTCTGTGTAAAAATGATGTTTCTACTCAGGATTGTAGTCTGCCCTCCCAAACCCACATCCTGGATCTCTCCTGTCTTTATCCAGGTGCTGTGCTGATTGACCAATACTGTAACCCTTTGTCGGACATCACATTCAAGAGTATCCAAGCTCAGATTGACGACATCGCTGCTAAAGTGTGTAAATTTCTCAAATCCAGAAACCCCAGACATCCCACTGTGGACCGAAAAGCAGGTATGGTGTGAAGTTCTCTTGGGTCAACTTTTTCTATGGTGGACCTGTGGAAACCCATCCAACTGTGGCAGGCACGCTTGGCAACAAATGTCGGACTTGACTCATCAATAAATTTAACCCATCCATGAGTAACTTGGGCTCCAGAGTCAACTTGCCTTGGATAGATAGTTAACTCGCACAGTTCCCCAACCAGTGTGGTTGTGGCTGAGCATTCTCAGATTTGAAGTCCACGGATCTGAAAGTTGCTGAAGTTAGAATAATACAGTTGTCATTCCAGCAGTTGTCATTCAGCCACATCTGAAAAACATAGGTTGCACACACCTGGTTTAGTCTCTAATGCAGGGGTCTTCAAACTTGGCCCTTTTATGACTTGTGGCGTGCCTGACTGAGGAATTCTGGGAGTTGAAGTCCACAAGTCATAAAAGGGCCAAGTTTGAAGACCCCTGCCCTAATGTCTCTACCTTCTGCTAGTTGTGTGAAAAAATCGGAAGAGGAAAGGTTACATACTCCGAAGGGAGACTAATGAACAATTTGCATTTGTTAGTTTAAACCAATAAACCAAATGAGACAATGTGGAAACTCCATATCTTTATTTTATTTATTATTTTTTATGCTGCTAAAAGGTACCTTTTGGGACCCATCATTTATCAGCCTGACCAGCCTTGCTGAGAAAACTTGGGGGAAGGGGTGACAACTCTTAATGGAAGAAAGATGAGGTACAAAGAAATAAGAATATTCCTTTCTCTTATTTTCATGGCCTTCCTATTTTTTTTTCTTTTCTTAAAGAAGAAGAGGTCCTGGTAGTCCCTCAGGTGGAGCTTCAGGGGCAGGTTCTCGATGCCATGAACTGCGTCCTCTACGAGCAGCTGAAATACCGAGGAAACGAGTTGGATTATTACAATTGTCAGAATTCATACATCCATCAGGTAAGGCGTTTTCTTTCACCAGACAAGGACGTATTTTTAGTCTATATTACAGTTAGGAATATTGTTCAGTTGGATGGGCACATAGTCCTTGACTTATAACCGGTCACTTAACAAGTGTTCCAAGTACCAACACACCTACCTGGGCTACTCACAACCTGGGTTCAAAGTTCTCACGGTCACATACCGTCTCCCGTGGTCACGTTTGTGAACGCTCAGCAACCAGCTTTCATTTACAGCTCTGTTACGGCCGTAACTCAATAACTATAATATCCTGAAACTTATTGGCACAAAATTTATGCAGTTCAGCTTCCCCAAGCATACTAATTCTGGAGACTTGATCTTCCCTCTGTTTTTAGCATATATATATTTTTAAATCCAGTTCCAAGGGGCAACCAAGACTACTCGTTCTTCTCTCTTTCCTTCAGGTTTTGATTCGCAGGACCGGAATCCCGATCAGTTTGTCGGTGCTGTATTTAACCATTGCCAAGCAGTTGGGCGTCCAGCTTGAGGCTGTCAATTTCCCCAGTCACTTTCTGCTCAGGTGGTGCCAGGGAAAAGAAGGGTAAAGCTTTATTTTTATTTTTATTTTTCCCCTCCACTCCACTTCTACGCAGTCCCTCCCCGGCTAGCAAGAGGGGAGACTATCTCCGTCAGCGCTGCATTGAAACAACCCAGGTCGCCATTCTGCGGTTCGACCGTGCCAGACAATGAAGTCATAGTTTAAAAAAAAAGTATGTGTGTGGGGGTTATAATGTGTTTTCTTCCATGCAAGAAAAACGGCGGCGCTCATTTCGAAGACCCTGTTACTTAGTAATAGAGAAATCCGTCATCACGAGCATCGTCCTACAGTCTCATTAACTCTGGGAGGAGACTTTGGCGTGTGAGCAGAAAGCGATGAATCCACCCTCCCGGGGCTCTCTCGATGTTACAGGCTGATGAAGGCACAGCTGTCTGGAAGGGGAAAAAAACACCAGATTTCCCCGCCAATGAAACAGCTTTTCACTCGCAGGCCGCTCGTGATGCTTTCAGAATCCTATTGATTCTCTTTAACGTTTAAGTGGCGCCATTTCTCACCCTCCAGCATCGTGGCAGGAGACGGAGCCTCGCCTTCCTCCCCCCCCCCCTCAGTGTTTTGCAAAAGCTCCATTTAAGCTTCCAAAGGGGGCTCCGGGTTCAGCCTCCCGAAGGGCTAAAAGAAGAGATGGGCTTTGCGTCAGCCCTGCGAAGTAGTCCTGGAGTACTAGCTCTGTCTTTGTCGCGAGGCAGACTGGCTGAGGAATTCTGGGAGTTGAAGTCCACAAGTCTTAAAAGTTGCCAAGTTCGAAGACCCCTGCTGTAAGGCTACGTTAACAGAACTCACAACCACGACTGAGTCCCAGATTTCTGTGGCTAAATGAGACAGCGGTTAAGCGAATGTGTGCCTCATTTTACGAACTTCCTCGCCACCGCTGTTAAGTCAGTTGCCGCAGTGTTTTTAAGCTAGTCACACGGTTGTTAAGTGAATCTGGATTCCCCTTGTCAGAAAGTCCCAAAAGAGGGATCACGTGACCCCCCCAGGGACCCCGCAACCGTCAATAAATATATGCCAGTTACCAAGCGTTCCAAATTTGGATCACGTGACCGTGGGGATGCTGCAACGGTCATAAGTGTGAAAAACAGTCATAAGTCACTTTTTTCAGAGCCGGGGTAACTAAACGAACTGTAGTATGTTGAGGACTAGCTGTATTTCTCCCCTCCTTCTACTCTCTGGAAAACTAGGGAGGGTCCTGTCTGGCGCCAAAGGTGAGCAGAAGCATGACGAGAAACTAATTCCCCTTTGGTTTCGTTTTTCTTTTGTCAGGAGCACAAATATATTTGACTACACATACATTGATGCTTTTGGGAAGGGGCGGCAGCTGACGGTCAAAGAATGTGAATACTTGATTGGGCACCACGTGACGGAGGAATTTTACGGTGTGGCAACAGCCAAAGAGGTTCTGCAGCGGATGGTGGGCAACTTGCTAAATATTGGAAAGCGGTAAGAATCAGCAAAGATTGCCTTAGCGTTTCCATTGCATTAGGGGAGGTCCAAGTCCTCCTTGACCATGGAGAGCCATGGTCCACATTGATCATGAAGGTTCAGGTCCTCACTTTACCATGGAGGTCCAAGTCCCCATTGACCATGGAGGTCCAGGTTCCGATTGATCATGAAGGTCCAAGTCTACATTGACCATGAAGGTCCAGGTCCCCACATGACCATGGAGGTCCAAATTCTCATTAACCATGGAGGCCCAGGTCCCCATTGATCATGAAGGTCCAAGTCCCCATTGACCATGGAGGCCCAGGTCCTCATTGATCATGAAGGTCCAGGTCCCCATATGACCATGGAGGTCCAAGTTCTCATTGACCATGGAGGTCCAGGTTCCCATTGACCATGGAGGTCCAGGTCCCCATTGACCATGAACGTCCAGGTCCCCATTGATCATGAACGTCCAAGTCCCCATTGACCATGGAGGTCCAGGTCCCCACATGACCATGGAGGTCCAGGTCCACACTGACCATGAAGGTCCAGGTCCACACATGAACATGGAGGTCCAGGTTCCCATTGACTATGGAGGTCCAGGTCCACGTTGATCTTGGAGGTCCAGATCCATATTTCTTGACTGTGAGAACAATTATCCAGTGGAACGACTTGCCTCCAGAGGTTGTGAGTGCTCCACTGCTGGAGGCTTTCAAGAAAAGACTGAATAGCCATTTGTCTGGAACAGTATAGAGTGGAGGCCCTATAGTGTTCCGGACAATCAGCTGTCCAGTCTCCTCTTGAAAGCCTCCAATGAGCAGGGGGATGGATCAGAAGACCTTCCAGCTCCGTTATTCTGCTATCGTTATAGAACGTGGAAGGATGGTTAGAAAAGGCAGCAAGACTTGGCTAACCCTTGAAAGAAACTTCAAAACGGTAGCAGTCGTTTGACAGCAAAAGAAAAGAACAGTTGTATTGTAGCTCTTGACCAGCAGCAATGTATAAGCAACAACATGAATTATGAATTTGATGCAAGATCTGGGTTGGTGACTTCTGTGAAGGACAGGTCAGCTAACTGTGTAGTTAATTGGTGGTGGGTCATCGCAGCTAGGTGAGGGTAAATATCCATGAAAACATGACATTAAACGTGTTGGCCCCTGTTTGCTAGGGAAAGCACTGACCAATCATACCAGCTCCTGAGGGACTCTTTGGACTTGTATTTGGCCATGTATCCGGACAACGTCCAGCATCTAATGCTCCAAGCAAGACTCTATTTCCATCTTGGGATCTGGCCAGAGAAGGTACTTTGGATTCGTGTTACGTAGGTGAGGTATCCAATATATGAAGTAAGCAAAGAGATGGATGGATGTTGCTTCTCTTAAAGAGCTTAGTTGTCTCTCCTTCTGCTTTCTCTTCTCTTTTGAACAACTGGAAGGTGTTGAACTCAACCACTTTGCGTTTTTGATAGCCCCATTATGACCCCAGTACTTGCTTCTCTTAATTGGCCAAACTCCTACAAACCTTAAAACAGGGGTCTTCAAACTTGGCCCTTTTATGACTTGTGGACTTCAACTCCCAGAAAGGCACACGTGCACGTGGCTGAGGAATTCTGGGAGTTGAAGTCCACAAATCATAAAAGGGCCAAGTTTGAAGACCCCTGCCTTAAAATCATTGCTGGCAAGCATTGTCTGATACAATTCTCACATATCGTCCCCCCCCCCCAATAGTCCTTTGTGGCTCCAAAGGACCTTTTTTTTTTTTTAATTTATCCTGTTCAGTTTTTGAATGAGTTGTGTTACCCATCTGGATATTAGATTCTGTATGGCTGCTTGTTTGATTACTCTGATTTACTGCTGTTATTTTAGCCACTAGTTTTTCTGTAACTTTTTTTTTTAAACCTCCTGTTGCCTTTCCTGTATAATTCAACTTTGTTTTTTCTTGCGGGGTGAGGATTTTTTTTTTAAATTAAAAGTTGCTGGATTGTATCTAGGTTGCTGAAAAAGCAAAAAAAAAAAAAAGGAGAGATTTCAGTTCTTGCTTATTTAACTTATCTTTTGGGGCTGTGTAATAACAGTTTTTTGTGTGTTTTAGTCTTTTAAGCGATCTTCAGAGGACAGTGTATCCTGAAAGGCAGTTTAAAAAAAAAAAACAACTACATAAATTCAGAGAAAGCTAGCTCACTTTTGTAATCTTTGGACTAAAATAGTTTTCAAGGCCTGTCTCTGAAATCAGAAAAATACAGTTTCTCTCTCCCACTCTAATTATACCAAATGGGATGAAAAAGGGGGGGGGATCCCAGAATGTTGGTTTAAGCTTCAATGCATTCTATTATGATTAATATATTTGTTAATTAACCTACAAAAAGAGTGTGAAAAAGTAATACACATAATTGTCCCACAACCTTGACTTGCAACTGATTGCTTAGTGATTTTTCAAAGTTAAATGGATCCCCCCCCCAAAAAAAAAGATACCTACAAATTTCTAGCTGTTTGCAGTGTTGTGTGGTCATGTGACTTCAATTTACGGTGTGTGTGTGCTGCAAATCAGCATTTACTTCTGGTTTATGGCAAACAAGCCCCATCCGTTGTGGACAATGGGTTTGCTTACTGAGTGCGGATTCATACTTAATGACCATGGTGATTTGCTTAATGACCACCCCAAAAAGAATGATAAAATTGAATCAGTCACACGGTAACCTATTGTAACGACCGGCACGGCTTACAGTTGTAATTCTGGGCCCAGTTACCTAAGTGGTAAGTCGAGGACCAGGTTGCCCTTTGCTAAGTTCTGAAAGGATAAAATAAATATACCCTAGATTGGATATTAGCTAAACGTTGCGTCGCAGGATGATTGATTGGGAGCTGTTCCACTCACTCTGTTAAAGGTTCTGGACATCTTGCAGCACATTCAGGCCTTGGACCCCACCCAGCAAGGAGCTGTGGGGTATTTAGTTCAGCACACCCTGGAGCACATCGAACGTCGGAAAGAAGAGGCCAGTCCCGACGTGAAGCTTCATTCCGACGAGAAGCACAAAGACATCCTCTTTTCCGTCGGCTTGGTTATGAAACACAAAAGGTGAGGCCGCCCCACCTGTCCACACTTCCCCAGCAGGATTCTGTAGCTGCAAATGTAGGAATCATCGACATCTGTAGAGCCAAAGTATGGTACAAGATGGGCGGGTTTGGTCAGCCTTCTAAGGTGGACCAGTTCAGGAAACCACATGACCACGTGGGACTCTTGCTTTTTTGTTAGAGTAATAAGTAGAAGAATGACTTCTCAAATGGATTATCTCATCATCTCATCTCATCTCTCTCTCTTCCTCCCTCCCTCCCTCCCTCCCTCTCTCTGTCTCTGTCAATCATCTGTCTATTACTGCTCCATTGATGGCATTATGTCTCCTCTTTCTGCTTCAATTTAGATACGGCTACAACTGTGTGATCTATGGTTGGGACCCAGCGTGCATGATGGGACACGAATGGATCCGAAACATGAATGTCCACAGCCTGCCCCATGGTCCTCACCAGCCTTTCTACAATGTTCTGGTGGAAGATGGATCATGCCGATACGCTGCCCAAGGTAGGCAGGCAGTATTTCCAACAAGCTTAGACATGGTTGCTTATCCGCTTTTTGAAAGAAATTAGATCTTGAAGGGGAAAAAATGAAGGGAGAGAGAGAGAAAAGAAAAATTGATTATTGAATATTGAAATAAAACATAGTCCAGTGTAGGGTAGTTAATTAATATAAAGATTCCCTTTCAGTAAACTATGCTCAGAATTAATAGGGTTTTCACATAGGTGGAACTCACAATAGCCATTGCGTCTTCCACAATAAGACCAGCGCGAGAAGGAAACCCAATCTGCAAATTTCCTGTTATTTTTAGTTATTTTGATCTTTATAGCTATTTAGGCTTAGAATAAATCGTTTTCCCAGCAGAGGGCACTCTGTACAATTGCAGCTTGTGATTAGAAATAGTTTTTTCTCACTTCTGGCTTTCTTCCCTTCCTCTTGCCCCAATACTTTAAACCTGGTCTGCAACTCAGCTTCGGTTATAGAGATATAAAAAATTTCCCTCTCCAGGGAAATTACATCCGGGAATCTCACCAAAACACACAAGAGCACAAAAGCCTCATAATCAAAGTTAAATCGGACAACTACGGCATAGAAACAGAGAGAAGAACGTGAAACGTGTAAATATGCAATCTTTTAAGGACACCGCACACGGCCATATGCTTTCCCCTCCACTGAGAATTGTCCTAGTCCTAAAATTGTTCTTTCTTAGGGGAAAAAAACACCAGCAACTTTTCTATAAGATGGGCATAACAAATGCAAAAAAAAAAAAAGAGAGAGTAGCTTTTCAAGAAAAAGGAGAGTTCAGCAGCTTTGCTTTTTTGTTCAGCATCTTCATTTCAAATAACAATTGAAGTTACTTCTCCCTTTTCCTTCCCTCTGCAGAGAATCTAGAACTCAACCCAGACCCTCACGAGATCCCTCACCCAGACATCGGCCGCTACTTCGAGGAGTTTGCCGACACCTACTACGTGGCCAACCCAGAGTTGGAGATCCGATACCCCGAGGATGTGGCGCTCACACGTTTAGCTGGCCAGAAAACTGAAGAGAGCAAAGAATGAGACCTTTTCCCCACCCATCCCCTTCCTCTTTGCAAGGACAGAAAAAAAACTTTGTGGTGAGAATTTCATCACGAGAAAAGCTGCTAGTCTGAGGGGAACTGCATTTTGCTAGCTAGCAGGGAAACGTGGTGTTATGCAACCCCCTCGATTGCGTTGTGTCGACACGTGGATCGTGCAAAGTTTGGAGACCTCCTCTGAAGGGACCTCACCAAATGAAGAACTTCTGAGACTTAAAAGTTCTTATCCTGGAAACTCTGAGTGACCTGCCAGATGGAAGCTGTGGATGATTTCTAGTTAGGACTTCCTGGAACTAACACAACATCTGTCATGGCTCAACTCTGACCAGCAATGAAGTGCCAAAACCTTAGGAAGGACATTGGTGCTCCTTTACTCAAAGATCTGATAGAAACACCGTCAGGATTTCTCTCTGCTGCTTCAGAACAACAACTCAATTTAAAAACAAAAAACAAAACCCTCTACTGGGTTGTTTTTTTTTCCTGCAGGTTTCTTGGGCTCACATTCCAGCACGTGTGCACACACACACACACACACAAAATGCCACTTTGGTGATGATGCTAGAGATGAGTACCATCCTCCTTTTGTTCTGCTTGTTTGCTCACTCCATAAAAGAAAGGATAATCAACCTAAGCAGCGTATCTCTCAAACGCTGGAACAGACAGCGCCGAAGGACGTAGCATTAATGTCTAAAAGTTTCCATTTCTCAGGGAAAAAATCGGAGTCGGTTGATTTTGCAAGCCGTCTGGCAGAAAGGACTGATCAGGCTTTCATCAGGCGTCGTAAAATAATAGGTTGCAAGGCTGTGGAATGTGTAATTTCTAAATTGGGGTCTCTTGAGCAGCAGAGTGCAGCTTGTCACTCGCTGGAGTGCGTGCTTGGGAGAAGAGAAGGTAAGCTTTTAATCATCAGCGTTGTAAAGGATAAAATGATACGCTTCTACAACCTTAGTCCCAAAGATTGCTGTTTTGTAGCGGTGAAATTGTTATTTTTCAGGAGTGCCCTTCGTTTGCATGCTGTGTTTTCATATCCTTTTCGGCAAGCGTGAAATTTAGGGTTAACCTCCCGGGAAGGTCTTCAAACAGCTCAAGAGGTTTGAGTTAAGAGTGTCGCTCGGGGAACACGTGTACACCCTTCGACATGCATGCATACAGGCAGTCCTCGACTTAATGGAGGCTGCCCCTTATAGTCATAAGTCATGATAAGACACATTCTGGAGAGAGTAGTACTCTGAGGATTTGCTCCAGCACAAGCCTAAAAGCTTGGAACAATAAAGTTTCGGTCCTGGTGACCGACTCGGATTGGATCCTGCAATAAGTTGTCGTTGGTCATAAAGTGGGGCATCACATTTTTACGGCCTCTTGTTTCGTGTGCTCTGCTCATTAATCAAATCATGGTTGTTAAACAAGTCCGTTGTTCGCGATGGGGCATTTTTGCTGAAAAACGGAAGCAAATACTTGGTTTTCAGCAAATGTCCATTGCAGCCGTGTGACACCCCCTCCCCAGCACCCTGTAAATGATTGCTGAGCACCCCGAAATGCAGGCGCAGGGGAGGGACTTGGAACTTCAGGATCAGGATGTAAAACATTTTTTAGGAGGCCCGGCGTAATTTTGAACAGTCGCTAAGCGACCGTTGTAAGTCGAGGACTACCTGGAGCCGAATCCACTGGGGGTTGCATCAGACTGAGATAATTATCCCTCGCAACGGCAGCCGCCAACAGTGATTGCCTCCCTTGAGACAGGAGCCCGTGCTGACTCCCAGGCACAGGACAACGTCTGAATCGTCCCGGGAGATGCAGCGAAGATGACAACCGCCGATGCAGAGAAGTCTGACGGGGTGAGAAAAAACCCACCCTTCAAGGCTACTTTAAAGGGAATTGCAGAAGCCCAATTGGAGGAACTCACCTAGGCAGTCCCCTCTTGTTGATTTGAGGGGGTCTTAGCAATACAGAGTCCAAATTTTAGCAATACACAGTCTCCCTTGTTGATGGGGAGATGCTGCAACTCACAAACGAACCATGAAGCTGCCTCAAACCGCAACCTTGATCCCGCAGCTGGCTGTGGGTCCCTCTCATCCTTGGTCAGATAATCGGAGGTTTTTGCATTTTCCCACTTTGGATTGTTGTGGGTCTGATGCATGTGTGCCACACTCTTTTCTTGTTTTTTTCTCCTGAACTTCTATTCCCCCCCCCAAAAAAAGCGCTTTTCCTTCATCTGAAAGGTGCTATATAAATCCATCCATCCCCCCCCTCTCTCTGTCCATCTATTTACCTTCAAGCATTTTGAAGATACTGGAAAAAAGGAGAATTTGTGCAGCCCCTCCATACCATCTGCAGTTTTGAGCATAAAATGCACTATTTATTTTTAGGAGAGTTACAAATGTAGGGATATGTTTCTCTCCCTCCCAGCACTTAATGGTATTTCTGGAATAAAACGACACCCTTTTCGGCTTGTAACTCTGCAATATTCTTTCTAATGTAAAGCCATTTCTTTTCCTGGGCGTTTTTTGTTCTCTTGAGTTAGGCAGAAGTCAGTGGGAAGTCCTCCTAAAAAACACTTGATAACTGGGATTACCAATGTATGAAATTTGAATCCACGATAATTGTTAGGTTACCGTTTGAACTGACTGTCGCTGACTCTCAAAAAGTACTTTTTGAAATGATGTATAATGATATTTTTTTTCCTAAAGGAGAGAAAAGGGGGTTTTGGCTTCAAGCCAGCTTGGAATTAATTTCCTTTCTGCCTGCCTTCAATCAAATCGCAACTATTCTGGAAAAGCTCTCAGCTTTTCTCTTAAAAAGACAAGACGTTTTGCACATTCCTGAGGTGTTTTATTTTTTTCTTAAATCCTATCATATTCCCGATCTGCACTCTGCTCCTGAAAATAAACTCTTTAAGTGTCCAAATCCCTGGATTCCATAACAGTAGCTAAATCTTTATCCATAAAAATATTACACGTTCCAGAGTGGAAAAATTATAAAGAATTAAAAGTAAGACTGTTACCTGATCTTTAAGGGTTATATTTATTTATTGGGAAAATTTATATTGTCCCCTACTTGCTCATGGCGACCCAAGGAAATAAAAACACAATATAAAAGAAAATAAAAATATTTATTTTGCAAAAATAAAAAAAATAACCCCCCCCCCACCCTGGCACTCATGCCAGCCATTTAATGGGCTCCATCTCTGTCTGGGTTCCCCAGGCCCACTTCAAGGCCTTCCGGAAGAGTGTCAAGAGTGGGGGCCGGTCTAATACCCAGGGGGATGATGTTCCAGAGAGAGGGAGCCACCACGGAGAAGACCCTTCTGGTGGATCCTGCCAGATGTATCTCCTTAGGGGACGGGGCCCACAAGATACCTTGCCTCCCGGCTCTAGTGGGCCAGCTGGATGTGACCGGCAAGAGAGACATACCTTTGGAAGTGAATTGCATTGAGTTAAGGGGAATTTGTTCCCAAGCATATGAGCAGGTGCTTTACCAAGAAGAACGCAGAAAAAAAGAGTAGCCTGCTGTAGGAATGGACTACCTGTTTGAGCAGAGACCAGCCTGATGCCTCAAGGTTCACACTTCAGGTATGAAAGCCCCAGATTTTCCCTCTTCTTCTTCTTTAGATAGACTAGCTGTTGAAGTGACATCTTATAATCATGATGCCTATGGAGATCCTCAATCTTCCAAGTCATGGTTGTCCCAAAGATGCTTTTTCAAAAAGGGCTTTTCTTGTTTTTTTCCCCCCCCTTGAAAACATTTTGCTTCTCGTCCAGGAAGCTTCTCCAGTTCTGATTTCAGCACCTTTGGGATTATAATCGTGACAGTCCATTGCAAACATACAATGCCTACCTTTGTATGCTGGGTTCATCTCCTCAGGATTAAATCAAGCTGCTGTATTTATTTATTCATTCTAGATCTCAGTTTCAGACCAGTCCCCTGCCAGATGCTTTCAGAGCCACAAAGAAGGGCCTTGCACCCAGCTAACCATTTGCTCTCCAAATAGCTTGTAATGGTATTTAGCCCTCAAAGCAAGTAGTTGCAGGGGAACATTTATTTATTTATTTATGAGACTTATATACCGCTTTAAGTGCAAGCACTCTCTAAGCGGTGTACACCAGTAAGCAAGGTATATATATATTTACATTGCCCCCAGCAATCTGGGTCCTCATGCCATGATCCCAACTGGAACTGTAAGGCGAAGTTTGCAAACCAAGGAACACGTATGTTTGGGATGCATGTTCATTTTCCTCTTGCAGCCCAGCTGTTCCCAGAGGTTGAAATCATCCTTAGAGTCTGCGCTGCAGAAGGAGAGTCACTTAGGAGAAAAGGGGGGTGGGTGGGTGGGGGGTGAAAATTCATAATCAGCTTTGGAAATTTACTAGCAAGACCTCCTGCAGAAATGGCCATTCTAGGTTGCTTTTTTTCTCCCAAGCCGAGCCGTGGATCAAAGCGGCGCATTTCAATGTCATTAAAATGGCTTGGAAATTAACGCTGACATTTCCTCGACACCCTTGACTTGAGCCATCAACAGCTTCAAGTTCCGGTTGTTGACAAGCTGAACGTGAGTCGGCAGCAAAATGCGGCTGCCCAAAAAAAAAAGAGAAGCAACTCAAGTTTCCAAACCATGAGAAGTAGTAACTGTTCCCGCATGTTCCCCATTTAGTAGACCTGGTTCATGTGCGGTGACCACTTTCTGAGCACAGCTTTGTTCAGAAACCTTGGGAACAACTGGAAAGTCATTGGAAATGCAGAAAGATTGAAGAAATGCCATACGCTAAATAAATAAATGCAGAAAGATTGTCTAGAGAAAAGACGGACTACTAGGGGGTGACAGGATAGCAGTATTCCAATATTTGAAGGGCTGCCCCAAAGAGGAAGGGGTGATTGGCCCAAAGTCACCCACTTGGCTTTCAGGCCTAAGGCAAGACTAGAACTCACAGCCTCCTGGTGATTGGCCCAAAGTCACCCACTTGGCTTTCATGCCTAAGGCAAGACTAGAACTCACAGCCTCCTGGTGATTGGCCCAAAGTCACCCACTTGGCTTTCATGCCTAAGGCGGGACTAGAACTCACAGCCTCCTGCTTTTTCGTCTGGTGCCTTAATCACTAGGCCAAACTGCCTATCCTTTCTTCTTATCGAGAAGCTATTTTGGAGTTACTATTCCAGCCTATTTGCCCGCTAGACCTGGTTGAAGCTTTGCTCCAGCAGCCAAGAAATAAAACAGGAGCATTTGGAAGAAGAAAATAAATAAAATGAATACATCATCATCATCATAGTTGTTGTTATTTTTATTATTGTTTTTAAAAAGCTCCACTTACTCAGACTTCACAGTCTGATAAAAAAAGAGTTTCAGAAAAAGACATGTAAAACCAGGTCAGGAAACCCTCTCCGTTCCTTTAAAAAGATGGAAGGTTTAGCTTCAACAGCTGGGGTTAATTGCCAGCCTCGTCCAGGAACACCTGTGCATTTTTGGGTCTTTCTGCAGCCATTTTAGTTTCCTTTTTTAATAGCAAATGGGTGCTTGGGCCTTGCTGGGCAGGCTTGGAGGACTTTTGGAGGTGAGTTCCCTCCATTTTACTTCTTTTTGGGGGAGGGGAGGTGAGGCTCTTAACGTGACTCTTTCTCAGTGGCCTTTTATGGGAACTGGCTGGGACAAAATTAGCAGCATTTGGGGGCATCATTTGGAGCAAGTTAAAGGGATGGGTTTATATGGCTGGCCTGGGGGGAAAAATGGCAGTGTGAGGTAATTGTGTAAGGGGCAGGGTGTGTGCAAGTCTTTGGTCCCTGGGTGGTGTTTCTTTTGTCAGCCTTTGTGTTTGTTTGTTTGTTTTTCCTTCTGAAACAATTATTTAATCTGTCTGGCTTTCTCATGCCCAGAAACTCAAAATGGCCGCCGGATTCTGGTTCCTTTGTTTTAGATTATTTATCCTCCCTTTGTTACTTTATGAGGAACTCCAGGTGGCAAACACACATAATGCTCCTTCCTTTTCCTATTCTCCTCACCACAACAACCCTGTGAGGCGGGTTGGGCTGAGGGAGAGCGCCAGGGCAAAGTGACCCACGTTCGCACCCAGGAATTCACAGCTGCCTAGGTTTTAGCCCAGTCTGTTAGGCCAGACTGCTTCTGCCAATCTTTATTTATATTTATATCCCACTTTTATTATTTTATTTTATTAATTTTATTTTATTTTTTATTTTATTTATTTTATTTTATTTTATTTATTATTTTATTTTATTCTTTTATTTTATTTTTATATTTTATTTTATTTTTATTTTATTCTATTATTTTATATTTTATTTTTATATTTTTTATTATTTAATTTTATTTTTATATTTTATTTTATTATTTTATATTTATTTTATTATTTTATTTTTATTTTATTTTACTTTATCTTATTTTTATAATTAACTTATAACTTACTCTAGGTGGCAAACATATCTAATATGCCTCCCTCCTCCTATTTTCCCCACAACAACAACCCTGTGAAGTAGGCCAGGCTAAGAGAGAGAGGGACTGGCCCAAAGTTGCCAAGCCAGTTTTTCATGTTTAAGGTAGGACTCGAATTCCCAGTCTCTTGGATTGGGTCAAAGTTGCCCGATGGCTTTGACGCCTAAGGTGGAACTAGAACTCACTGTCCCCTGGGTTCTAGCCTGCTGCCTTCACCACCATCATAATGCCTCCTTACAACAACCCTGCTAGGTTGCTTTGGCAGCCGGTCCCAGGGTCACACTGAGGCATTCAGGGACATAGTCAATTTGCAACCAGCCAGCACGTTCCCGCTCTTATCTTAACATCCCAAGCCTGGCCCTAACTCACTCTCTCTCTCTGCCAGGGTTGCAATATATTTTTAGGCTGATTTTAAACTTTATTCCCAGAAGCCTTTTTTTTTTCCCTTGCAACGATTGGTTGAGGCTTTGCACTCACCGTTACCATGAATAGACTTGCAAAAGGAGGCCGTGGGGGATGTTTTTCTTTTCTTTTCCTACGTGCAGAATTTTCTCCTGGTGTTTGGAGAATGTTTACTGATAAAGGCGCTTTGGAGGAAGCGTGCATGCCACAAGCTGGCACCCGATAGATAAAGAGAAACAGAACAGGCCTCTGCAAGAGGCATTATTATAGCCATCGTCAAGATTCGCAAGGAAGCACATTCCCCAAATCCTTCCCTTTCAATAGGTCTTTAGGGGGGGGGTGCCCACCTTTGGCAACTTTTAGGACCTGTGGGCCTCAACTTCTGTGCTGGCTGGGGAATCCTGGGAGTTGAAGTCCACCAGTCATCAAAGGGCCAAGTTGGAAGACCCCCTGCTCCAGGTTCCCCTCTAGGGCCAAGGAGATGTTAATAGTTGTTAAAAGCGGTCTTAAAAAGTTGCCAACGTTGCTTTAGACCCTCAGCCGTGAAACCCACTGGACCTGTTCAGTCTTGCACGCCACCCAAAAAACTTAATTTTTCTCCGGTGTACGGTTCACGAAGGCGTCTGCTCCGTCATAAAATGTGCTGGAAAAGATGCTACAGGCTCTTCCTGAGTCCTCCCCTGCTTAAGGACGGCTCTGTCAAGTTTCTAGTCTATTTGGAGCTTTTCCTACTCCATTGTTAATCTCTGTTCTCATCTGCACCTCCCCGGTGGAGAAGCTCTCAGAACTGGAAACAATTTCCTTTTCCTTTTTGCTGTGGGATTCTTGATGTCTTGCGGTCCCTTTGTCTCAGGGAATTTCCCCCGTTTTTTTTTTTTTTTTTTAAACTGAGCTGCCTTGCAGTTTATTCCTCGGCGTGCAGTTGCTGCATTACTGCTGCGGTCTAGCCGCCTGGCACCTCCTCCAGCCACATCCCAGCGGCGCATTAAGCCTGCTGGCAGCGTGCTCTGCAAGGAGATCAACCTTTCAAGCTATGTCCTGCAGACTTGCCTCCGCAAGGATGTTATTACAGAGAAGATCAAGTAAAGATTTTACCTGCTGCAGGCCGACGGGACCGAAAGGGCTCAGGAATTCAGGATGGGGAGCAGTTGCGCAGTCTAGATGATCTCAAGAGGGAGACCTCTTGAGATTCGTGATGGGACAGTCTCGCTTTCTCTTGCTCCTTATGGAGCAAAGATCCAGACGGATCCAACCCCTCTCGTAGGGCCTTGAAGACCTGGGCGAGGAGGTTAAACCCCCGTTTATGGATTTATTATTTGAGACCTGGGAGTATGTTGCATTATTTTGGATCTGTTACAGGCAGTCCTTGACGTACAGCCATGGCTGAGCCCAAAATTTCTTACTAAGCGGTCAAAGGTCACTTTTTTTTTTTAGTGCCACTGTAATCACTAATTGAACAGTTGTAAGTTGGGTATCTGTACTGGGGATCTTTTATTTAATATATTCTATTCCGGATGGGGGGTTGCTATTCCTTTTCATCTTCTGCCCTCAGTCGCTGTTTTGAGATGGTTAACCTTGCAAATTCAGATAACAGAATTAGCAGAGAAGTGGGAGGTGGCGTTGAAGCCATCAGCAGTTTTAATTTTGCTAAACTGGGGTAACTGGGGAAAACATTTGGGCTGCTTAGCCCAGCTTTTCCAGTTCCAGATTTTCCTTTTAGTTGGGGAAATAGACTCTACTGCTTTAATGTTGTACCTCTGTAGGAAAAGGCCATAGATTAGATAGGAGTCAAATAAGAGAAAAGGTGAAACATGAACTTTCCCTGACTCATATTCATGCACAACCCTTGTGCAGTGATTCTCCCTCTGCCGCACATCAACTATATCTCTTTATTGAAAGAATTTTTTTCCAACCTTACCTTGGATCCTTTGCATTTGGCCTCTGTCAATAATTGCTAGCTTTAATCGAAAGCTTAAAAGAATTGGTACAATCCAGATCAAACTCAACACAGTGTCATCTCACCACAGTTAGGAAGGCTGTGAAAAAGTCCATTGTTGAGACTCTAGAAAGAGTGCAGAGAAGAGCGACAAAGATGATCAGGGGACTGGAGGCTAAGATATACGAAGAACGGTTGCAGGAATTAGACCTGTCTAGTCTAACAAAGAGAAGGATTAGGGGTGACGTGATAGCTGTCTTCTGGTACTTGAGAGGCTGTTTGAACTATTCTCCAAGCATCTGAGGACAGGATAGGAAGTAATGGATGGAAGCTTATCAAAGAGAGAGTCAACCTACAATGAAGGAGAAATTTCCTATCAGTGAGAACAATCCAGAAGTTGTGGGTGCTCCATCACTGGAGGTTTTCAAGAAGAGACTGGACAGCCATTTGTCTGGAATGGTGTAGAATCTCCTGGGGGTTGGACTAGAAGACCTCCAAGGTCTTATTCTATGTTTTATGTTCTAACGTCCAAGCTTTGTGTGGTCCTCAATCTCTAGGGCTGTCTTGTCATCCTTTGAGTTGAGTTTGGACTCCCGGTGGATCCAGATAGGTGGATGTTGTCACTGAGAACTGTCCTCTGATGGCCTTCGTAAAGAGTTTGTTGTTTTCTCATGAAAAAGGATGCTTGTTCTCCTTCTCTTCTGCCAAGCTGCGTTTGTGTGATTTGCACCACCTACAACATGTACCAGTGTTCCCACCAGACAGAGACCAGGTGCCAAGCCAAAGGATGACTCAGGGAAGTGTTCTGGATCATCAGCTTCCCTTCTTGGGGTTCTCCTCAAATGCTGTGTGTTCTTTCTAAGAACATCAGTGGCAGGAAAGATTCATCAACATGAAAAGGGAGACCAAAACCAACCCCTTGGTCTCCCCAAACAATTCCCCACTTAACTTTAAACTTGTCCTCTTTTAATTTTTCTCCTTCACAGAAGGAGAATTGTTTTGTCTTTTGGAGGTCAAGGGATAGTCTAAATAAATCATCCATGTCCTTGATCTTTTGTCTGGGTTCTTTGTCGCTGGAACATGTTTAAATGTTTGCTAGGGTGAGCTGCCAACACATCTCAACAAGAGGATTTTGTTTCCAAAAGAAAAAAAGAGGAAAAACTAAAGAGAAGGGGGGGAAAATACTCTGGTTTTTTTCTCCCTAACAGAATAAAAGAGTCACAGAGTTGGAAGGGACCTTAGAGGTCATCTAGTCCAACCCCCTGCTCAAGCAGGAGACCCTTCCAGACAAAGAACTGTCCAGGATCTTAAAAGAGCACTCACAACATCTGGGAGGTAAGCTATTCCATTATTTGTTCTCCCTGTCAGAAAACGTCTCTTTAATGATCTGCAACCCGTTACTTCTTGTCCTGCCTTGAGGTGCTTTTGCAGGAGCAGCAGTTGAGGAGGGCTTTTGGACCACAAATGGAGAGGTCAGTGGCCATGGACATCTGATCCTTTCTTTATTGAATTGCCCTCTTGCCCAGTGGATAGAAGCATTTGAATCAAGGAGCCTGTTTCCTCTTTGGGGCTTCCGAAAACTTCTGGAAATTCCCAGTTGGAGCATTGGCAACCACAGGGGTAGGACTTCAACTCCCAGAATTCCTGAGCCAGCATGGCTCAGCTTGGAAACCTCTCCCTTTCCCCTCAGCATGGCTGCCTCAGGAACTCTGGGTCCACGAGTCATCAAAGAGCCAAGGTTGCCTATCCCTGGCCTATCCCTTTGTCTATAAAGCCTCAATATTGTTTGCTGAGTTCTAATTCTCCAACTCCAAGATACAGTGGAGGAAAAGAGGACCTGCTGTGCTATGATCCATGGCAGTGGTCTTCAAACTTGACCACTTGAAGACCTGTGGACTTCAACTCCCAGAATTCCTCAGCCAGCCTAGCTTGTGGACTTCATCTCCCAGAATGTTGGCTGGGGAATTCTGGGAGTCGAAGTCCACAAGTCTTCAAGTGGCCAACTTTGGAGAGCCCTGTCTTAGAGGACCTCAAAGCAACTCCCAACCTTGTTGGATTTGTCCATCTCACAGCCAGGTCAGGCATCTCCATTCCTACAGGACAAGTAGGCCCAACCCTTATCGCATTCAGAGGTAGCATCAATCCTCTCCTTTCCTTGCTGCAATGGCAACAGAAGACATTTCTTTTCCTGGGGGGGGGGGCTGAGCCAACCCTGGGCAGCCTCCAACCCTCACGATGAATTAATCATGATTTGTTAGCAGCAATCTGTTGGAGAAGAACATCCAGTCCTTGGTGAGCTAATGGAGCCGAGGTTCCTCTTTTTTTGGGGGGGGAGGGGGCTTAAGGCTTCCTCTTTTTGGGGGGGAGGGGGCTTAAGGCTTGCAGCCAGACCCTCCTCCCCCTCCTCTGCCGACTTTAAAAATCCCCCCACGCCCCCCCTCCCTCAAATAAAACAAATGCATCTGCTAGTTCCTCTTATCACATTTGCAAGAACGCAAATGTTTTTTTTTTTTTTTGGTTGCTACGCTGCCTCTCCCCCAGGGTGAACTGGGACCAGTGGAAAAAAAAGAGCATTCCCAGCGGATAGCAAGGCTGTTTTTTTTTTTTTTTTTTTTTTTTTTTTTTTTTTTTAAAGACAATTGGCCCAGCTCCTGCGCTGTGGCAGGCGTTGAGACCCTGGGGCAGCCTTCTTCTTTCCTTCCTTCTTCCTCCTCCTCCTCCTCCTCCTCCTCCTCTTTCTGGATAGTCCCCCTCGCCTTCATGCTTCTTCCTCCAGCCTTCAAACTCCGCCGCTGCAGCCCAGTGGGCGCTCCCCTCCAGCGCTCCGGGGTCCATGCGCCCCTTCCCCATCTCCCTCGCTCCTCCTGCCGCCCTACCCTGCCCTAATCCAGCCGGGACCCCCCCCCCCCCCAAGCCGCTGCCCCAATAGCCGGGCCATGGGCTCTTCCCACTCGATGTCCGAGGAGAACCGCCAACTCGCCCACAAGACCGGCTGTGAGTACAGGAGGGGTTTTCTCTTTCCCCCCCTCCCCGAATTTCCCCTTCTGGGTGGGGGTGCCTCTCTCATCCTCTGCCCTCCTCCCCCCCCCCGGCTGGGCTCCCACAGCATCTCCAAGAGCAGCCGGGGTTGGGCTGGGGGGGGGTCGCGGAGTGGGGCGCGCGCCTGGAGCAACTTTGCGCTCCCGGCTCTTGCAGCCCCAGGCTTTCCAAAGCATTTCTGCTGCCTGTTTGGGGAAGTTTGTTTCGGGGAGCGTCGCGCTAGGCAGCTCTTCCTGCCCACAAGCCCTCCCTCCAGTTGCGGCCTTTTCCCAAGCTGCTGTTTTGCCAAGGGGGGGGGAGGTGGCACTTTGCACTTGGGGAGGGGGGGAAAACTCACTTAGCTGGGCATGGTGAGGGGGGCATCCTCAGGAGCCTGCGAGAAGAGAAGCATGCCCCCCCCCCCCGCAAAAGAGAGATTGAGGCGGGGAAGGTTTTCCAGGAAATCCTAAGAGTTTGCAGAAGGACGGTCGTCAGCCAGAATGAAAATAAAAGTCCTTAGGGAAAAAAGGACAGAGCAAGCGAAGAAGAAGAAGAAGAAGAAGGAGGAGGAGGAGGAGGAGGAGGAGGAGGAGGAGGAGGAGGAGGAGGAGGAGGAGGAGGAATATGTAAAACAGGGCAGCGGCCAGCTCATAAACTCGGGGACTGTGGCGTGGGAGAGGGGAGAAGGGAAAACCTTAGGGAGAAGGGTGCAAAGGGGTGGCTGCCTGGCACCACACACAGGAATAGTCTACCTTGCCCCATTTTGAAGCAGCAGCCAATCATTTACAGGATGGAAACCAGCCTGGGAAATTAGGTCTGTCCTGCAGTCCTGGATTTAAGGAACAAGCAGCCGAAGAGGGAGCAGTTGTGTTGTAAGAGACACCTAGATTCTTAACAGCCGAGGTTGAAGAGGGTCCGGAATATATTTAATTTGCTGCCTCCTTCGTAAGAAAAATGGGCCAGCATCCTCTGGCAGACAGACCGGCTAGAGAAGGAAGGATTGACGTCCATGCTAATGGATCAAATGCTTTTATTTTAAAAGGCAGCTCGCGTTTCTATTGCATTTTCCACCCGTGGTGGCTGATACGTTAATGAAATAGTAGTGGCTGTGCCTTAGACGTACCTCATTTTTACTTGTCAGATTTATGTAGCCGCTCCTCTCCCGATCAAAGTGGCTTTGCCCTCCCCCTGCACAACAAAACTAAAAAGAGAGTGGTTTAGTTTCTCCAGAGTTGGCTCTTAGTCTTGAGGCACCTTTTTTGAAATGCTTCTGGGTTTCTTTGGGGGGAATTTTGGAGCAGGTTTATTATGCCAGGAGGCATAATTGGCCCACAGTCACCCAGCTGGCTTTCATGCCTAAAACAGGTCTAGAACTCACCATCTCCTGGTGATTGGTCCAAAGTCACCCAGCTGGCTTTCATGACTAAGGCGGGACTAGAACTCACCATCTCCTGATGATTGGACCCAAAATCACCCACCTGGCTTTCATGACTAAGGCGGGACTAGAACTCACCGTCTCCTGGTCATTGGCCCATAGTCACCCAGCTGGCTTTCATGCCTAAGGTGGAACTAGAACTCACCGTCTCCTGGTCATTGGGCCAAAGTCACCCAGCTGGCTTTCATGGCTACGGCAGGACTTGAACTCATGATCTCCCACTTTTTAGCCAGGTGCTTTAACCACTTTATGCCCAAATAGAGAAACTGATCAGGGCCGATGAGATGAAATTCAGATGTTCCAGCAGACAAACAAAGCTACTCTTCCCACATCGCAGCTCTAGCGAGACAAGCCACCTTGTAAAAATGGTTACTGCTCTCCAAGCTCTCTTCCTGCTTCTGTTTTTCTGGGCAGAGATGGGATTTTGGATTAGATTAAAACAAAAAAAAACAACCAAAAAAAGGATAGTTCCTGGAGATAAAGCAATTCCGTACAACATTCCGGGCTGCCATAACCTCTTCAGTCCAAATGCCCAATCTACCTTCTTTTTCCAAGCAGACTCAGTGCCCTTTGGCTGAGCTCACAAGAGGCTGATGGGCACTGGAGTCCAACAGGAGCTGGAGAGTCACGGCCTCCCCTAAACTGGAATAGGGAGAGGTATAAGCATGGAATAATTTATGCCCTCTGCTACAAAACTGTTTGTCATCTAAGAGCAGCCAAAATCTTTTATTGCCTGCAATTGGGCATGGCTGCTAAGATTGCATTGTTGAAATGCGGGCTAATTAAAAGATGGAATAAAGTGGAATTGGCTAAAGGAACTGAACAAAATTCCATAGTGAGATGAGAAGTGGGGAAACGAGGCAGGTCGTTTTAGTCCAATTTGTCTAACTTTAAGCAGTGGGTAGAAAGACAGGATATAAATCTAGTCATAACCAAAGAAACATGTTGTGTTTATGGAGCACTTTCTGATTGCTGTGCTCAAAGAGGTTTGCAATATGTTTACACCATCTAGAATTATTATACATCACCCTCTCTTCTTCCCTCACTCTGTGTGTGTGTGTGTGTGTGTGTGTGTGTGTGTGTTTGTATGTGTTATGGAAGCCAACAGTAAAAAGAATCCTAACTATAGCGGAAAGACAACTGTGCAAAAATAAAAATCTTTTATTCGGTGTTTTGCAAACGTCCCAAAAAGCAGGTTCCAATTCAGCACTGAAGAGATACATACACACACACACTCACACACACACTCACACACACACACACACACACACAAAACACATACAATATATGTTATATATAGATGTGTGTGTGTTTGTGTGTGTGTGTGTCATAACATATCGTAAAATAATAAAACAATCTCCTATGCTCAAAAACATTGTCCACAAAAAAAAAAAAATAAAGCAGAGAAATCCGCAAAATTTCATATCACACTGTTAAAAAAGTGGGGGCATCAAATATCCATTTGCTTTTATGGATAACGTGTGTGCTGCTATCTTGAGGGGCTTTTTTGTTTGTTTGTTTTTTGGGAAAAAATACTTTATTAAGTTTCCAAATAAAAATGCAAATACAAAAATTAGGAAATTTAAAAAAACCCAAGAAAATTTAAAAGTAGAGGGGAATGAAAAATAGAAATAATAAAAAATAAAAACTTCAGATTTCCCTAAATACAAATACATATACTTAACCAGATAATGTCTTACTCTGAATTAAACATAACACGAAACATGAAAAGTGGGCTTTGTTTTATGGTTATTCACATGCTTTTATTTTGTTCGGGGATATCTGCACAATATGCTCTAGAATAATCAAATTAAAACATTACATGACTTGACTATTCTTGAGCATATCTTACAGATACCCCTGAGCAATACAAAAGCATGTGTATAACCATAAAGCCAAGGCTTTTTTTTTTTAACAAACCACTTTTTTACAGCTATCTCTAGCATCTGCAGTTAAAATTGAAGAGCAAATAAGTCCCCAGTGCAAATCTAAATAAAAGCTGCTTGGATTAAAATTGGTCTTCAATGAATAAAGGCCTTTCATAAATGTTGAAAGAGGAAATATTTAGGGAAAAAGATCCCTCTCTCACTTGTACAATAAACAAACTGGATGTTCAGGCAGGTTTGTGCAGATAATTTAGTATGCAATTACTCTAGAGCTGAGCTGTTATTTGATGAATACAGGAACTTCATAAAGATTCTTGACGGTTTTATGTAAGTGAAATAGACATTATGTCAATATTTATGATTAAGAGGCGTCATTCAAAAGTCTGGGGCTTTAGATAATTTGTGTTTTCAAACAGTTATCAGCCAGTAACAAATGTAGTGCAATATACCTTTATCGCAGATCAGAGTTATTTGCATTTCCTAAACCCAGAAATCATAAGTACTATTAATGCATGTTACTAATAATTTGCTGCTTATTTATAAACCTGCCTTTTCTCTTGACACCTGTCTATTTATGCTATTTATTTTACGAACAGCCTGACCTGGATAAAACAGAGTGAAAAGCCATATGTTATTTTTAAAATATCATTTGAAACGTCACCCTTTCCCAGAAGCTGATTATAAATTGATAACATCATTGTAAATAAAGAATAAAACCTAACCCCCAAAACCCACAAAAGACAGAAGACATTTGATGTAGTGGCTCACCCTTCTACTAAATATTCAGATTTGAAGTTCCCTGCAGCTGCTAAACTTTTAGAGTTAATTTTGTACTAACGGTCCTTTTGAGCATGGCCTATCTTCACACGGGAGCGATAGGATAACTTTTAATTGGACAAGTTATAGTGAAAGGTTGAAAAAGAATCATTTACCTATTAATAGTAACTCAGCAGACTAAAAGGAAAGACTCACAAATGGTTGTTTTTATGGCTCACATGTCCTGTTCTACAGCTTTGGATAGAAAAATCTCCTTTTATAAATGAATTATCCTATTTTGCGGGAAAAGGTGCCCCATTTGCAAGGAGAGGAATTTTCTGATGACACATCTGGCGTTACGTGCTCCAGGCTGTTAGGTTTATAGATGCCCTTCTGTGATGGGGGCTGAACGATCAAACTTCTACAACTGCTCCAGGCCCCTTCCTTTCCAATTCTCTGCCTTCCCAAAGAGACTAGATCTCCCCTGCTGCATTTACAAACACAAATATTTGCATTTTAGGAGTTAATAAAGTGCCTTTTTGGCTGGAGCTGGACTTGACAGGCTTTCAGAGTTTGGAGGCTCTGCCATCCAGCCTTTCTATTCGATTAAGAGGATGGGAAAGTGGAGGTTGTTCTCTCAAGGATGATTTGTTGACCGGTGTAACAGCTGAAGAAGAAAAAGCAAAAAGCTCCAAGAGCTGTTCATTTATTGCACCATGGAAAGACCAATTTTGCATCAACGAGCAAACTTCAAAGGCATAAAAGTTTTCTCAGTAAATTAGACCCTTCTAAAAGGATGGTGGAACTTGTCTGCCTACTTTGGAAGTTCACTTACAAGCGAACACAAAGTAAAGAAAGAAGTAAGTAAGGAAAAAAGAAAGGATAAAAAGAAATAGAAGTAGTTTCCAAATTCTTTTGCAGCAAATACAAATATGGTTACAAAATTGCCTCTCGTTTTTTTTGCCTGTTATCTAACATTTTCTAATCCTCAAAACCACAGATCATAGGTGTATTTTTTTTCCCTGTTTCATGCAAAACCTCTGTCAGGAGTTTCCAGCCAGCCATAAATGCAGATATTGTCTTTTTTTTTCTAATCAAGGAAGTCAGTTAGGCCATCCCTGCAAGTCCCATCATCTCTACCAACCCTTCCTCCATTGCAGAAAAAAGTCAATTTTTTTCCACTTTGGAGCATATATAAATACATTATAAACTACCTGGAGGAAAGAACGAGTTTGAAAACCATTTCATCCGTTTTTATTTTCTTTTTAATCTGAATTTTACGTATTGCCTCGAGTGCGTAGTGAATAGAGGAGACATTATATATAGGAATGAGTATTTTGGTCTTAAAATGTACACTGCAAGAACATGAAAATTGGGCCAAGAACATTTAAAAGGCCAGTATTTATAAAAGCAAATTCTTGGAAAGGCCAGAATTAGAGACATCACCTTAAAAGAAATCCAAGGACATGGCTAAGTATTAACAAACACATTTCTCTGGCTGGACGTTCTCCCTTCAGCTGCAGTTTGTTGAGTAGAAATTTTAAAAGTCCCTGATGTGTTTCTCCCAGAACTGCTTCTAAAATTCCCAACCAAAGGTTTGTCTTTTTCTTGATAGTCACGATGGATCAAATTGAGCACCTGCATCGGCGATTTAAGCAGCTGAGCGGAGACCAACCAACCATCCGGTAAGTGCCTCAGCCTTCTTTTAAACAGTGGTTAGCATCAGCCTTCTCTAACCCTATGCAGGATGCAAAATAACAGTGTTGGAAGGGATCTCAGAGGTTTTCTAGTCGAACCCCCTGTTCAAGCAGGAGAACCTATACTATTCTGGCTGTTTAGTCTTTTCTTAAAAACTTCCAGTGTTGGAGCATTCACCGCTTCTGGAGGCAGGTTGTTCCACTGGTTAATTGTTCTAACTGTCAGAAAGTTTCTCCTTAGTTCCAGGTTGCTTCTCTCCTTGGTTAGTTTCCAACTGTTGCTTCTTGTCCTGCCTTCAGGGGCTTTGGAGAAGAGGTTGACCCCCTCTTCTTTGGGGCAGCCCCTCAAATACTGCTATCATGTCCCCCCCTAGTCTTTCTTTTCTCTAGACTGGCCACACCCAGTTCCTGCAACCGTTCTTCCTATGTTTTTGTCTCCAGCCTCTTAATCATCTTAGTTGCTCTTCTCTGCACTTTTTCCAAAGTCTCAACATCTTTTTTGCAATGTGGGGACCAAAGCTGGATGTAGTATTCCAGGTGTGGCCCTACTAAGGCTTTATAAAGCGGTACTAATACTTCACGTGATTTTGATTCTATGCCTCCAAGGATTGTATTAGGGTTTTTTTTTTTTTTTTTTTTGCTGCTGGCTTCCAATTTCTGGTTCTCTTCAAATATCTCGGGCTGCAACTTGGGGACTAAAACATTTAAATGTCCCAAATTTGGGTCTTTAGCCCCCTCAGACAGGCTTGGGAAAAATCAGGAGAAGTCTAATAACCCTTTTCAAACTCCACATTTTGTCAAAGGGCAGTTGTTGTCCGATGCAACAAGCTGGCTAAACCGATGTGTTGGATTTAAACCGGGGCATTCCGGTTTGAATGGTGTAATTCTAGTTTGGGTGGACCATCTATAAGAGAGCTGAAGAAGCTTCTTCAGATTGATGATAGATGTGATCAACAGACAATAGACAGATGATAGAAGTAGGTTAATAATAGATAGATAGATAGATAGATAGATAGATAGATAGATAGATAGATATCTTCAAAAAAAAAGCACCTGTGGGAGAACCAGGATTTGGATGACGGAGACTCTCCATAGACTAGATGACCTCCAAGGTCCCTTCCAACTTGATTATTATTACTTCTGTAAGAGAGTTTCAGCTGTTGTGAATATAAGTAGTCCCTACTTAGAATTGTTCCTTTAGTGACTCTTCGAAGTTACAGTCACGCTGAAAAAAGGGACGGATGATCCTTTTTCACACTTACGACCGTTGCCACATCCCCAGGGTCACGTGATCAAAATTCGGATGCTTGGCAATTGACTCATACTTATGACGGTGGCGGTGTCCTGGGGTCACGTGATCCCCTTTTGCGATTTTCTGACGAGCAAAGTCAGTGGGGAAGCCAGCTTCACTTAACGACCGGGTTACTAAATAGCATCAACTGCAGTGATTTACTTAATAACTCTTGCGAGAAACGTCATAAAGTGGGGCAAAACCCATTGAACAATTGTCTTGCTTAGCAACAGACTTTTTAGCCTCAGTTGTAATTATAAGCCGAGGACTACCTGTCTTATTTCTGTCTAATTTATCATTTCGACATGAAAGGCAGCCTGGCTTGCCAACAGTTCTGGGCAGATTCCAAAGTATTATAAAAAATTAATAACAGCAGAGTACAAACAGTGAGGACCGAAGAATCGTGCTGAGACTCTTGGGGGGGAGGAGAGACAGGCTAAAACAATTATTGGAGCCTCTAACAACACCTTCACACATTGTCCTGGGTGGGTCCTGTGGGGAGACGCACACGGTCCTGTGTGAAGACTCTCTTAAAAGACAGGTCCAGACAGACCAGCCTTGGGTGTGCGTGGGTGCAATGCTGCTTGAAAGATCCAGAGGTATCTTTCTTAACGATTGCTAAGTACCCTGCCTGTTGGTGTGTGGGCATAGGCACACAAACACACTCAGATGTGCCTCTGAGAGTTTGCAAAGCGAAGTACCAGCTTCAAATATAGCTTTTGTTGCAAAGGGCCCATCTGGACCGCAGCTAGACTCCGTTCTTCCTGAAATTTTTTTTTTAAAAAAGATGAATACATATGGCCCGTTTGATTTTGGAAAGATGAACTACCTCCCTAGATTAAAAGAAAACAAAAAGCAGATGTGGCAGTAGAGAACATTTTGGAAGCCTAAGCAACCGTGTTCGTTTAACTTCTAGGAAATGGGTGACTGGTAGCTAGGTCTAAAAACTAAAAAGGAAACTAAAAGACTAAAACAGCATCTCGCCAGCAATCAACACCCAAATAAGCAGAGATTAACACCAGGATTAATGCCAGACCAACAATCACACAGTAAACAATACCCCAAAGAAGGAAGCACCTAGAACATTCATACCAACACTGTCAGAAAAATCCATTTGTATCTAAACAGAGACCCCACTCCCTCTAACACTGATGAAATTCCCTAGTTGGGTAATGAAACATCTGCAAGAAAACAAGCAAGTTCAGAGAGCACCAAGGACTCCCCAGTCCTCCTCCTCCCCCCCCCAGTTATTCTTTATGAAACAAACCCCACTCCACTGATGATGTTACCTAGTTGGGCAATGAAACGTCTATAAGAAAACAAGCTCAGAGAGCACCAAGGACCCCACCGTTCAACCCTGAGCACAGACAGCCTGTCCCACTGTTCTAAACAGCCTTTCAACCACCCTCTGAACACAGACACCTTGGGATTGTTGATCATGATCAAGGCTCAGTTTCTCTGTTTCTAGCAGCTGTTTGTCAGGCCCGATAATGACTCGATAATAAATAGGCAGCTCCGGTCCCTGTTTTCTGTCTAATGAGATTTTGCTTTCCCAGGCAGCGTGTTCTTTAACAGGAAAGTGGTTCTAATATAAACTCCAGATCCTACTCAGGAAACGGATCTCAAGCGGTGCCAAAATGGGCGAGACGCTTTGAGTTTGCTTTTCATGCTGTCCTGGTTGCAGAGGCAATCCTTCTCAGAAATGGAAGATAGCCCGGGCCTTTTGTGAAGGCAAAATAATCCCTAAGGAAGGATGTTGGTTCTAGATGGGTGGAAGATATTAAAGAGAGAAGCAACCTAGAACTAAGGAGAAACTTCCTGACAGTGAGAACAATTAACCAGTGGAACAACCTGCCTCCAGAAGCAGTGAAAGCTCCAACACTGGAGGTTTTTAAGAAGAGACTGGACAGCCATTTGTCTGAAATGGTGTAAGGTTTCCTGCCTGAGCAGGGGGTTGGACTAGAAGACCTCCAAGGTCCCTTCCATCTCTTTTATTCCATGTTCTATGTTCTGAGGAATTTGGTATGAGCTGCAGATGCAGAAAAACGTCGTATTTCATGGCAACCGAGCTTTGAAAATCCAGGGGTGAGATAATCGTTAGAGAAATGGTCAGTGCATCATCTAATCAGTTACGGTATCGAATGAAATGGGCAGAATATTGAATTAAGAAGCGTGTGAAGCTTCCACCGATTCAGATTGTGAACCGAAAGTAGAAAAAAAGTAGAAAGAGGAGAGAGAGAGAGAGAAGATTCATAGGGGTAATAAGGGTGATAGATAGATAGATGGATGGATAGATAAGGAAGGAAGGAAGGAAGGAAGAAAGGAAGGAAGGAAGACAACAGATTGACATAGATAGATAGATAGATAGATAGATAGATAGATAGATAGATAGATAGATAGATAGATGACACAGGAGACACCCCTCTCTCCTGTGTCATTCATCTTTCTCTTTCTTTCTCTCTCTCTCCTGTGTCGTTCATCTCTCTCTCTTTCTCTCCCTCTCTCCTGTGTCATTCATCTTTCTCTCTCTCTTTCTCTCCTGTGTCATTCATCTCTCTCTCTCTTTCTCTCTCTCTCTCTCTCTCCTGTATCATTCATCTCTCTTTCTTTCTCTCTCTCTCTGTCCTGTGTCATTCATCTCTCTCTCTCTCTGTCTTTCTCCTGGAAGACATATCTGCACATTTAAAACTTGTTATGCATGCACGCACACACTGTGTGTGTGTGTGTGTGTGTGTGTGTGTGTGTGTGTGTGTGTAGGCATGCATAATAAGTTTAAAATGTGCAGCTCTGTCCTGCAAACATTCACTTTTGCATTCGGCTTCCAAAAATAGAGGAGCCGTCGGGAAAACTCGCCTCCCCCCCTCCCAACTTGGCCACTTCCCCCTGATCTTTCCTGGTGTTCCTTCCTTCCTCTGCCGGCTTCATTAGGGCAGCCACCGCTGTGCAAAGCCCCAGGGTTGACCTTTGCAGAGGACATGCAACATGCAGGTTCCCACCACACTCACTTGGGGGGGGGCTGCTGCTGGTGGGAGAGAGGGGGGGGGGGCTTCTGGCAAGGAAATAGCTGCAGATGGAATTTGCTGGGATGGGAAAGGAGTTGGAGACGCCCAAATTTCATTTCTCCAGAATTTCCAGCCACAAAGTTTTGCCAAGGAGGAAGACAACAAAAGCTGGGGGGGGGGGGTTCGGAATAAAAAACCAACCAAAGCAAGAATCTCATTCTGTGGATATTGGCAAGGCGTTCTGTTAGCAGCGAAGCTAAGCATAAGATTTCACCCGCCACCCAGCAACACAAACACACACCCAATCATCTGACACTTTGTCCCTCCGATGTCAAAACAAAGCAGAAAGAATTTGGGGCAAGGTGCAACATTGACCCCCTCCCCCTCCAATAATTTATAGTAAGGTGGGGCTGAGGATAAATAGCCACCAGGGGAAAATCAATCCCTGCCACAAAGTTACCCTCCCCCCCCCAAAAAAAATGTTTCCTAGAATTAGAATGTACACATCTAATTCTAAATCCAGATTAAAAGACACACTTGCTAGGTGTTGCCTGTGACGTGGCTAAAACTTAAAGTGGACTAGAAAGTGGAAGAGGATGGAATTATGGGTGGGTTTACTAGCCTGAGCTATAAAACACCTGACCTGGTTTGATCCTAGTTTAGCACAATACAGGGAGTCCTCAACAACAGTTCATTTAGTGACTGTTCAAAGCTATGACAGCATTGAAAAAAGCGACTTGGGACTGTTTTTTTCACACTTAATGACCGTTGCAGCATCCCCGTGGTCACGTGATCAAAATTCAGGATGCTTGGCAACCGACTCGTGTTTACGACGGTCGCAGCAAAGTCAACGGGTGAATCTGGATTCACTTAACAACCTTGTTACTAACTTGTTACTACAGGGATTCACTTAGCAATTTCTCAATTTCAGCCAGCTTAAAATGTATGGACTTCAACTCCCAGAATTCACGACTGGCTAAGCTGCCTCAGCCATCCATAAGCCATGGGCACTTAAAAGCGGGCAGTTTATTTATTTTTAAAGTTATTAAATTGATATGCCTCCCGTCTCGTGATCCGAGGCGTAAATTGGGAGGAAGCTAGAATCTTCATTTTGTCTTCTTTCTCTCTCTCTGTTTCGCAGCAAGGAGAACTTTGATCGTGTTCCTGACTTGGAATTCAACCCAATTCGGTCGAAAATTGTTCAAGCCTTTTTTGACAAGAGGTAAGAGGGACAGGGGGAACTCACTCTTCACCCCTTGATAAGGATTTTTACAAATCAGGAAAATGGGCCTCTAAACATCGGCAGGATGAGTTTCGAGACCCATAAAATCATAGAGCTGGAAGGGGATCTCAGAGGTCTTCTAGTCCAGCCCCTTGCTCAAAGCAGGAATTCTCGTACCATCCCAGTCAAATGCTTGTCCAGTCTCTTCTTAAAAGCCTCCACTGATGGAGCACCCACATCCAGTTCTGGCAGTCCTTGATTAGTGACCAGCAACTGGAGCATTAAGTCAGGCTGGGTTTATGATCCAAGTTCTGCTTTCCCTCGCTTTGCTGATCTGCACAAGTCATAAATGCGAGGACTGATCTCAAAGTTATTTATCGTGATTGTAACTGCAAACGATCACCAAATGAGGCCGCCACTAAACGAGGACCACCTTAGCACCCTGTGGCATTTCTCAACTGTTTTTCTCCTACACACCTTTAATCTGATTACTGACTTAATCCGATGCCTGCGTCTGAGCAACAGAGTGAGTCATAAACTAGACAAAGGGTGTGTGTTTGTGTGTCTCGCCTGATGTGCTAAAGTAAGAAGAAGAAAAAAAACTAGCTGAGCTGAACGTAGGATCTGAAGGGAAATCCCTTGTGCCTTAATTGATTTTATTCCCCAAAGGTGCTGGAAAGATACTTAGACAGACCCCACCAAACAGAAAAACAGAATACATGTAATAAAGTGTGAGGTGTAAGCCAGTGGCACATACCTCTACAGGTAGTCCTTGACTTACAACCCCAGTTGACCCCAACATTTCTGTGGCTAAGCGAGACATTTTGTTAAGTGAATTTTGCCTCATTTTACAACCTTTCTTGCCCCCGTTGTTGTTTGAATCAGTGCAGTCAACTAAGTTAGCAACACAGCGGTTAAGTGGATCCAGCTTCCCCACTGCTGATCAGAAGGTCACAAAAGGGGAAATCACACAACCCCCTCGGCACACTGCAACTGTCAGAAGTACGAGTCAGTGGCCAAGCCTCTGAATTTTGATCACATGACCACGGAGAGGCTGCAACAGTCACAAGTGTGAAAAACGGTCAGAAGTCGCTTCAGTGCTGTCGTAACTTCGGTCGGTAAACAAACCGTTGTAAGTCAAGGACTAACTTGTGCTTTAGGTTTGTGTTGCCAACTGCCCAGAAGGTGTTTGTTAAGGTCCAGACTGTGACTATTGTTAATAAAAAGTAGGTGTCGCATGATGGGCTTAGAATAAGCCAGACTACTCCCTGCTCTCTGCAGCTAAGTCTAAATTATCCCAAAGGTGCTTTTTTTAAAGAGGCAACTGGACTTCTTTGTTTTTCTTTGAAGACGTTTCGCTTCTCATCCAAGAAGCTTCCTCAGCTCCACCCGGTCAGAGTCAGCTTCACCATCCAGTCAGAGCTGAAGAAGCTTCTGGGACGAGAAGCGAAACGTCTTCAAAGAAAAAGAAAGAAGTCCAGTTGCCTGGTGAAAAAAAAAATCACCTGTGGGAGGACTGAGACTCTCCGTAGACCTTTAGCTACGTCTAAGATTTTTTTACAAGCTCGCTCGGCGTTGAGGGCAAGCGGTCAGCAAGCTGGACACTGACTCCTTCTCTGCTCCCAGGAATCTGCGGGGAGCCTCCGGGGGCTTCGTGGACGAAATCAACTTTGAAGACTTCCTGACCGTCATGTCCAACTTCCGCCCCATCGAGTTGAATATGGACGAGGAGCAGCTGGGCCGCTTCAGGAAGCAGAAGTTGAAATGTAAATGGAGGGGGGGGTCCTCTTTTTTTGTAACCCCATCTCTCTCTGTGTGTGTGTGTGTGTGTTTGTGTATGTGTGTGAAAGAGGGCTTATTTGGGCAATGTTTCATTGCATTTCAGGCAGCAACCGTAAGAAAGGGTATTAATTTGGAACCAGAATTTCTGCTGGTTATTCGCTTCTGATTTTACTATATCTATCTATCTATCTATCTATCTATCTATCTATCTATCTATCTATCTATCTATCTATCTATTATCTATCTGTCTGTCTATCTATCTATTATCTATCTATCTATCTATCTATCTATCTATCTATCTATCTATCTATCTATCTATCTATCTATCTATCTATCTATCTTTCTGCCTGCCTGCCTGCCTGCCTGCCTGCCTGCCTGCCTGCCTGCCTGCCTCTTTATTATTCTGTCTCCCTGGCTCTCTCCATCCATCCATATGGGTGGATTTACTAGCCTGAGCTGTAAAACACCTGACCTGGTTTGATCCTAGTTTAGCACAGTACAGGGAGTCCTCAACTTAACAACAGTTCATTTAGTGACTGTTCAAAGCTACGACAGCATTGAAAAATCTCTCTTTATCTCCCTAGCTCTCTCCATCTATCCATCCATCTATCTATCCTGCAGGTTGATGGCCTCTTCCGCGCGCGTGCGCACACACAGACAGACAGACAGACAGACAGACAGACAGACAGACACATGCACATAATCACAGTATATTTTGAATACATATCGGAAAAAAGAGTCTTGAGAGTTAACAATATTGGGACTATGTGGTACTATTACAGAATCTAGATGTTCTGCTTCGGATAGCACAAAGCTCCGCCCCTCCCTGAAGGTAACAAAGAAAACAGGTCATGAAGAGGACGTGTACCGTCCCAGACGATAACTACGGACCCTGGTCATAACCTTGGGGATGATAACATTCTACCAAGATGCACTAAAATTGGCCTTACGGGTATCAACCCAGGATGGTTTTACTTATTGCACCTCAGTGGATTGAGCAGTTAGGATGGATGTTTATCTTGCACATGGTTTTCAGGCTTATTTTTTCCTCTTGTATCTTCCAGTCCTCTTCCACATGTACGATGGAGACAGTGATGGGAAGATCACCTTGCAGGAATACAGAAATGTAAAGTATCACTTTGGCCTTCCACTCAACATGTTGCTCTTTCGGTGATCTGCTGCTGCTGCTGCTTCTGCAACCGGTTTTACTTGCTTCTCCTGGCCAGGTGGTCCAACAGATGCTCTCAGGAAACCCCCACCTGGATAAGGAATCCGTGAGATCCATAGCGGATGGAGCCATGATGGAGGCCGCTAGCATCTGTGTGGGGCAGATGGTAGGTTGAGGTTGGTCCTCAAGAAGAGGAAAAGGGACTGCAGCTTGGCCATCAAGCATGGGAGAATTCTTTCCCCAAACACAGGGGTCTTCAAACTTGGCCCTTTAATGACTTGTGGACTTCAACTCCCAGAATTCCTCAGCCAGCATGCCTGGCTGAGGAATTCTGGGAGTTGAAGTCCACAAGTTATCAAAGGGCCAAGTTTGAAGACCCCTGGCCAAACAGATGCTCCACCTTTAGTTTGTTCGTCCGTCCATCCATCCATCCATCCATCCATCCTAGTTAAATTTCATTCTGATGTCATGTTTCTTAAGCTGACCCCCCCCCCCATTTTCTAACAATCTATCTTCTCCAAGGTCAATCTTATGTTGGTCTATTGCCATTTCTCTTTCAAATGGCTGGGATTTTATACTTGATTGTGTTGTCTTCCACGGAGGATGTAGGTGTTCTAAGATACCACAACGGGCTTGCACGGCTACACAAAGAATGTTGTTTGGAAGCCGTGAATTCCTTGCTCGTAGGACCATCACCCGGGTCCTTGGGTTGGCTCTGAGGATGCACTGAGGACTTTCTCAGATATGTCTCTTTCCACTCTGGCTTTCAGTGCCACAATCAGAAGGGTTGGGTAGCTGTGCCCGGGTCTGACACGACACAGGCCAACTTTAGAAGCAACTACATGGAGCATTTCAGAAGATGAAGATCCCCCAAGTAATATTGGAAAACCTGAGGAGGAGAAACGATGAAGAGCTTGGCTAAGATCTTGGTGCCTTCAAGGGGGATTCATCTTGATCCTCATGTCAGTTTCTTTCATTCACTAATCTTTGTCAAGAGCACGATAGAAGAAAATTAGAGATGGTGCCAAACATAGATTTCCAGATGCTGTTGGACCACAGCCCCCAGCATCCCTTACTCTGGCCTGAGGCTGCTGGGAGTTGTAGTTTAGCAACATCCGGACAGGTTTTCTGCCTCTGCTACTGTTTTGTTCTTTGTATTCATTATCTGTCTGTCTATCTGTCTGTCTATCTATCAATCTATCTATCTCATCCATCCATCTCTATTTCATCTATATCTTTTCTTTATCCACCTTTTCTCTCTTTCATCTGTGTATCTCTCTTTTGTCTATATCTTCACATTTTATATCTCTTTATCTCATCTATATTTCACCTGCTTATCCATTGGTCTAGCCATCTCTCTATATCTCTTCTCTGTTTCATCCCTCCCTCCCTCCCTCTTTCCCTCCCTTTTTTTTTTGCTTGTAATCCACGGAGAAAGGTGGGGGTATTATACATACCATAAATAGAAAAAACTTTTTTTAACATAACTGTTGCTAAAAGTGAAATGAATGCAGCAGAGCCATCATATACCCACTCGAGTAAAAATACTCGTCGTGTGATATCTCACTGGTTGAATAATTTAAGAGATGTAGTAGTTATCCAGTGTGTTAAATTTTCCTTCTCCCTCCTTGCCTTTTTTTCCTTATGTCGTGTCATCCTGACTATAAATGTATAGGTCAAATGGTATAAAAAAGACTTTTGCAGAAATATTAGCAACTTTATTAATAAAAGTTAACACAAAACTTCATGTAATCCATGTAAAAAACAGGCAGGCTTTGATAGGATGATCACAACTACTCTTGTGACTTCCTCCCCCCCCTTCCAAGTGCCCCCTGGAGGCTTGTGTAAAGAAAAAAAAATACAGCCTCTTCTATCCCTTTTTCTAATTAAATAAATACAAAAAAAGAAAGCACCAAATTCTAAAGGGACAAGCTAAAAAAAGAAATGAAAACATGCAGGATGTATATTTACAGAACGTTTATATCCATAAACGGAAGTGATGATTCATTACAGACTTTCATAGCTAATCTATATTCATCAATTGTGCAAACCACAGAATAGTTGCAGCCATATGTTTGTCTTTCCAGGGCTGAACAATACTGTAAGTCTCTTGGCTATAAATGCATTTCCATTGTGCAGCTCTCAACTCCCCCATGCGAGAGATAAATCTCAAAAGAATCGAAACATCTGAAAATATTAAATCTTAAAAGTCAAGTTAATGCATGTTGAGTCCTTCAGCCTCAAATAGAACAATATGTTTAAATAACAGCATGAAGACCTCAACAACATTTCTGAAATATTATTTCTGGCTGAAATAGATGTAACCTTAAAAAAAAACAACTATTGGATTTTTGGCTTTTTGGAAACAATATTTTTTATTAGTTAAGTAAAACATGCAAACGTAATTGTTGCATTGTTGCAATGTTTAATTTTGTTCACACAATAACTTCTTGAGACAGGAGCCATAGAATTTGAATTAATACATAATAAATAAATAAAAAGGTAAGCAAAGAAAAAGATACCTACACATACTTAAAGGGTTAGTTTAAAAAGAAAAAAAATTCAAAACTATTATAAAATGGGCATTCTGGTAGCTCCTTCTCTTTCTATACCCCTCCCTTTTTCCTCCAGCCATTTTAACTGATTGTTAGTTAAATATTTTTATACTTTGAACATTTCTGTTTGCATCATTTTTATTATTATGCACAGTTTCTTTTTCACCAAAAACCACATTCTAGGTGTTTTAGGTTGATACGTTGCGTGTAAGGAAACCACCCCTGCTGTGTGAATTTGGTTAGACTTTTGCTGTGAATATATTCAGCCAATTTTTCCATTGCTGTATATTCTTTCATTTTAATCTTCAAATCCTATACAGTTTTCCTTCCCCAATGTTGTGCCAATATGATTCTTGCCCCTGTCAGCTAACACTTTAATAAATTACCACGCTTTTCATTTATATCCCCTGGCATCAGACCTAATAAAGATATCCCTGGTTTTCATTCAAATTCCATTGTCAGAATTTCCTGCAATGTTAGGGCGTATTTCCTTTTCTACTTTGTCTGATTATTTCCTTTATTTTCCCTTCCTGAAATGAATCTCTTTTCCTTCCTAATCATAGGAGCCGGATCAAGTCTACGAAGGGATCACATTTGATGATTTCCTGAAGGTGAGTCGATCTTTTTGCATTTTTATGGGCTTAGAAGGACGAGGCTGGCGTCTTGCCCATATCTCTACTCAGCTCTGCCAAGCAAACCCCATGCAGTTTTTTTTTTTTTAATGTTCATTTCCAAATTCACAAAAATAATCACCAGTCAGGTTTCTCCAACACAAACTCTCCCAAATAATCAGCGTAGGGGAGAGATGGTGGATTAGGGCTGGAAATTCACTGGACATCACTCAATCCTTTCTTTTGCAAAAACTGCTGTATGGATAGAGTACAGATAGTCCTTTAAGTCACAATGGCACTGAAGAAGCTGACTATTTTTCACACCACTGTTGCAGCATCCCAGTGATCACATGGTCAAAATGTGGGCGATTGGCCACTGGCATCTGTTTATGATGATTGCAGTGTCCCAGGGTCAAGGGATTCCCTTTTAAGACCTTCCGACAAGCAAAGGTCGATTGGAAAGCCAGATTCACGTATCAATGTATTACTAATTTAACATCTAAAGTGTCTCCCTTAACAACTGTGGCAAGAACGGTCTTAAAAAGGGGCAAAACCCGCTTAACAACTGTCTTGCTTAGCCACGGAAATTTTGGGATCGCTTGCAATCGTACGTTGAGATCTACTTGTAGTCTTAGGCTAGAACGGTGCTTCTCAGCCAAGGCATCTTGAAGATGGGTGGAAGGTATTAGTTGACTTGGCCTACTCTTGTCTCAGTTCTAGGAAAAAGGTCAAACTTCTGAAGTTTGACTCAAGAGGAAAATAATTGGAGCTAAATAATGATTGGTTCCAAGCATATCCATGGAGCTTCCTGGTTGAACAAACATCAGAGCAGGATTATACTTAATTTAGGGATTGAAAAGGGACCTCCTGTAACGACCAAGCTTAGTGCGTTTCAGATATTGCCTTCCCTAATCTCACCCCCCCCCCCTGGCCTCTCATAGGTGGCCCCTGGCCTTGTGGCTTCTCAAGCATAGGAGCCAGAACGGAAGATGGGAATCCCAACTATATTCGGCTCTGTAGGGGTAGACAACCCTGGTGCCTGTTTGCTCAGTGGGCTATTTCAGCTCAACTTGAAATTGGAGAAAGGTGTTACGAACGTTACAAGGGTGGTAGGGTTAGGTTAACTGGCCCAAGGAAAGCAGAAAAGAGTCCTCCTTAAGGGAGGAGGGCAAAAGGTTCACAAGAGGAAGCCACCTCATGCAGGACCAAGCAAAGGTAGGGGAGTCCATGCATCCCCTTTGGAGTGAATCTCTCTCCCACCAGCTATTTTTGGGAAAAATCTAAGGCCAAGTCATTCTGGAATGTAACATTTGCTCCTTTCTGACATACGACTGAAGATTTGCAAGATCAGAAATTGTCTTCTCTAACTCTTTTTTTTTTTTTTTTTCTGACGCCAGATATGGGAAGGAATCGACATAGAGACCAAGATGCACGTCCGCTTCCTGACTCTGGAACCCATGGCGTTCTGCTACTGACGGCGGCGGAGTAGCTACAACGGGGTGGTGGGAGGCTTTGGAGATAGCTGTGAGCTTGTTTGGGTGGGTGGGAGGGCCACATGTCTCTTGGAACAACTGCCATGGATCCACGAAGTTCAGAGTCATCTGGACCAGCCACATGGATTCCCATCTTCAGTTGAAGACCAACCTTCCAGTGTCCAGTAAAAGGACCTCTGCTTTGATGCAATGTTGTAGTGTTTGATATATTTGTGCAGTTGTTGTGTGTTTTACTTCTAGCTTCCTGGGCTGTTATAAAACCCCAAACACCAAAAGGACCCCCCCTCGCTATGAGGGGGGGTGTCATTATAAAGGGGTGCCCATGGTAAGCTAGCTTTCGGGGCAAATGGCTATATATATTACAGGTAGTCCTTGACTTAATGCCCACATTTGAGTCCAGAGTTTCTGTTGCTAAGCGAGGCATTTTGTTAAGTGAGTTTTGCCCAATTTAATGACTTTTCTTGCTACATTTGTTAACTGCAAATGTTGAGTTAGTTACATAGTTCTTAAGCGAATGTCGCTTCCCCATTGACTTCGCTTGTCAGGTCACAAAATGCAATCACCTGACCCCAGGACACTGTAACCGTCATAAGTATGAGTCAGTTGTCAAGCTTCTGAACTTTAATCACATGCCACGAGGATATTGCAATTGTAAGATACTTTCTTCAGTGCTGTTACATCTTCAAATAGTCACTAAATGAACTGTTTAACTCAAGGGCTACCTATACCAGCTTTTATGTAGTAATATATATAGGCATTCTTCTATGTACATATTAGCTTTTCGTACAGATAGTTCTATTTACTAAAATATGCTAATATGCACATATATGTGTATGTATATATATCCACACAGAGAGACATAATTTGTCTATTCCTGGAATAAACCAACTATGCCAACAAGTCTCTGCATGTGTATATATGTATATATACATGCCCCAACGTTTCGCTTCTCATCCAAGCAGCTTCTTCAGTTCTGACTGAATGGTGGGGAATGGAACGATTTATATTCTTTGCAGTCATCTGGTCCTTAGTACCCCAAAGGTAAGTCGTTAGCTCTCTGAGGGCCGTTGAGGCCACTTGGGGGTTTATCTGTATCCTCGGGGTCACCCGGACCAGTGTGGAGATGGGCCTGGGACCTTCTTGGGACGGCTGCAAGGACCGTGTTGGAGACAGGAGGTAAGTGGTGTCGTATCCCTCCCCCTCTGTCGAGAGAGGCCTGTTCGGTTTTAACACAGATGGCCTCTTTGACCCCTCTTTCAAACCAGCGGTCCTCTCTATCCAGAACGTGGACTTTGCTGTCTTCGAAAGAGTGGCCTTTGTCTTTCAAATGCAGATGGACCGCTAAACCTTGTCCTGGTGGAGTTGTTCTCTTAGGTTGTGCCATGCAATTGTGGTTTGTTTTGTTTCTCCAATGTAGAGATCTGTACATGTCTTGTTACATTCTACTGCACAAACTGCATTGCTCAGTTTGTGTGTGAGTGTTTTATCCTTGGGGTGGACGAGTTTCCGCCTTAGTGCAGAGTTTCTCAATCTTGGCAACCTTTTAAGATGGGTGACCTTCAGCTCCCAGAATTCCTCAGCCAGCATGCTCACTCAGGAATTCTGGGAGCTGAAGTCCACACGTCTTAAAGGTTGTCAAGGTTTTGAGAAACATTGCCATCTCAATCTTGGCAACTTTTAAGATGTGTGAACTTCAGCTCCCAGAATTCCTGAGTGAGCATAATGGCTGAGGAATTCTGGGAGTTGAAGTCCACACATCTTAAAAGTTGTCAGGGTTTTGAGAAACATTGGCTTCTCAATCTTGGCAACTATTAAGATGTGTGAACTTCAGCTCCCAGAATTCCTGAGTGAGCATGCTGGCTGAGGAATTCTGGGAGCTGAAGTCCACACCTTAAAAGTTGTCAAGGTTTTGAGAAACGTTGCCTTCTCAATCTTGGCAACTTTTAAGATGTGCGAACTACAGCTCCCAGAATTCCTGAGTGAGCATGCTGTCTGAGGAATTCTGGGAGCCGAAGTCCACACATCTTAAAAGTTGTCAAGGTTTTGAGAAACATTGGCTTCTCAATCTTGGCAACTTTTAAGATGTGTGAACTTCAGCTCCCAGAATTCCTGAGTGAGCATGCTGGCTGAGGAATTCTGGGAGCTGAAGTCCACACGTCTTAAAGGTTGTCAAGGTTTTGAGAAACATTGCTTTAGTGTATTTTGGGGTTGAAAGTGTGCATGCATGTTGTTAGTTGAAAATTCTTCTGAGCTTTTCAGATAATTACTGCATTTTATGGATTGATGTTGCTTTGTTGTCGTTTTGTCCTTGTTGGGGGCAGGGGGGGACAAAGGATCCTACTGGAACTTTGTCTGGATTTGATGAAGGCCCAATTAGGATAGCCACAGGTTCTGAGGGCTTCTTTGATGTGTTTTAGTCCTCTTTCCCCCCCTTTGCTGGTAGGTAAACCTTCAGCCCAGTGGTGTAGGAGCCCAACGACTTCTGTGTTTTTGCTCCAGTGAAGGTAAACACTGGGTTTTCTGTATACTTCAGTGTTGAAGTGTGAATCTTGTCCTGATGGGTTTGTTCTACGTTGTGCTGTGCGCTTGTGGTTTTGTTCATGAATGCATGGCACAACATAGGAGAACAAAACCATCAGGACAAGATTTAGCAGTTCATCTGTCTCTGGAGATTCTTAGTCAGCCAGGTCATGGTTTGCTCCAAAGGTCCTTTTCCAAGAGACAGCTAGACTTCCTGTTTTTTCTTGAAGACTTTCACTTCTCATCCAAGATGATTAATGGATGAGAAGTGAAACATCTTCAAGGAAAAACAAAGGAAGTCTTTTGCCTCTTGGAAAAGCACATTTGAAACAGCGGTCCATCTGCATTTGAGAGACAAAGGCCACTCTTGAAGACAGCAAAGTCCACGCTCTGGATGGAGAGGACCCCTGGCTTGAAAGGGGGGTCAAAGAGGCCATCTTGTGTTAAAACCGAACAGGCCTCTCTCAACAGAGGGGGAGGGATACGACACCACCTCTCCTGTCTCCAACACGGTCCTTTCAGCAGTTCCAAGAAGGTCCCAGGCCCATCTCCACATTGGTCCTGGTGACTCGGGGGGGGGGGTACAGATAAACCCCCAGGTGGCTTCAACAGCTCTTGGAGAGCTAACGACCAACCTTTGGAGTACTAACGACCAGATGACTGCAAAGAATATAAATCGTTCCAGCCCCCCACCATTCAGCCAGAACTGAAGAAGCTTCTTGGATGAGAAGCGAGGCGGCAAAAAAAAAAAAAAAAAAAAAACAAAACATAAGCACCGCCCCCCACACACTGATCCACGTATAAAGTCAAGTCACAGAGTGTCCGGTTCATTCCACTATATTGGGACACCCCCCCCCCATTATATGTGCCTGTGTACCTTAACACAGATGCACACGGTCATCTAAGATGTATTGGGACCTTTTTTTCCTAATAGATCTTAGCCTATATTGCTCTATGTGTCTGTGCTAAGATACACAGACACATAGAGCAATATAGGCTAAGATCTATTAGGAAAAAGGTCCCAATAGATCTTAGCCCATATTGCTCTATGTGTCTGTGCTAAGATAGACAGACACATAGAGCAATATAGGCTAAGATCTATTAGGAAAGCCCCAATAGATCTTAGCCTATATTGCTGTGTGTGTTAAGACACCTACAGCAATATAGGCTAAGATCTATTAGGGAAGCCCCAATAGATCTTACCCTAGATGACTGTGTGCAACTGTGTTAATGTACACAGGCACATACAGTTAATAGGCATATTCCTTAACATATGGTATATGTTTATATATCTACATACTACCATATATTAAGGTGTATGCCATACTAAGGTTACCAGCTCTGGGCTGCAAAAGGGGAAAAAAACCCACTAGAAGGCAGCAAATTACATTTGGCACCATCTAGTGGCCTAGCATATTTTTGCAGCCCAGATCTGGTAACCTTAGAGCAGTCTTTTTCAAACTTGGCCATCTTAAGATGGACGGCTTTCAACTCCCAGAATTACTTGGCAGTTGAAGTCCCCCACATCTGACAAGTTTGCAAAACACTGCCCTGGCTTATACACAATATACATCTAGCTGCATGTGTGCATCTTTCTTCTGCAGCTCTACTGCATATATATGGGCAATCCAGGGACCCTCCCTCATGTCACAATTTGCCTCTATGGCAACAGTTTTCAAGAAGGAAGATCCTAGAAAAGGAAGTGTCTTGATGGGGGCATCAGGACACCTCCAGAAGACCAAAACCATCTTCCTGTTCCAGAAAGATTCCTTTGGGGAAACTGCTGGATTAGCCCAATTGGAGTGAAGAAAATAAGGACATTGAAAGTTGCCCAGAAAAGACCCTTTCGCCCATATATACCAGTCACTTTTCTCCTGATTGCACAAGGACTGCACACTCTCATGTGCTAAGGCCTTGCCCGAGTTCTCTCTGGCCACCAAGTCCCATCATCCTCATCCTGGCTGAGAGGAATACCTATGGCGCTCTCCCTGCTGGTTTGGCAACTGCCCTAGCCCACCCAGCAAGGAGGCCCCACAAAATGACTTGTGACCAGGCCAGCAAAAACTGGCATGGAGAATGGATCAGGCAAAGATCCCCATGCTGCACCAAGCTAGAAATGTACTACAACTCCCAGCAGCCCCAGGCAGCACAGTTAAGAAGGAGGGGTGCTGCTTCGGCAGTCCTGGTGCAATCAGGCAAAGTGCCAGTGGAGCTGAAGAAGAAAGGATACTTACACACACATGCTTGACTTACCTGTGGCAGGATTTTCTTCAACTGGGATGGCCTCTGGATCCTCTCCTAATGTGGGATTTTGCAAACCAGCACCCCTGACAATAAAACAGCCATTTTCAAGCACACCAACCCCTCATCCCGAGACCAACACTCAATAAAGATATTTTATTTACAAGAAAAATGCTCCCAAAGTCTCTTCTTCTTCTCAAGATCTACAGATGTTGCAGGTAGCGTCGGCGTCTGTTCCGGAAAGGCAGCACTAAACTACTTTAGCTAGGTGCAAGGAATGGAAGCCCTCCCTTCCCCCAGAATGATGTCTGCACATGTGGGCTACAATGTCTTACTACCTCCTGATTCTTAGGCTAAAACCTTTATTATCATCTCCTGATTCTTGACTATCTATCATGGTTCCTGTTAGCCACCATCTCTTCTATGTTCCTACAGCGCTGTTATTAAAGCTGTGGAACCCCAATGTGTTCACCCCCCCCCTTCTTCTGCTGCCTGCTTGGCCAACCCGTGGCTTCCGAGCCCTCCAAAGAGGTCTCCAGGAACGCCATCCTTGGGGCTCTCCTTCTCCAGGGTCCAGCTCAGCTGGACTTCCCTGCTTCCCACCCTGCCTAGATGTTGTCATAGGGGACCACAAGGCCAATGTTGTAGCTGTAGCCGGCCACTTCGTTGTAAGAGGAGCGGCAGATAGGAAGGACGCTCTCTGCCACCAGCCTGTCTGTGGAGAATTCGTAGGCGTAGATAATGCCTCTGTGCCTGTGCAGAGAGAAGCAAGGGGAGAAGAGGGAAAAGAAAATAAGCAGGGTGCTTTTCAACCAGCCTGGTTCCCAGCAGTTCTGGAGCAACTATCCAACCTTGGCAACGTTAAGATGTCTGCACTTCAAATTCAAGCTGGCTGGGGAATTCTGGGAATTGGCCCTCACGTCTTAAAGTTGCCCAGATTGAAGAACGTTTTTCCAGACCAGGGCCTTCAATCTTGGCCCTTTTACGACATGTGGACTTCAACTCCCAGAATTCTTCAGCATATTCTGGGAGTTGAAGTCCACAAGTCATAAAAGGGTCAGGTTTGAAGACCCCTGCTCCAAACTCTGGTTCCTCTCTAGGGCCAAGGAGATGTTAAAATGCAAGCAGATCAATTCAGAGTAGGCCCATGTGCTCGAAGGAGCACCCATAATGGTTCTGGGTTGTTCTACTTTTAGAGTAGTGCTTCTCAACCTTGGCCATGATAAGACATGTGGACTTCAATCCCCAGAATTCCTTGGTTAGATATGTCAACTGTCTTGTATTCACCTTCCTGGAAGTCAGTTCAGAGTATGAGGAAACAGATGGGAAGGGAAGTGGGAGGAGGAGGGGAGGGGAGAAAGGAGTTAAGGGGGAGGGGAGAAGAGGAGAGGGGAAATGAACGGGGAAGGTGAAGAGAGGGGAAAAGAGAAGAGAAGAGAAGAGAAAAAAGAAGATTTAAAACAGGATTTGGGTAAGCTAAACTACTGTGTATTCCAAGAGGAGGGGAGGCCAATAGCCATCCAGAAGCAGCTGGACTATAATCCCCATCAACCTTAGCCAAGCCAACCCATAATAATGGGTGCTGGAACATCTTACCACCCATCACACTGGGTTTGTTCTTCCAAGCCACTTGCTGCTCACCAGAGCTTCTTGCGATTTATAGCTGGCTACCCTCCCATCCTAAACCCCTGCCTGGCTTGGCCACAACACCCTGGCTCTCTGCCACCATAAGCTCTCAAACGCTCCTCCATTGCGGCTTCTTCTCTTTTCCTTTTTAAACCAAGGGTCTTCCAACTTGGCCCTTTTATGACTTGTGGACTTCAACTCCCAGAATTCCTGAGCCAGGCACGCTGGCTGAGGAATTCTGGGAGTTGAAGTCCACAAGTCATAAAAGGGCCAAGTTGGAAGACCCTTGGTTTAAACTGAGGAAGGCCAACTTGGGGGACTGCCTCCCAGCATCCCGCAATATTGTCTAGCTAAGGCTGCTGGGAATTGTAGTCTAGCAACCCTAAGAGGAGTGTCACAGGGCGCCTCCTGCTGGTTGAGAAAAAAAGTACCACCGTGAGGGTCAGCTCTCACCTTCGGTGAGCGGTCAAGTCGTCGTCCGTGATGCTGGCCCCTCGAGGTGTCTTTTCATTGGGGATGTTGGCCGTGATGAGACTGTGAGAGCTGAAGCGGAGGTGGCGAACTGGGTGCCTGGAAAAAAAAAAAGGATCCACAGAGTCTATCAGTGGCTCTTCAACAAGGTCTCCATGTTTAAATGCAGCGGACAAGCAACTGACTGTTTAATTAAAAGCAGGGTGCACAGTAAATTGGAACAAATGCAAAGAAAACCCTAGGAGTTTATTTTATTTTATTTAAAAAATCCTTTCCACTGGGTGCCTGGAAAAAAAGGGAGCCACAGAGTCTATCAGTGGCTCTTCAACAAGGTCTCCATGTTTAAATGCAGCTACATGCAACTGGCTGTTTAATTAAAAACGGGGGGGGGCAGTTATTCAAGTGCACAGTAAATTGGAATAAATGCAAAGTAAAACCCTAGGGGTTTATTTTTATTATTTTATTATTTTTTAAAAAAACACCCTTTCCACTGGGTGCCTGCAAAAAACGGAGCCCCAGAGTCCATCAGTGGCTCTTCAAGATGGTCGCCATATTTGAATGCAACTGGCTGTTTAATTAAAAGCAGGTGCAGTTATTCAAGTGCACAGTAAATTGGAACAAACGCAAAGTAAAACCCTGAGAGTTTATTTTATTTTTAAAAAAACTTTTCCACTGGGTACCTGGAAAAAAACGGAGGCACAGAGTCCATCAGTGGCTCTTCAAGATGGTCGCCATATTTAAACGCAACTGGCCGTTTAATTAAAAGCAGGTGTACGCAGTAAATTGGAACAAATGCAAAGAAAACCCTAGGAGTGTGTTTTATTTTATTTTATTTTAAAAAGCCTTTCCACTGGGTGCCTGGAAAAAAAGGGAGCCCCGGAGTCCATCAGTGGCTCTTCAACAAGGTCTCCATGTTTAAATGCAACGGACATGCAACTGGGTGTTTAATTAAAAGCAGGGGGCAGTTATTCAAGTGGGACTTAATTCTTAATTTTACCACAAATGGCTATGTACAGGTAATTCCCCCAGGTATGAACGTTTATTTAGCCAGTGTTCCCCAAAACGGACTCATTCACAAAGGCTACTCACTGTTACACGTGCAAAACCGCCACCAAAAAGAGGCCTCTGCAGCCACGTGGCTCGGAGAGGAGAAACCGGAAGTGGAGTTTTTTTTTTTGGTGCCTGGTCACGTGGCGGAAGCAGAGTGGCTGACTTTTGCTTTTGCTTTCCTGGAGCTGCCTGGAAGACCTGCTGCTTGCCGGGCTTGAGGACTAGAAAGCTAGAATTACTTCTGTAAGTATTTTAAAATATTCTTTTTTGTTACTCTGTGGAATTGTACTTCTGTCGTTTGCAATCCCTTTGGGAACTGCTCTGCTTCCTATCGTGTTGGTAAGCGCAGCGCTTTGCAAGATGGTTTGTTTGCATCTGCCTGACATTGGTAGTCTGTGGCTGCTGCTGCCTCCTCCTGTCCCTGGCGCAGACCCAGCGGAGATTCTGCAGACCCCTTAACTGCAGGGGGCTTCCAACGTGGCCCTTGTATGACTTGCGGACTTCAACTCCCAGCATTGAAGAGTTGAAGTCCACAAGTCATAAAAGGGCCAAGTTGGAAGGTCCCTGCCTTACTGGAAGGAAATCCCCCATTTTGGATTTTGCTTGGAGAGGCTTGTGCTGATCAGGGGAAGTTTTTTTTTTTTTTAAGGTTTTAAATTTAAATTGCCTCCAGAAGTTGTGGGTGTTCCCTCCCGGGAGGCTTTTAAGAAGAAATTGGACAGGCATTTATCAGAAATACAGTACAGTACTGTACTCTCTTTCTGAGAGCAGGGGGTTAGACTAGATGACCTCAAGGTCCCTTCCATCTCAGTTACTGTTGCAAGCCGACAGTTCTGTAAACCACCCCCATCTCCCTCTGCATGCCTGGCTGGAGACGCTTAAGCCAGGGGTTTTCAAACTTGGCCCTTTTATGACTCGTGGACTTCAACTCCCAGAATTCCTCAGCTAGGCATGCTGGCAGAGGAATTCTGGGAGTTGAAGTCCAGGAGTCATAAAACAGCCATGTTTGAAGAGCCCTGGTCTGGATCCAAGCCCGCAGTTTCATCAAAATGGCCGACTAAGGAATTCTGGGAGTTGCAGTCCACAAGTCATAAAAGGGCCACGTTTGAAGACCCCTGGCTTAAGCTAATGGCTGGTAAGTGTTTTTTTTTTTTGTTGTTGGTTTGTTTTTACAAAAAATCAATCAGTTCTGTTAACTCCTAGAGACCCTAAAGCTAATTATTTTAGTGGCAACTGCAATCAGAGAGTTCTCCACACCCCCCCCAGAACCTTGAGCTGCCTAGCAACAAACTTTTTTGTCCTACTTTTTTTTTACTTAAAGCCTGCTGCCTGCTTGGGAGGCAATTTACTGTAGTTCCTGAAACAGGAAACAGCTGGTTGGCAGCTGGCAGCCGTGGAAAAGTCTCCTGGTCCAGGTAGCCATCGGAGGAAACAGTAAGTCAGATCTTTCTTCATTTAACGACTCCTTTCATTCAGTTAGTGAGTTTGATTTTAAAATGTTGTAGTATTGAGTCTGATTCGTTTGGCGAGATTTTTGAGTTAGGAGCCTAATGGGCAGGCTTTATGAGGCTCATACCTGGGGGATTACCTTACTTCCCACCTTTTCATTGTGTTATTTTCCCCGTACCCTTCTTAAAGTCAAGGAAGCCTTATAAGTCAGTTTTATTAGCCCCATGTTGCAGATGGGAAGTTGAGGACAAAAGAGAAAGGGATGTCCTGCCTGTCAGAAGCTATGTGTCTTGAAGGCTCATTTCTTCAGAGGTTTTTGCAGAAGTGGCCCAAGGTTTGTCCAGATGTGGCGTGTCCTGGCCTCCTTCCTAGGGCAGAGAGAGAAGGACCAGCCCAAGGACACTCAGCTGGCTTTGTGCTTAAGGCAGGACTGGAACTCACCGTTTCCCAGTTTCTGGCCTGATCCAATCAACTGTGTTTAGATCAGGGCTCTTCAAACATGGCCCTTTGATGACTTGTGGACCTCAACTCCCAGAATTCCTCAGCCAGCGTGCACGCTGGCTGAGGAATTCTGGGAGTTGAAGTCCACAGTCATCAAGGGGCCATGTTTGAAGAGCCCTGGTGTAGACAATTCATTCTATCGGTCCTTATGCATTAATTGCATGAATACTCTGTCAGGCTGACCTGTGGGAAAATACAGTTTGCGGATAACGCATCTCGCCGTGAACACAAGACTGCCTGTCTCGTGATGCCAATCACTGCCTCTCGAAGGGAACACCAGACTGGGTGTCTTGGGTTGCCAGTCATAGGAAAAGATCTTTTTCTGCTTTTAGAAGTGGAGTGAGTGAGTGAGTGAGTGAGTGAGAGAGAGAGAGAGAGAGAGAGAGAGAGAGCAGAAAAAGAGCGTTGGGCGCCCTCTAGTGGAGCTTTTCTGAAATGCAGCCAGAGCACCAGGAAATGGAATAAACGGTTGTGAGGTAAGTCCTCAACGTACGGCCATAATTGGGAATGGAACTTTCGTCATTAAGGGATGTGGTTGTTAACTGAGTCACATCCAGTTTTCATGACTTTTTGCCGTGGTGGTTCAGCCAATCCAGTTTCCTCCATGCCGGATGTTCTCTGGAAAGGCCATGGATGGGCCACCAGATGACTCCGGGATGCTACGGCCGTTGTAAATACCTGCCAAGGGTCCCCCTCATGTGGCCATGGGGATGCTGATGGTCGTAAGTCGCCTCTTTTCGACAGCTGGCTAAACGAATGTCGTAAGTTGAGGATCATCTGTACCGCAAACCGGGCAGCTGCGATTCTAGACGGAAGCCTGGGCAGCTGTCCATCCTAGGATCGACTGAAGCGGTTCAGGTTTTCACTTTCTCTCTATCCAGGGGGTCCTCGACTTACGGCGGTTCATTTAGCGACTGTTTGAAGTTACAACGGCACTGGAAAAAAGTGATTTAGGACTGCCTTTCAACCTTTGGGACCGTTGCAGCCACCCCAGGGTCACGCAATCAAAATCGGCTGCTTGACAACTGACTCATATTTATGACGGCTGCAGCGTCCCAGGGTCATGTGACCGTTTGTGACCTTCTGACGAGCAAAGTCAATGGGGAAGCCAGGTTCACTTAACAACCGGCTTGGTAACTTATCAACAGAGATTGTCGTAAGTTGAGGACCACCTGTATAATCTATCTCCTCCTGGCTTCGCCTGCAATGAGAATTCGATACACAGCGGGTTAAAAGTTCAAGGAACTGGGAACCAGGAAGCAGGTGGGGTCTCACCTGGCGTGCACCTCCCAGAGCTTGGTGCTCATTCGCTGGTCCCACACGCAGACCAGCCCTTCCTCCCCTCCGCTGACCACCTTCCAGTCGTCCATCTGCACCGCCGAGACCCCCAATTGGTGTCCGTAAAGCGAGGAGACGGGATCGCTTCTGCGGAGGTCGTACACCATCACCCTGCAAAGCAAAACTGGGAGTTGTAAACATTTTAATAATAATAAAGTTGAGAGGGATCTTGGAGGTCATCTAGCCCAACCCCCTGCTCAAGCTGGAGACCTTGTACCATTCCAGACCAATGGCTATCCGGTCTCTTCTTCAAAGCTTCCAGTGATGGGGCACCCACAACTTCTGGAGGCAAGTCGTTCCACTGGTTAATTGTTCTCACGGTGAGGAAATTTCTCCTTAGTTCTAGGTTGCTTCTCTCCTTGATAAGCTTCTGGCTGTTGCTTCTTGCCCTGCTTAATGACTGCCTAATTCCCTGAACAAGTGCAGTGATTTGCTTAACAACGAAGGCAGAAAAAAGGTCATAAAATCAGTCTCAACTCGCTTAAGAACCACCTTGCTCCTGATTGTGGTCGTTAAGTTGGGGACTTGCCTATATTTAATTCTTTCTGCCCTGTGCACTCTAAAGCGTTTTTGAATCTTTGATGCAAGAAATGTTGGCTTGAAAGGAGAGGCCAAATCAACTAGAACAGTGGTTCTCAACCTTTTTAATGCCGTGACCCCCAACCGGTAATTAAGTCGAGGACTACTCAACCGGTCGTAGGTCGAGGACTACTCAACTGGTGCAGCACCGTTTGCAGAATTGGACTTTTGGCGGGCTCAGCAGGGCAGAGACAGCCTGGACCATTCCTATTGGCTTTTGAAAGCCAATAGAATTAGACTCTATTCAAGAGAGTCTATTCTATTGGCTTTCAAAAGCCAATAGAATAAAAGGGAGTAGCACAGCTAAGGAAAAGGGGGGGGAAATGGCGGACTGCGTTGTTTGGCGACCCCCGTGAAATGGTCGTTCGACCCCAAATGGGGTCCCGACCCACAGGTTGAGAACCACTGAACTAGAAAGACTGCAGTGTTAAATCAAGATGCCCCAGTCAAATGAAAGGCACAGACTAACAAGCTTTGTGATCTAGTATTCTCATTCTTCCAAGCCAGCAAGAGATTCCTGGCAATTGATGCTCTCTTGGAGTCATTGCACAGCAATAAAGGTAAACGAGATCTGAACATGGCAGTTCCACTTAGCACTCACAAGGAGGAATCAGCAACGGCCCACATCCATCTGGGAATATGTCTAATTCCCTTCTAAAGCCAGCAGGCGTCACCGCCTCTTAACTGTCTACATTAAAATGGGGGGACCAGATGATCAGAAACTAACCCAATCTGACACAACGGTTGAACCTCTTGGGCTTGCCAGCCGAGGATCTTGGTGCTTATGAAGAGCCAATCAACGGCTTCTGCTGGGATTATCGTCTCGGCTTTATCAAAATGAAAAATCAATGTATGATTTCATGCAATCCATCGGGAGCAGAGCCCTGTGTGAGGATTAATGGAAAGTGTCTTTGTAAATTACGCTCAAGAGGTACGTTGGAGGTCAATCTTCTCTAGTCTGAGTGTGTTGGGCTCTTATCATCTGGCCCAGCAAGAAGGATTGCCACTATACATGCATGGGGGAAAGAGAGAGGGGGGGGGGAGAAAAGAAAAGAAAGAGAAGAGAGGGAGGAAGAAGAAAGAAAGAAAAAGAAGAAAAAGAGGAAGAAAGGGAAGGAAGGGAGGAAAAGAAAGAAAGAAAGAGAAAGAAAGAGAGAAAGAAAGAAAGAAAGAAAGAAAGAGAAAGAAAGAGAAAGAAAGAAAGAAAGAAAGAAAGAAAGAAAGAAAGAAAGAAAGAAAGAAAGAAAGAAGAGGGTCAGGAGACATTGCCACTGACCCTGAACGTGTGGTTTCTAAACTTTCACCAAACACAAACTGCCCAACAAACAGGCAACCTGATGTGCTGCAGATGTTTTGGTCTTCAACATCCACCAGTTTCAGGCAGAAGGGCCAATGACAAGGAATGCTGGAAATTTCAATCCATAACACCTGAAATACATCAGCTTGCTTACCTGTATCTTGGTTTAAGCAATGCATTAAGGCTTAAGCCATAACCTTGTTTTGTCTGGGGGTAGGAACAGGAAGAAGGAGGAGGAGGAGGAGGAGGAGGAGGAGGAGGAGGAGGAGGAGGAGGAGGAGAAGAAGAAGAAGGGGAGGAGGAGGAGGAGAAGAAGAAGAAGAAGAAGGGGAGGAGGAGGAGGAGAAGAAGGAAGAAGAAGAAGAAGAAGAAGAAGGGGAGGAGGAGAAGAAGAAGAAGAAGAAGGGGAGGAGGAGGAGGAGGAGAAGAAGAAGGGGAGAAGAAGAAGAAGAAGAAGAAGGGGAGGAGGAGGAGGAGAAGAAGGAAGAAGAAGAAGAAGAAGAAGAAGAAGAAGAAGAAGAAGGGAGGAGGAGGAAGAGAAACAACAACAACTTGTGTATTGAAGCCCACCAAGGAGAGCAGTTGCGCTGCCAGAACTTCTATTGTTCGGCATTCCTGCTCTGATCCAAAAAATCAGCCCTCCCTTTAGCCTCCTTTAATGAAACCGCTCCGCGGGAGCCTGCGAATAACTCTATTCCGACAATTAGAGCAAAAAAGGCGAGAGGGTCTCCAGCCGCGCGGGAACCATCTGACAGGCTGGAAGGAGGAAGAAGGGAGCAGGGACGGGCTGGGGCTCTCCCAACACCTCCGGTGCACTGCTTGTCAGAACATCCACAGATGGAGTCAACAAAAGCCCCGCCTCCCTCTTCCACCGATTCCGAGGGAGGAGGAGAAAGAGCGGCAAAGCCTGGTCCTGGGCACCGGCAGAAGGCTTCCAGCCCCATTCCTGACAGCCTGCGCGGGGCCTGGCTCGCTGCCCGCTGGCGCCACGCATGCTAATGAGCCTGCCTTCAGATTTCCCCAGCCCTGGCTGAGGCTTTGTGGCTTCATTAGCAAGCAGCGAGCTTCCAGGCACGGATGCCCAGGGAAAACAAAGGCGCTGCCGAGTTGTTTTCAAAAGTCTTCCCAACCTGTCTGTCTCCCAGGCCTCTACTACCGGCGCTGGATCGGAGGCCCCAGGCCGCTCGTGTCTCCCAGAGACGGAACTGGACAGGGAGAAAATTCTGAATTTCCCGGAGCCATCCGGCAGGGGAAAAACTGATTTGCACCA